AAGTCTCCTGGTCGCCTCTGTAAACAGGTCTACCACAACCCTTTCGCGGCGCCCTCCTCACGCACAGACAGGAGGAGGAGGAGAGGGATAACACCCGCCGGTGCACGTATATAAATTCAATTCCTTGCACGCAGCCGGCAGCATCTTAAACCCAGTAGCCGAAGAGCCTCGTTAAGGCGAGTCGCGTGTCTCAAGTCCGGTATATTATAGCCAGGTCGAGGTGCCAGTCAGTCAAACGCTCTTGACCTGGACAGTAGGTAAGGTCTCAAGAAGACTCCTGCTTCGGGACTTCGCAAGGAGGATTATCCCGCAAGTCTGTTTCTGAAGTTCAGACGGACAATTGAAGGGTGAGTAGGCAAGATAGTTTTCTGCGTGCCGCCATCTTTGTCTACTGGACTGCGAAACGCTTTCTGAACATGTGCGGTAGTTGTCTTCTGCGAAATAGCAGACGCCGAGTAGGAGTCCACAACCCGGTGGCCCGGCATATTTCGTTGACCGACTGATAAGCGCTGTAAAAGCTACACATTTTTTTTTTTTTTCAATGCTTATCATTTAGGGGGAAAATGCTGAGTCACCGAGGGCTGCGGATGCGTGCGCGGAGTCTGACATTGCGCAGAAGACAGCAAGTGCGCATGCTCACCACGGGCTCCACGGCCCAGCAGACAAAGATGGCGGCACGCAGAAGGCGATTTATGGAACGGTCTATAGTACTCCGCTCTAGCATGACTAGTCGAAGAACAAAAGCAAAGAACGAGGACTGCGGTCCCGGGGGAATGTCGGAGAAGTGCACGTAACAACCCATAGGTGCCGCACGTTTCCTCTAGAACAGCTGTCACACACACACATATATATATATATAAAGAAACTAATGTCTTCACTACTGTTCGAAACCACCTCAGCAAAACACTGGAGCAACGTCGAGACGAAAGGTGCGGGTGCCATCGTGTACTTCTTACAAGTATAACAACGTACTTTGCAGCGCCGACAAGGGACGGTGCCAGTTTTGGGAGCAACACGACGGCGCATAGCAGTAGAATGAACTGGTGGAAGCCGTTATCTGGCCGCAAAATATGTTTCGTCCCACGTTACGTGTAACCTCACTGTGCGCACCTACAGACGTCGAGTGTCTGAAGTGAAATAGTTGAAGGATAACCGATATGGGGAGCGGCCGCTGATTCTAGTGCGTGACTCATCACCTGCCAATCGCATTTGATCAGGCTCCAATATGGCATTAATTTGTTTTTTTTAGAAAACTGTGATTCTGGGCACCTTTAATCACCTGTTCAGTTCAATGGTAGAACAATCAGGTTTTTGTAGAAATAAATGAACTGCGCAAAGGACGAGGACAGAGGTTGAAACGAGTACGACACACGGAGCGCAGTGACAGTGAAACGATGACTTGCAATGAACGTTTAGCAATCAGGTTTCACGATGACTTGCAATGAATCATGCCAAGAGGAACCTCTCGTTGATTCTTTCAACCCATAAACGCATTAGTTGTTTATTAACCGGCATGAGTTCTTGAATGCGTTATCTTTTAATTAACAAAACCCCTTTTGACTCTGTCAGTCCTGCGACCAGAGTTAAAGAGGGAAGCTACGCTTTGCAGATTTGGCACAGGGCAGTATCATGAGCGCACTTCTTTTCTTGTTTCTGGATAGTCGGTTCTAAAATAACAGATACATTTATTTTACGACCTCGTTCATTTGCATGCAACAGTGAATACTGTTTCAGTCTTTTTTTTAAATTATTATTATTATTAACAGGTGCACGCCGAGTGGTAATTATTGCTAGAAAACACTGGTCAAAGAAAATACCAATCCTTGTAATGGACACAACTGCAGCAATGGGATTGCGCAGTAAACGGAAAACATGCTTGGTGGACACTAAGATAAGATCTCGATCGGACGCACGTATACTCACGTGGTCAACAGGATTGGACACAAGAGAAACTTCCATGATGTTCATCCAACGTCAGAGTCTTTTTTTCGCATAGCTTCGCATTGTGTTTCTTGTCTCGTGGATCAGCCCTTTTTCATCGATGCCTATCACTCGTCAACACCATCTACTCTGCCTCGCCCTGGTGACCACTTGGGCTGTACTTATTATGCGCCGCTACGCAACTTTTTCGCTAGTGAGCGCGGCCGTTCAATAATCACCGTGTAGTTTCAGGTAAGTGTCAACTTATATCGTATTTCCGCAAACGAGGCGATAACATTTTGCTGATCGTGCTGCCATGCCCCGGTGCCCGCATGTCCATTGTGTACGAGTGTTTTTTTTGTTTGTTTGTTTTTTTTTGTTCACTGTGTCGTTTTTTTACCGGGGGACGAGTTTAACCCTGGTCCGTATGATCTAACTATGCAAGCTATTCTTGGTAAACTTGATGTCCTTGACGCATTCCTTCTTTCTGAAATTAGAGGTATCCGCACAGATCAGAAAACGGCAACCAAGTCTTCAGATGAGTTAAACTCGCGGGGGGAACCTAAGCGATGTTAAAGGTAAAGCACTAAAATATGATATCGCTTGTGTTAAAAAAACAGTGTTTAAAGCAACAACTAGCGTCGATGAGACGCAGCTCCGCCTGGATGAAGTAGAAGACCAGATACGTCTAGAGAACTTTTGTATTTCGAGGCATTAGTGACGCACCAAACAAGAGCTAATTTAAATCAGAAAAAAAAAAGTGTTTTCTCTGTGCAGAGAAAAACTCGAAATTAACCTTTCAAGGTTAGTTTCGAGTTTTTATTCCTCGGCTCGGCCTCGGCTTCAAATCTTTTTGGGAATCATGTATCCCCAATTATTTGTATCGCTCTCTACAAAAGAATTGGGTACTTTTTAAAGAGTCGTTACTTTGATTGATTGACCGCCATATATCACTAACACACGTAGTTTCGGAAGAACGAGTCAGCTTAGGGCGCTCTGTAACCGGAAAAAAATATTGTATCGACGTGTCCGACGTCTAAACGCCCCAATTAGGCTTGGTCCTATTTCTCAGATACTTTCGCACTGAACAATTCGACTATCGCGAAAGCTAAAACTCAATTTTATTAGAGGAATCTTGCCGCTATTCTCAAAAGTAACCCTCAGAAATTTTGGAAAATAACAAATCCCCACTATCGTGAACCGGTTTCTTTGGTAAATTATAACAGAATTGATCTCGCTGATGATGATGCCGTCGAAAAGATTTGTGATGCATTATCCGCTGTGTTTAACAGTTTGCGTCATCACGGCATTGCCAAATACTGTGAACCATGTCATTTCCACAAATGCATCTAATTACTTTCTCGGAAGGCGGCATTAGCAAGTTGACAGGTACACTTAAGTTCTCAGCGTCACCAGGGGCTGGCGACATAAACAGTAAAATGCCAAAGATTACTAAACCGATGTCAACTGTTTTTCTAACCTTTATGTTGCAACAGTCCTTAGATACTGGCGCTATTCCTGACGACTGGAGGGATGGGAAGGTCGTTCCGGTTCACTAAGGTGGCGATGCGCACTGCCCTCGAAATTACCGATCCATATCATTACTTCTGTTTGTTATAAACTCATTCAACATGCCATTCATTCCCAAGTTATTCAATGTTTAGAACACAATCATATCTTTTTTTTCCTAACCAACATGGCTTCAGAAAACATCGCTCCTGCGAAAAGCAGCTTGCCGCTTTTAGCCATGACATTCATATTTTCATAGAAACCGCTCCTCAACTTGATACCATCTCTCTCGATTTTTCTAATGCTTTCGATCGTGCTTCTTATGAACTTCTACTAACAAAACTGTCCACACTTTCTCTTGATTCTTCCGTTCTAATATGAATTGAAAATGTTCTCTGCTATCGAACCCAGCATGCATGTGCACGTCAACAACTGCCTTTCCCGAAGCGCTTTTGTAACCTCTGGCATACCACAAATATCTGTTCTTGGACCCTTGCTTTTTCTTCTGTAGGTTAATGACCTTCCCCTTTCGCTATCCTCTACGGTCCGCCTGTTTGCCGATAATAGTGTGATCTACAGACCCATAGCTAACACTAATGACTCAGCAATCTGCAGACCGGTCTTGACCGAATTAAACGCATGGTGTTCAAAGTGGCAAATGTTTTTAAATGTTTCAAAATCTAAATTCTTTTTTTTTAACTCGCCAACATATTTATGCTTCCTGCTCTATTGGCAATCTTAATATAGATTCCTGGAAAACTCATATGAACAGCACCATTCCCACATCACACAGCACTCTTGGTCTTTTATGCCGTAATCTTCGTCCCGAGTCCTCACTTGTTAAACGCCTCGCGTACGTCACGTCAGTACGCCCAAAATTAGAATTTGCATCACCAATCTGGGACCCTCATCTTAAATTCCTTGCAGCTGACATGGAGTCACTTAAGAACCGTGCACAGCTCGCTTTATAACGTCTGAGTACTCTCGGTTCTCTTCCGTCACTGAACTTAAAGAAAACTTGTCTTGGACTTTTATATGTTCACGCAGGCGTAGTGCTCAATCGTGTCTTTTTCCCAGGTTTTATTACGATGACCACCTTCCTACATAGCTCATTCATCTTGCCACCACATCGCATATTCACTCGTGCTGATCACCCTGCGAAAGTTGGCCTTCTTTTTAACCGATATACAACATTCTTTAAATTATTTAAATAACTTTTCCCAGCAACAGCTGTGGACTTGAACGGCCTGCCCGAATTCATCGTTTCACTCAAGACATCGACTTCTTCCGCAAATTGTTAACATCACATTTTCTGTAAACCCATTCCATTGTATAATACCCCGACTCCGGGGCTCTTAATGTATTTAAATAAATAAATACACTCATAGTCCATGCCGTACACAAAAGAGTCCTGATCTTTAAATAGATGAGGAATGCCTGAATTTTGAATAAGATCCCAACGTCAACTGCTCAGCTGGCTAGGATCGTCAACAAACCAGGATGACTATAGCGTCAACTGGACAGGATGAAAGATCGGCGTCCTGCCTTTTCAGCTCCCCTACGCTCCAGGGATGCTGATCATGCTGGTTATCGTGGCACCTGTGGCTCTGCTGCTCATGGCCTCTTCAGCAGCGGCAACGCCTATCATGGGCTACGCCCTTGCTCCACGATATGCAAGTAGGTACACAGCAGTTCCATAATGCACTACATATGCACATATTCACACAATAAAGGAAATGGTAGTGACAGATCTCAAATCGTATACATGCCCCTTTGTGTTTGTCACTGTTGCTGAATTTTCAAACGTTGAGTCTTCTGTTGCATCAACTCGAGCACTTTGTATGGTCCACACCTTTCGCCAACCTCATCTTGTGTGGCGCTTTCGTCTCTTTTCTCGGGATTTAATTATTCTGAGTACAACCTCATCTTTGCGGTTCTTCATCTCTCCAGAAGTGCTGTTCTATTTGGGACCGTTTTGTTTTAAAATAACCATGTCCTGTGATTATTTTTGTGGTACAATAACCTGAGTGGGATTATAATTGAAATTTCCCTTGAAAGTAATTTGACTATAACTGACGTGACTGCACGAGTGTTTTCCCCGAGCGTAGCGCTCTCTGGGCGGCACCATTTTGTTCGACCGCAGCGCCCTCTCCACACATCCGGGAAGTTCAGCGGGTTCGGCGGGGTAAAACGAGAGAGAGGGCACGCGCCCGACTCCGCTAGCAGACGACAAACCGGGAGGTTGCCGTTCTCCACCTTTGGGCTGTATCGGCGGGCTCTACCGAACATCGAACTCTCGCTCGTGGCTGCCGTTGTGAAGTGGTTCGCGTTCTTAGAATAGTTGTGGCTACTCCAAAATCAGCGTATAGCTCTCTGTTGTTCTATTACGGTAAATAATCAACTAGTATATCTTTTTTCCGTTACTTAAATAGCAGTTGAGTCAGCCGGCAGTACTACCCTCAACTACTGCGTGTATTGCGGCAGGAGAGCACGTTTTATTTATTATTTCAGACTGTCACTCATGGGTCGCTAAAGGCCTACACCAGTACGAACTTTTGTAGAGTAAAAAAGGGACAGCAACCGGATTTACTTTTCGCCGAAGAGACCGGCCAATCTGGCACAGTTTTCCCTATGTTTGCTTTTTATTTGCACGCAGGTAACAGCGCAATTGGACCCTGTGAGTCTTTTTATCTAGCATAGTATTACACGATAACTGGCATACCAAAATCTGCGTATCTGCGCTTGAAAGTTCCAAAATGACGCGATTTTAAACCGAGTTTGCAAGCCAGCCGGACGACAGCTACAGCCCACTCGGCGGAGCGGACGAGATGCGGGGTGAGAGGGGGAGTGCATTTTTTTTCTCTTTTACCCTCTCTGCTATGACCCTAATGGAACGGTCTATAGTACTAACCAGTTTGTCGCATCAAGACTGATATAGCGAACATTCTGATATAGCGAAGATACTTATACAGCGAAAAAAAAAAACTCATATGGCGAAGATACTGACATAGTAAAGAAACTGATATAAAAATAATTAAGCGAAGATACTGAAATATGAAGACACTAATATAAAAAAATAATTCTAAAAAGAAACAAAAAAAAAAACGGCTTTTACTTTTCAGAAGTAGTAGCGTACGTCATTTAGAGGGTGAGCAAGTTAACGATGAACGTGTCTGCTCTATCGCAGACTCTCACAACTACAAGGTCGTGTGCTACTACGGCTCGTGGGCGGTGTACCGTCCGGGAGACGGCAAGTACCCCGTGGAGAACATCGACCCGCACCTCTGCACCCATCTGGTGTACGGATTCGCGGGCCTAGGCAGCGACCACAAGATTCGCAGCCTGGACTCTTGGAACGACCTCGAGGACAACTACGGCAAAGGTAGGATTCGCTATAGGTCACTCACCATCTTCAGAAATTATCTTCACGCGTCTCTCTTCGTGAATGGTCCTACGGCGTTCTTGTCGACTAATGCCGCGATCTGATTGGCTGCGGAGAAGATAATGAGATGCTCAGCTCAGTGACTGTGCACGCACATGCGCATGGATCATATAAAGGACACGATGTTCGCTGCACACGCGATGACAGATTTGTCTCCGGACACACCTTAAGCACCTGCGAAGCATGTTTTGCATCATACATTATTTGTATGATTCGAACATGCGTGCAAAGTTTTTTGGCGATAGCTTTATGCTTGAGTCCCACTAGAGCGACAAACAGAAACAAACGACAGCATCAAGCCTCGAACACATGAAGCATTTTCCCGATGGTACCTTTGGCAGGGGGTTTAGTCGGTCGGTGCTCGTGAAGTAAGCACGAGTGATTGCAAGCCTGCCAAAGATACCCTCGCGTGCATGATGCTCCTGTTTGGACATATCCTCCTTTATTCTACAAAGCCTGTCAAATCGCGAAAGTCTCTGGTTTGAGGCTTGTCGCTGTCGTTTGTTTTTAACGCTAAAGCATTAGCTATTCCATGGAGCGAAGCCAACGGCGCCTGTACCCGCAACAAAAAAAAAAAGCAAAAAAAAAAGCTTTTTTTTTTTTTTTTTATTGGCTGAGCAAAACGGCTCTTACAGAGACATTGGCGGCCGCTTCCCGAGAGCACGAGCTCGGCCACCGCTCTCGTGTCAGGCGGCCGCAACCTCGGCAGTAACGAAACGCGGCCGTCCACGCCAGTACACAGCAGACGAACTAAGAGAGCGGAAGAACGACATTCAGGCTTTCGCATTCACAACTCACATAAGCGCTTAGGTGTCCTCAAAATGTTTTGTTTGTCGCTCTAGTCGGCGACACTGACACTTTGGCAGAGATTTCGAGCTCGTAAGCTGTCGTCGCCGCTACGGAAAAGCCTTTCTCTCCCCTCCTGACGCGAGGAGAGGGAAGGAGAAAGCCTTCTTGGCGCAGGCGGTTTTCCCGTCGGCCGCGCAGTGCGGCGAGAGAGAAGAGAGGGGAGGCCCGGGCGGGGCGTCCCGCCAGTAACGACGCGACGAAAGGAGTCTTCCGTGTCGTCTGCTTGAAAGACTCGTTTTCAAACATTACTCGCGTTACGCGAAATCCCACTTTGGCAGTATCCAGTTTCTGCGCGTAATGTTGTATAAGGTTTTAGAAACTTTCATCGCGCTTACCCACTTACTTTACGCATCACCGAGCACTCGTGGCGGTCGTCAGTGGCATCCACGCACGTGCACCATTCCACCCGCACTGCGCGATCGTGCTACAGCTATCGCATATTTTTGTATGGCCAATGTGGTACGGGACCGTTATACAAGGAAGAAAGGCGCCTCGGACAGTGTTTGTAGATTGTCTTCTGTACGATGGGTATTAGAGGTGGGACCGGGCCTTAAGAGTTTCTTCAGAGCACTGTGCAAGATGGCTGCCGCTGCCCTCCGAGGCTTCCAGATAGCCATTCCCCTCGCGGGAACATGTCCGATTCAGCGTCTATCTACTTATATATAAGGTCAGATGGTAAGCGTGAACGAGTAAAGCTCAATCGAGGAACTATCTCCAGGAGCTTTCAAGAGGTTCACAGCCCTGAAGAAGCAGAACCCGAAGTTGAAGACCTTGATCGCCATCGGCGGCTGGAATGAAGGGTCGGTCAAGTACTCGGCCATGGCCATGGCCCGGTCGAGCCGCAAGATCTTCGTGGACAGCGTGGTAGACTTCTGCAAGAAGTACGGCTTCGATGGCCTCGACATGGACTGGGAGTACCCGGGCTCCAGGGGAGGTGTCGATGCCGACAAGGCCAACTTCGTCGAGCTGCTAAAGGTAGTACTCCTAATACTCCTTAGTGTTGGCGCTTCCTGAAGCATAGACATAAAAAAATTTACACAAGCTTGATTATGCTATGTTGACGAAGACCAAGGAGCACATAATGTGTTTCGTACAAACCACAAACACTTCCTTTTTAAATATTTTTGCTTTGTTCTTTGTTATTTTTTCTCTCTCTCCCCCTCTGTATACATATAATTGTTTATTTTATGTATTTATTTGTATTTCCATACCCCCATCCTTCTTTCCTCCTTTTATTCTCCCAATCCATCCCCTCCCCTCCTTACGATGCCCCTCTTCCCCTCCCTCTCACTCCTTCTCCCCCTTCCCCCACTCACACAGTGCTATCCGGCTTTCCCCACAAAATTTTTTGGGGAAGGTGGACTGGTGTAAAGGTTAGGTGACCTCACAACAGGTGACGGCAAATTCCAGCTCAATTTAGCGGGGAAATTGAATTGGTGTATAGGTCACGTGGAGTCAATTTGCTTGCCAAAATTAGCTGAGAAATTGAAGGTTACGTGACTTGAATTTTCCTGCTATATTTTGCGGGAAACTGGCCTGAGGGCGCCACCATCTTGATCAGTCGGGGTGCTCTTGGGCACGTTTATATCCGATTACGACGCCTTGCTAAGGGGCGCCGTAATCGGATTTAAACGCGCCCAATCGCACCCCAATAAGTAAGATGGCGGCGTCCTGAGGCCGTACTTGCAATTGTGTATACACTTTTGCAAGTCCGGTCTCAGGGCGCCGCCATCTTGCTCGTTGGGGTGCGCTTGGGCGCGGCCATAATCCATATGACGCCTTAGCAAGGCTTGGTACTCGGATTACGACGCGTCCAAGCGCACCCCAACGAGCAAGATGGCGGCGCCCTGAAGTCGGACTCGCAAACGACGCCCTTAGCTTAACAAGTCTTCATAATCAGATTATGACGCGTTCAAGCGCACCCCAACCGAGCAAGATGGTAGCGCCCTGAAGCCGGACTTGGCAAGTCCGGCTGCCTTGAATTTTGCACGTGTAAATTTTTAAGGTGGGAAAAAGGAAAGGAAGGGGTGTTTTATCAAACTTTCGATGCCGAATTTCCCGGGAAAACAGAAAATGCGTATGCGGAGATAAAGTCGTCTGCTTCTTGTACGGGAATTGCGGTGACGTCAGAAAGACGCCGAGCTCTGATTGGCTCTGATGGAAAGATGGTGGGTAGACCTCAAAGCGAACTGCCTTGAGGCCTACCCACTTTCCTTCATTCAGAACCAATCAGGGCTCGGCGTCATGACGTCACCACGACGCCCGCAAAAGAAGCAGACGAACTTGCGCTCCAAGTCTCGTGACGTCACTTGTAACGCTCCTTCAGGACGTTCGCTCATGGCGCTCGTTTATGACGATTTTCTCATAGAAAACTACCCATAAAGTACACTTTGTGTTAAAAACTACTAGATGTAAAAGTACGAACGTGTTTCTTTTACTTCAAGTACTCCAAGCAACTATACCAGACATGTCATGTCGTGCTAAACGGTATACCACACATTCGATGTAACTGTTGTTGCTTATGAGCACAGAAATAAAACGATAATGATGATGATAATGGGGATAAAAAAAATGCTACTTGGCAGGAGCTGAGTCAAGAGTTCAAGCCGTACGGGCTACTGCTCACGGCAGCTGTGGCGGCAGGAAAACATTTCATGGACAAGGCGTACGACGTGCCTCAGGTGTCAAGGTGAGCACAATCTTAGCGCTGTCCTACGGAGTGTGCCGGTATCAACACCGATACGTTTCGGTCATATATGTATTTTTTTTTAAATAAGATTAAACACACACACACACACACACAAGAAGTGCGATGATTTAGAATACATTTTGTTAGGGACGAAAGGATGCAATAATGACATCAAGTTTGCAACGGCCACCACGAAAATCACAATTCACTGCAAGCACGAACGAGGAAGCAATTTTAAATTTGACAAACGAAAAAAAAAAAAAGAATATACTGACGTGAAAAACACTAAAATGACCGTTCTCGACGAAGTTTTTAGAGACTATGCGACCAAGCAACTCGATTCCCTGTAGGAGGGAAACTGAAGCGGTTCTGTATTTGACGAAAAACACTTCATCATTTGGCCTCCAAAATCACAAATATCTTTTTTTTTTTTTTTTTTTTTTTAGTTGGACGCCGTTTGGCGAGCGCAAACGGTGCCGACACTTACCCGAGACAAAGTGCCTTGAACACCCTCGCGGTACTTGTCGAAGTTTTTGTCGAGGTCTTTCGGGTTGATGCGCGCAAGCCATTCGCGTGACTTCTCATGGAGAGCGACTGCGTCTTTTCTCTCACTCGTGTGTTCAGACCAGGGGCTTCCCCAGGAACTGAAATTAGGCGGGGTGCCCAAATTTTTAGAGGGAGGGGTTAAGGGGAGGGGGTGTTGGCATTGAGAATAGAGGAGTCGTTGCGAATTAAACGGGTGCCTTCAGAACAACAAGGGAACCCCTTCCCCTCTCCCCCCTAGGGGGTGTGTAGGGAAATCACTGGTTCAGACTCTCGGGATCTTGAAGAAAAGAGAGTTCGCAAGCTTGCTCTCCTGTTTTTTCTTCTTCGACTGTGACCTGGTGCGGCAGCCTGCCATCACGCCGGACACCATACTGGCGCAGCAAATTCCAGTGTCACCGAAACCAGAGAAAGATTCGTGGCGTATAGTGCCGCTGGTCCCGTTGCGGCCGCGGCAGCCGCGGCTGTCTGCCGTCGGACCCGGCTCTGGTCGGACCCAAAGAGGGAGATTTACCTAGCATGCACCGCGCGCAACTCGCACGTAAGCCTCAAATGAATACTCAGTAGTGATACAAAACCCCACGCCGGTACGATGCCCGTCCAGGTCGAAACGGACTGGGGTGGGGATTGAACTAAGGATCCTTGGGTTCTGCAGCGCGAGCTTTCGCTCCAGGTGCTCCGAGCTGGTACGTGTACGCTAGCCCACTCGGCCGCCGATCCCCCAGGTATATACCGATAAGGCGGTTTTGTCTGAATCGGTAAAAACTGAAAAAAAAAAAAATTTAAACTGTCATTCAAAAGAAAAAGACGCTAGCTTTACAAAAATAAAATTTCTCCCCCACTTTTTTTTTTTTTTTTTTTTTTTTATCGTTGACCCGGAACACAGCCGCACTGAACTGTCCTTGGGATTGTTCCCTCGACCCGTTCCCTTCTTTTATCTTTACCAGTACTGAAGCAAATATTAAAAATTATAATATTTTCTCGAGTAATTGTAGTCAGTGTACAACACGAGCCCGGTAAACACCGATTTCTCTCCGGCATTGAAATTACATAGAAAAAACACCGATTTAAGGGGGGGGGGGGGGTAATAAGCACCGATAAATAACTCCCGAATTTGAAGAAAAATAAATGTCGAAAACAAGGAACCCTAGTTATGACTATAAAAAGACTCTCGCAGAAACTGGTTGTACATCCTCCAGATTTTTTTTAACATTTCGCGCGAACAGGAGATACTAGGCTAGGGCGTGTGGCAGAAGGTACATGCCTAGCCTCGCTGACTTGCTGATCCACGCCGCGGTAAGGCCCTCATCTACCGACCGGTGGGCGTTCGCGCGGGAGGTTGTACTCGTCACTTCTATGCATCCCAGAAAGGTTGGTCCCGAGCAGGGATGGGCAAAATACATGCAAATATGTATCGAAATACAAATACAAAATACTTCATCAAAAATGTATTTAATTACATATCTAATTACATTTCCAAAAAAGCATTTAAGTACAAGATACGAATACAACCAAATGTATTTGATCTCCACCAAATACTTTTCCAAATACATTCCTCAAAATTTGCGTCAGCGACTTCAGGGCACCTGCAACGGGTTTCTGGATATCTCATTTTAATTTTGCATCGCACACTCTGGAGTTAGTGTGCGAGGCTCTAGTAACGTAATAGAAATATAATCACACACAAAAAAAATGTATTCAGCTTGGACGTAATAGGTAAAAAAAAAAGTACAGAGCTTCAAGCAGCTTTTTTTTTTTTTTTTTTTGTTACATTTTGGTATAGACCAACAAAGAACTGAGACGACCAAGACGCGCAGCGCTAGCCAGAGAATTGTTTATTGTTGCAACTCGCACCAGTTACGAAAATCTGGACGACCCGCGCATTTAGAATGTTCCAGGCAAAACTATGGATGGAAATCAGGCTGGAAAGCATCAGAGGTTGTCACAGGCACTTATTTAGCCAGTCTGCCTGTGAACGTCGATTTCGTCACTATTCTTGCCCTGGACTAGCACCGTAATCACAGTCACTAAACGCTTGCACTTGATAGAGAGACACTGCATTCGGTGCAGAACGTAGTTTTCTTCCTGCTCTGGACACGTCTTAGGATGAGCAAAATGAGTCGTGACAATGGATTTGAGGGATGTATTTTTGCCCACAAAATTGTATTTAATTACAATTGTATTTGAAATACCCACGTTTTAGTATTTAAATACACACGTCAAATACATTACCCAATTTGTAATTAAATACATATACAAAATACACAAAGTATTTGAAATACGTATTTCAAATACTTGTATTTGAAATACTGCCCATCCCTGGTCCCGAGTATATGTCTATGCAGGCATGGTGTTTTTTTCTCAGTAGACATTTCTGTCGTTTGCAGAAGCGCGGACACCGCGTGCGCCAGCAGCCTTAGAAATATTTTTCTCGATTAAAAGGATTAAAAAGCGCGAACAAAACGAGGACACAGAAGAAACGAAGAGAACAGGACAGACGCCAACTCTCCCGAAATGTTTGTTCAAAGTCATCATCGCCCTAATACACACTCCTCTGCTCGACACGCATCAACAACCCATCACCACCCTAGTTTTTTTTTCCCTTCCCACGCAGGTACCTGGATCTCATTCACGTGATGGCGTACGACTTCCACGGGGGTTGGGAGAAGAAGACGGGTCACCACGCTCCTCTGTACTCTCGACCCGAAGAGCCGGCAGACGAATACATCCTCAACCTGGCAAGTCCATCAGTCGCCTTCTGTCGTCGCTTCTGCAAGGCGCGCAACGGTCGCGTTAGTGCTAACCACAGAGGAAATGTCTGAGTTCTCCGCGCATATATCTTGACTCGTCCATGTTTCTTGGGGGTCAGATGATTTTTTTTTCGCCAGAGACGAAAAGTGTTCGTGCACTACAATTTAAGTGCGTGATTTCATGTCAATTTATGAAATATCACGTTATATACAGGGTATTTTTTTTTTCTTTCTTCTTACAGCCATCAAAGCTACATGAAAGCCACGAAAGCTACACTTATGCGGTTTGTACGAGTGAGTTATACGCCCAGGGGGACATTATGTGGGGGGTTAATCTTTGCGATATAAGTCGGCTAATTAATTAAAATTCGTTCATTAACTTTTTGATTAGTGAAAATAGACATATGGTTCCAATTAAAAACTTGCTGAGCCCTGTCGAAAAGCACAAAATCAGTCATTTTCAGAAAGACTTTCAGCGCGTGAGAAGCGTGCATTGAAGTTACCAATCGTGAAGCAGGTACAAGGCTAGCGGTTGCGGTAAGGCGCCCGCGCGATGTTTCCGTATCTTCTCTAGCCCCAGCCTTGTACCTGCTCCAAGAGTGGTAACTCCAGCGCACTGTAGCGCTTTTCACGCGCTCAAAGACTTTCTAAAAATTACTGATTGAGGGGTTTTGGACGACGCTCAGCAAATTTCTAATTGCGAGGATATGACTATTTTCACTAACGTTAATTAACAAATTTTAATTAATTAGCCGACTTATCGCGAGGATTAGCCACCCCCATATGTCCCTCTGGGCGTATACGGTACGTACATTGGCAAAATCATCGTCTTAATATGAAAATAAAAGAAATAAGGAAAACTGGAGCGAGATGGCTAAAATAGGATGACGATGGACTTGTGGAGGTTTGAAGTCACGGATTCTGGTTGCTTCCTCGCAGAACTTCTCGGTGAACTACTGGATCTCCCAAGGAGCTGCTCGAGAGAAGATGGTGTTGGGCATGGGCCTGTACGGGCGGGCCTTTACGCTGCAGAGAGCAGAGGACCATTACCCCGGAGCCCCGGCGCCGCAGCCGGGCACGGCTGGACCCTTCACTCGAGAACCGGGCTCTCTCGGATACAACGAGGTAACCATTTTCCACCGAGCATACGCACTGCATTGCAGTGATAAATAAATAAAAGGAGTAACGATGGCATAGATAAGGAAGTAAAATAAAATTTAATTTAGCTGACAACGAGCGTTCCCTACCCTATGTGTACTCTGTCCCCTGCTAGACGCGCGAGTGCGATGTGAAGCCTTTTTGGTGTAGCCTAGTTGTCCACCACATGTGACCAAATTATGTTTATAACAAACAAAACATAGTGACAGAAGTGGGATCGAACCAGTCTGACGTCAATCAGGGGTTTGAACTCCGAAGCCCTCACAGCCCTGGTACATCACAGTGAATCTGAGCACGAAATGGATAGAAATTTTAATTTGAAGAATCGTAGTAAAAAAATTAAAAAGAAAGAAAAAAGGATTTCTTTTTTAAGTGGTTGCTTACAACTTTAAAAATATACACAAACTCATTTGGGTGTAGTTATTTCGTATAGAGTGTTTTCACCCGACGTAATTTCGTCCACCGTTTTGATGTCACGAGCTGTCTGGCGCATGCTGAAGGCGAGTATTCAGAAGATTCACGCGACGCCTTTAAAGCGGTAGTGCACAAAAGCTAGCAAGTTTCATTGCGCATCTTTTTTTCTTTGTCTTCTGACCAATAAAACGTTTTCTCACTCACCCACTCTAACAACAAAATGGCGAATAGACAGACTAAGCGTTTGGCGCATGCGTGACGCCGCCATAACTTTAGTTCACAGGTGGCAGATGGCCGTGCGTGCGAGGGCTCGCGTGCTGTCTCGTGCTCCTCACGCTCAGAGTTCCAGCGTGATTGTCGCACGCGTGCAGAACGACCAAAGTTCCCTTGATGCATTGCGGCAGCGGTGGCGTCGTCAAACTGCTGGTGAGATCGGTCTATTGACGCAAAATTTGAGGGCGATGTAGCGCATGCTCAGAACGAGCTCAGATTGATAGGCTGCTAAGACCGGCAATTTTGATGACGTGCGGAATGAACTGTGGTAGCTCCCCGTCAGCACGCGTTCAGCAGTCGCACACACAGCTATGGTCTTCAGTGAATACTCTCTATACACTCTGTTCAACCTTAAGCTTAAGCTATAAGCGCGAGCTAGCCCGTGCTCCTGGCTTTGAGACGTGCATTTCTAGCGCGAGTGCTCGTCCTGCGGAAGAACGCTTCAAAGCAGCGACCTCGAGCTGTCGTGCTTGTGGCATTGGCTTCAGTCTCGGCTTAAATTAAGGGTGAACGGAAGCAGGGTATCTGGCCGCCGCCATGTCCCTTCACGTGCGGGCAGGCCCATGCAACTTCAAGCTTGCCAAGGCCACGTTCAAGCGTGCATGGGGCACCAGTCGGGGCGCCAAGCTTGCAACCAAGAAGATCTTCGGCGTGGCAGTAATTCTTGTTGCTGAGCCGCACCAAGAGATTCGGTCCACAATAACGGGACTTCACCAAAGGGAAGGAGTCGCCGTCGACTAGCCAAGAATTGAACGCCATCTTGCCTTCTCATCGTCATGAATCGTGGTTTAATCGATGATCCGTCACATGCGCATTCTTACATCGTTCGTGAGGATGTGATGGCAGTGTTGCATAAGCTCGACAGAAAGGAACAAAGTGTGAAAGACAAAGTAGATTAGAAGGGGGCGGCAGAGTCACCGTGCGGAAATCAAAAAAGAACACTATGAATTGAAGCGATTTTGCTTTCCATTGCTCTGCATGGTCCATATAGCTGTACGTGTCCTGTTATGATCACTTTGTACTCTTCTTGTCAGACATATCTTGCTCAGTCTTGTTTCATCATTTTGAATTTGCTTGAGTGTGATATTTATGTCCGCGCCCAACATTTGCGCGTCTTGCAAACAGATCTGCGAGGCCTTCAAACGGCAGAGCTGGACCGTCGTGAAGGATCCCTTCTACATGGCACCCTACGCCTACTACGATCGACAGTGGGTGGGCTACGATGACATGGAAAGCATCGCTGCCAAGGTAATTCTATCGCCTAAGTAAAGAGCATAAATCATCAATCACAAAGCATACTAATAAAACAGACCGCTTGGGTCATATGAGCCGAATTCTTGTACATAGAATACATTATAATTTATAACTTAAAAGAAAACTTGCAACTTACTTCAGTGCGATTTTGTTCATTCCGAAACTGCATCTTCATTACCTGACCCTGACACACTTCCCTGCTTTTTCATGTCGCTTTTTGTGCCAGTCTTTTCCTTGCCTTCCACACATCGTTGTCTACTTTGAAAACAGCTATTTTGTTCCCAATTAACTTAGTGACCAAACAGCTTGTTAACAAATTAATGTGAATTCCACGGGTAAAAGCGTGGGGAACGAGATAAAGGCATCGACATATATACATCTTCCTGTCCACGTGTTGTGCGAATATGCAATACCAGAACCCGACCAGAGTGTTCCCTATGTTGACGTTACACCCGACAATACGGAACCAGTGGACATTCTAACCCTGTCTTAACTCCCACAGGTGGAGTTCGCCAAGGCCCTGGGGCTCGCCGGCGGCATGGTCTGGTCCATAGAAACGGACGACTTCCAGGGAACATGTCACGGCATCAAGTACCCCATGCTAAGCACCATCAACCAGGCGTTCGCCCTGGGCGGACCGGGAGTCATCGCCACTCCACCGCCCATGCCACCGACAGTTCCCACCACCGCGACGCCAGTGACCGAGAAGACCTGGTGGCCGCAGCCGGGCACCAAGGACCCCGTGACACCGTCGGAGGCACCCACGACCCAGAAGGTCTGGTGGCCACAGCCGACCACCATCCGGGACACCATGCCGCCTTCCAGAGAGACGCCCACGACCCAGAAGGTCTGGTGGCCCACTGTAACGCCCAAGGACGAGGGGACCTCGACATTCACGCCGTCTGGGTGGACACCTCAGAGCACGCCGGAGATCACCACTTCCGTTTGGGTTCCTTCGCCGGACCCCGGCACCGGTACCACGGCGTCCTCAGAGTTCAAGTGCACGCAGAGCGGTACCTTTAGGCATCCCTCTAACTGCCAGAAGTTCTTCGACTGCGTTCACCAGAACGAGGGCGTCATGGCGTTTGAGAAGAGCTGCGCTCCCGGAACAGTGTTCAACCCCGCCAACAACCTTTGTGTCTGGCCCGACGACGTTCCTGACTGCAAGGATCACTACTTGACCCAGGAGAAGACGCGCTTCTTGCATTTTTACTGAGGGTGGAGGATGCTTTCGAAGGACTCTAAATGCTGGCCAATCACAGGTTAAGAAACTCGGGGCGTGACGAGTCTCAAGCGTCTTATCATCGCTCCGCATCCAATCAGATGACGGCATTAGCCGATCAGAACTCTGGAGAGCCAATCGCGAAGCGTCATCAGACTAAGTCACGCCCTGTATTGTCAGTGACTATATAGTTTATAATCTATGGCAGTCCACGCTTTCGTGAATTGTCTTCTTCCCCGGTCTTTACCCGTTCGAGTATGCTATTTAGTAGATCGCGAAATTCAGAATGGTTATCGAGAAATCGGCAAGTGAAAATGATGCCAAAACCAAAATTCAAATATAGCCGCGCTTTTCAGTGCGGTCACGTTAGTGGCGGGCAGGCTCGCCAGTCAAACAAGCAGCCTAAAAAAAAAAAAAAAATGGACTGTGCCGAGTATTTGTTTTGTGCAGCTGCTCGGGTGCTGGAGCAAGCTTCCAAAGCATTCTTTTGACACCGTGAAACTACTAGTAGGCAGTTGGGAACAAATCATACAGTCCAAAGAGTGAACGCCCTGCCTACTGTACCCTGCCTGCCGCTAGCGTTCCTTTTTTCGCTGTTGCCAGACTTTCAGTCTGAAAAACACGATCAGGACCAAAATTGTAAATTAAATAGCTTCGCAAAAAAAAAAAAAAAAATATATATATATATATATATATATATATTTCGGATGCTATTCCAACGATGTTTGCAGGTTTGTTCGTGTAATTTTCAGACAAATCGGGGACCTTTTTTTCTCAATTTAGCACAAAGCTGCGGAATTTTCAGCTGCTTGATGTGTAGTGTACTCAGTTCTCAAAACGAAGTGTTTTTCCACAACTTTTTTTTTATTGAACCACACAGATGTGTGAGTAACTGATGTTTGCTTCGCACAAAGTCTACAAAAAATATTTAAAAAGAAAAAAAAAACACGCAAAAAAACTGTTGCGAAGTAATAAAAGCGCATTGACATCCACCGGTAATTTATAACATCGCATAATCACTTCTGAGGCTTTCTGTGTGTTTCTGTGCAACTTACGACGATTAAAAGAAATATATGCCGCTGAAACCAACCTCCGCTGTCTCAGTCCGAGTTATGGAATCGACTGGCCATGTGGCGATCAATTTCTTTCAGCTATGAATAATAAATCTGAAGCAACACACCTGCCGGGGATTCCGTGCAGCGAGATCATTATTCAACAATATCGAGTGAATAAATCCTGCCCTAGCTCTTGCTATGTAATTTCGAAAGTTACTTTCTTAATGGAATATTAGCGCCCAGATGTTTCGGTGGCACCTTCTTATGGTTTCCATTCGTGACGTCATGATCAGAATTTGCCTCGCCGTGGCGTCATGAGTAGTTATCTTTGACTATACTTATCATCAGCTGGGAAATACGATAGAAGTTTCACGGTGTCTGTAGAAATAACAATGGAGGCTTGGAGTCTTCACATTCTTAAACCAACAGTTATAATACCCTGACATTGCGCCGAGTTCCATCGATGAAAGACAAATTAATACAAATTAATACAAAGTTCGGTCAATCGCGAGCTGCGACCACAGCGACGCTTTAGGTCGACCGCGTCGCTCAAAGGCCCCTTTCGAAATTCGCGTGCCGATTATTAGAAGGTCGGTACCACCGCACAATGGCGGAACAATTGACATCGTGGAACGTGCAAGCCATCCCATAAGATCGCGAACGTCGGAGAGCGGCCAACACTGCGAGCCGACGAGCCAATCAAATAGCCTCGAAATTGCAACGTCACTGCGCTCACCACCTTTCCTTTCCTTCCCTCCTCCTCCTCCTCCCTCCCCCCCAGTGGGTCTTCTTCTATTCCAACCAAACGCATAACGTGTGCCGTGATGTTGCGGTTTTAGCCCGCCATTAAGGATTCCACGGCTGTCAAGAGGGGGCAGTATTTCAGCCGCTGCCTGCGTTCCAAGCGACTTCCGGTCGCACCTATCTTTGGAAGCCTGTCGAGCTTGCTTGTGCCACCAACGCTGGAAAGCATAAATACTACACGGACAACAAAGTCGGAGATTTAGCGAGGGCCTCCGGCTGTACAATATTACATTTCGGAGGAGACATGTTGGTGTACAAGAATATTAGAAAAAAAATTTGAACAGAATGCGCGCTTTTTGGTTCTTTTGGTGTGTCATCAACGTTTCAAGCAGCGGTGATAATTAGTAGGCTTTGTTCATTCTTTTTTTTTTTTTTTTGCGGGGGGGGGGGGGGGGGGGGGGGGAGGGGGGAAATCAGACGTTTGCTAAAACTTAAAAAAAAACAAAAAAAAAACACCTTTTTGTTTTGTGATGGTTTCTGGGTTTTGAGGGCACTGCATAAATAAATACAGACATAAATAACATAACCAGTCTTTGATTCGTTTAAACGCCAGGGCATCAACAAAACGTAATTAGCAACGCGCCACCAGCGTTTTTTTTTTTTTCTTTGTTGTTACACGGTGAGCTAAGTGACCCACCCTGCAGTAATGGCGATAAGTTACGAAGATAATGGCAGAAATAATCTAATACACAAGTGCGTGGCATAGCAGAGTTATTTAATCGAATGCTACGCACACACGCAAATTTCGATAGATCCTCCGATATCTTACGACATAGCGCAAGTTAGTCTGCTTCTTTTGTTCGGGTAGTGGTGACGTCAGAACGCCAAGCGCTCTGGTTGGCTCTGATTAAAGGATAGTGGGTAGACGTCAAAGCAAGCTGCCTTGAGGGTCTACCCACCATAATTCAATTAGAACCAATCAGGGCTAGGCCTCCTGACGTCACCACAACCCCGGCAAAAGCAGCAGACGCACCGCGAGTCAGCGGTTTCGTTCATCACGACATCGCTTGGCGCCTCTCGAAAGTTGGTGACGTCTGCGCGCGCGGCGCGACACGTTTCACAACGGAGAAGCTGTATTTCGCTGGTAGGCGTTGACCAGGGTGATTGATAACCACACAAAAAGACGAACTCACACTTTTCCGCGTAGCGTAGCCGCAGGTGTTGAGTCATCTTTACTTGCGTTGGGTGTGGACGTACGATGAAAGGGGTACACATTTTTTTTCTAGGTTATAATGATAGGGATTATGAAAACCGCAGCGACCGAACGGCCGAACTCTAGAAGAGCAAATATCGTCTGCTTGAAATAGAGAGCAGACGACGTGAACCTGCGTCAGCGCCACTCGTAGTCAGAGTGGAAATACTAAAATAACAACAAAAACAAACAACAGAAGAATTTAAAAAAAAAAGAAATAGGATTTTTCTGCCACGATATCACTGTCAAAGCGGAAACATAACAAATTTACTTATATAAAAAAAAAAAAAGGAAGGAAAAACTGGTTTTCTTCAATGATGTTAACATAACCAGGGAATGAAAAAAAAAAAAGTCAGAGTACAGATTGCGCGTGCGTATTAATTTGTATTTCGTCAGTTTTAATCTGATTAGCCTTTGCCACCGCGTTTGCGGATTTAGATCGCGTACATTAAGTTTCGGTTTTATTATCAGAATCTAAATGAATGGACAATAATGGCTGCGCTCTAATAGCGAGTTCGTTTCACGGCACTCGTGCCCACGCGTGCCCACTCGCAGCGTGGAACGGGTTCGTTTCGGCCGGCACTCCACGAGTGGTTGCACTCTCCAAGTTCGTTCCAGCGCTGACACCCCGCGCGTGCATGCACTCGCTGCACCGAGAAAATCGGGAGTGCGCCAAAATGCAATCCCGTCATGCCTCGCTCCGGTCGAGCCGGTGAGGAGCGGGAGCAGACGACGAGGGTTCGTCTGCTACGATGTGTCGCGGAACCGAACGGGAAAAAAAGTAGATTTTCTCATAGATATCGCGTCCCGCGGGCCATGAAATCAAACGCGAGCTTGAATTGTGAGCGTCTGCTATTTCCCGAAGGAAGCAATTGACAACCCGTGATTTATTTGCAGGTTTTAAATCGCTCTGTTGCCGCACAAACGCTGAAATATACCAGTGTGTAAAGAAATGCTCAGAACAAACGCAACAGCGGCCCCCGAGATGTCTATCACCATCCGTGTGCGGGTGAAAAATTTAACATTTTTCGACAAAACTCCCCCAGCAGAAACCTCTGACTGCCCAATGAGCATCAGAGAAAGCTAAAGATGGAGACTTTATCCGAGGATTGGGCAACATCATCATGTTTAACATTTACCTTCGTCAGCTAACTTACCCCGTCGTATTTTGTTCGAGAAAGCTCTCATTCTCGACGCCCTCGCCAAGGCTAATATCTAATCCTGACGATCCAAATCGAAAGTCCCAGTTTTGCTGGATATTCCAACAGGATAGTCTTAAGCCGTACCCTTTCAGTGGTTCACGAATAATACCATGCTCAAACGGATCAAGCTTCTGCTCGGACAGCATCATCAGTTTTCTTCAGTGTAAACGGTTATAAGAATTGAAAGATCGCAACCAGCTGCTTTGTAGACAGCTGGTTGCGGAAATTTACGCCGTCTGTAATTATCTCTACAGCAGCCTAGCTGCTTGAAGTCATTGCAACTATAAACTACAGGTTGCAGCGACCAACGTTTGTAGATAAACGCTGGTAGCCGACTGCATTCTCGCATTCCCACGCATCACTCCGAACAGAAAGGTGCTAGTTTCGGTTTGAAGTCGGTACCTTTTCTACAACATAGATGGCGGCAGCGTCAGTCTTCTGCACTCGGTGCATTTGGCGAGTTCGTTTGAGTCCAGTTTTCCGTGCAACACTCTGTGAGTGCGATGCATTCTGGGAGAGAACTCGAACGGTGACAGTGCGTGTGAAACGAACTCGCTATAAGTAACGGGCGGCAGTTAGCGACACCTAGCCTTTCATTTCCACAAAACCACAATAAATTGTAATATATAAAAAGACAAAACAAAAAAAAACTTTAGTATGAAAAGTAATTATTTAAATAAATAGCTTTAAAATTTTTTTTTTTAAAAATGCTAGCTAGTTGTTTTAGATTTATAATCTTTTTCCATCGTGATTTTAACTTGATCCAATCCAATCCAAAGTACGAGCCCGCGAGTCCACAAGCTGATAATCTCGCAGCAGACCGGCGGACCCGACGTACTTCAAGCTCAAAGTAGAAGCGAATTTGTGTGCTCTTCGATCTTAGCCTGTAAACTTCATGCTCCTTCAAGTCGATTACCAAATCCGCCATGGACGAGCAACGCATCGACATGTCGAAGGGCATAAAAACTGCTGCACCCGCGGAGACGGCATCGACAACCCCGTTTAAACGCCGAAGGTTATCCCAAGCAAGGTTCACGAACACTTCGTTCCACTCCCCGGTCAAGATCCTACCCGAGAAGAAACCCGAGAGCGTGGACGATCTTCAACGGGAGCTCGACAGCCTCACATCGAAGTCTCGGGAGATCGACCAGGAACTGAACGATCTCCGGGCGCAAGGCTTGAAAACCGAAGAACTCGACTGGCACATCGAAAAACTCCACGAATACAATGACGTCCGAGATGCCGCGCACGTAATGATCGGACATCTGGCCGTTTTGGAAAGAGTTACGGTCCGAGAGAAGCACGAGCAGTACGGCCTTCCGCTTCATGATTGAGAGTGTGGCATCATCCAGGGTGTCTTTTCCCTACTGGTCTCGGTGTCTGCATTGTGTGAAGCCACAACGACAAACACAAAAAACAAGAAAATGAATTCCGAGCTTTTTTTTTGTTTTGTTTTGTTACGGAGTTTTTAGTGAGACAAGTTTTCTTAAACAGCTGTTTTCATGTGTTTCGAGGTTTGTGGCTGTCGAACATGGCACAAAGGCTTGCACATGTTTTAAGGGAGGTTTAGTAAGAAATCTTTGCAAATCTGCGATTCCAGACTTTTGAAATATTAATCGTTTCTGTATACATAGCTTGCATTGACGTCACACCAGCCACCGTTGCTCTGTTTTATGCTCCTGTGCCCATACTTTCTGCAGCATACATTTGGCACCATCGAATTTGTACTTCTCGGCAAGGATTAGTGAGAAGAACAAATTCGGTGGTACGAAATGTATGCTGCAGAATGTACGAACAAAGGAGCATAGTACAAAGCAATGGCGGCTGGTACAGTGCCGTATGACGTCCAGTGCAAGGCATGTATAGTTTGTTTGCATTAATAATAAATGCCAAGTGCAATCCGACTTTCTATTTCGGATGATATGACCCATTTCAAGGGGGAGGATAGCAAATTTTGGCACTTTCGTAGTCCTGGGTGGCAGAGATAAGCTCACCAGAGATAAGCTCACTGCAAAACCGTCCAATCCGGAGAAAAGCTCACCGGCCTTTTGACAAATGCATAGAAAAGCTCACCTGTGAACCTGAACTGAGCATTTGCTCAAATGAAATATGTCACTCAACTGAAGAACGTTCGGATGCTGTACGTGCATGCAGTCATTGTGCCATGGATGAAGAAAGAATAAACAATTAAAACAGGGACAACACAACCACATCTTTCAACTAGCAACAGACAGGTCTCGTCTGTTGCTAGTTGAAAGATGTGGTTGTGTTGTCCCTGTTTTAATTGTTTATTCTTTCTTCATCCATGACTTTAACCAACACGCTCTTCAACCAGGCATAGTCATTGTGCATTTCACTAACTTGTACAGAATGAATTGCTTGACACGAAAAAAAAATTCTATAAACCAGTAATTGAAGGATAGACTGGAAAATATAACCAATGTAGTAGGCTAGTTTCTTCCTAAATTGTTATATACGAAATTATCTTTCATGTGCGTAGTACCCAGATTCTACATTTCCAAAACTTCACATCATTTGGACATTTAAGAGGGAACGAACTGATATTTCCTCTATACCGGCTAAGTCACAATTATATATGGCAACACTCATGTGAAAACAGTCGACATTAAAGTGGAACAAGGGCTGCAGAAAAGCGCCCTGCTTTGAAATGTTTACCGCCTGCATGGGACACACCTGTAGATTTAGTTCCACTACTGCTCCCAAGATGTTCAACCCAGTCGAATACGGGAACAAATTGTTCACTTCACGAAATAAAGATTGAATAGATAAAAACCAGCTTGCATAAAAATTTAATTCCAGGTGACCTTTTCTTCCTGTCTGTCTAAAGACTGGTGAGTTTTTCTTCAGACCTGCACAAAGTAGGTGAGCTTATCTCCAGTGAGCTTATCTCCGGTGAGCTTATCTCCGGTGAGCTTTTCTCCGGGATTCAGGACCCGGTCCAAAAACTCGTGGCAAAACTAAACATGTAATTAATAAGACATTAATAGCAACAACATTGGAGGCAAGAGAAATACATACAATTAATGTGAAACACAAAGTTCATTGGCTCAACCATCCCATAGACACGATGCTAAGTCCCTCTCAAACCAATTAGGAGTGCAATAACTAAACGGGTGTCATCACCTATTATGTATATTATCTACACGCCTGCATGGCCCCTTCTTCAAAATAGTGCAGCAATTACACCTGACCAGTCTGCCGCTCAATGCGGTTAAACTGCACTAACTGTCGGTCCTCCCGACCCACTGTCGAGCAGCCTTCAGCGCTGCCGAGAACGTGCTCAGCGCCGGATGCACGCGGCGGCACTGAAGGAGGAGAGTGCCCGCTTCAGCCGTCTTGTCGGCATCTAGCAAACTTTGGACGGCGAGGTCTACGTCGAAGTGTTCCACAGCCGAGTCACGATTGGCCATGAGGTGCGCGACGAGTGGCTCGTAGAGGGGAGTCGACGTCATTTCTGGCAAAAGGTGCAGCACCAGAATTCGTTCCAAGAGACTTTCGTCGTAATCCGATTCCGAAACCTGAAAGAGATGGGACCGAAACAAATTGGAGGCTGAGAGTCACCAATCTGAAACCAGCCCGTCGTCTCTGTTAGGTGTGTCTTGTACCTTTAACCGCTACTGCAGCAAAGCCGCGATTCGCCCACCCTACCAGTCTAAAATTTGGTGTATGTTGCGTGCCGTGGACGTACACTGTGAGGTGTACATCAGTTTTGAAGCCGCACGAAACAACACCTTAAATCCTTTCTCCAAGTGAAGTCAGCTCCCAGCTATGAAACCACGCGAAAAGTCTAGCCAAGCGGCACCTGGTTTCCCCGATCCCAAAGGGAAGGGGTAAAGCCGATGGGTTTTGGCTTCAATCCTACTGGCTGGCGCGTGTCGACGAAATAAACTTTGAATGACCGCCACCCCATGGCGCTACGTGCCCATCACGCGCCGGTAACACAAAACGTCCAAGGTCGGAGCGGCGAGGAGAGGGTGCGCTCTGCCGTCGACTCAAACACGCTGCAGACGAAATAGGGGAGTGGAAGAATGACGTGCATGCACTCACAACTCATATGAAGAGCTTAGGTTACCTCGAGCCTTTTGATTTCAATGATTGCTTATCAAACATTTAATTTCCCACAGCAATACAAATAAGCCACCAGAAATTTATGGTTAGTCTACTGAATGCACAGTCTCCACACTCTGTCAAGAACAGCATATTAAGTCTAATTTTTCTGGACTTCAGTCAGAGGCACCTCCTTTGACACAGCACCAATCAGGATAAAACGACTACGCATGACCTTAGTAACAATCGCAGACGTGGTTCTATCTGTGCTAATCCATAACTGAATCTACATTCTTTAGTTGCGTCTTTTCTTTTATAACTGCTTGCTGCTAGCTACATTATGGTTTGAGGTTAACTAGATTAAAAAAGGCTCGAGGTACACCTAAGCACTTCTTATAAGTTGTGAAAGCGAAAGCATGAATGTCGGTCTTCCGCTCCCTTAGTTTGTGTACGGCGTACTGGTGTGGACAGCCATGTTTTGCTACAGCCGAGCTTGCGGCCGAAGGCGGAGCTCTCGTGAAGTGGCCGCGCCACGCTAACATCGGCCGTGCAGCCGCTCCAGGGTCCACCCGAGCGGGCTCTGAGAAGCCCCGCAGTCAGCTGCTTTCTTTTATTGGCGTGCTGCGGCACAGGTCCGCAGCGCCATAGGGTGGTGCTCGTTGAAACTGACGTGCGCCAGCCAATGGGAGCCTATCCATCAGATTTTGGCTTCAATTCGCTCCTTTTGGAGAGGTGAATTTAGCTGCCGTTTTCTGTGGCTTTTTGCGAGCTTTCAAAGCTGGGAACCTTCAGATTGCGGCTTCACTTCGCTTTATCGGAAGGGGAGTTTAGCTGCCATTTAGTGCGGCTTCAAAGCTGATGACATCGGCTCGCTCCATGGGACCAGTTAATGCTTTCGCAGTAAAAGTCAGACAATCGTAGCCCCAAGAATCCTTTGAAACTGGAGAGGAACGAAACAGAATGTTGTCCGAAAACACTGGGCTGCAAGTGAAAGAAACATTAGTTGCGACAGTACCGTAAATAAGATATTTCTGATATGCAAACATAAAACCAAAACAAACTATGAGTGTGCACATAAAAAAGAAAAAATTATAACACTCACCTCACTCAAGCCTCGCAGGAATGAAATGGCATCTTTGTGAACCTCTTGGTGGATTGTGCTGAACGCAGCTCTCAGCAAGTGAAGGACACTTCCTTTTCTTTTGAAACCTTCGAGGACATGGCGGCAACACTGTGGTACGAGAATGGAGAGGGGGAAAAAAGTAACTTAAAAGGGGGGGAGGGGGGTATGTGTTTTTGGTCTTTAGGCTAGGTGGCACAAGCTACCACCCATTATAATGGAAGCAGCCATTAACATCCATTTATTTATCCATACATCCAAAAATGGCATTCCTAGAAGGACCACATAACTGAGTAAATAATAACGGTTGGTACATTAAAAAAAAAAAAAGTGATCTTCAACAGAAGTTTATAAGATCACACCCACAAAATTTCCTTTTGTTTAAATACCACATAGTATCAGTACAGCCAAGCATGTAGCAGCATATCTATAAGTGTTTAAAGGAAAAAATTAGGAAAGAAACACCAAAAATCTAACTCAATTTTATTAAACTGTGTCTAATAGCATCCTAAGCTTGCGCTAAAATAAAATCTAAAAAATAAAATTAAGGGAAGGAGACTTACTACCTCATTAAAATTTGTCTCTCTGATAAATACTATGTTAGCATATTTTCCCATTTAAATTCAACCATAACAACAAGAGACGAGATAAAATCTTGCGAATTGAATAGCCAACAGGAGAGAGAATACTCGAAAGACGGACCCACCTTGACGCTAAGATTGCAGTTGGCAATAGCAGACGAGAACAGGCTGCCCGCGGCATCCAGTGTGTCGCGCGGGTTTCCGCCAACCTCGAAAAGTTTGGAAAGGAGGCGACACCAGGGATTCTTCGCTGGATCCCTAAAAAAAGATAAAACAAGATCACGGAAGATGTGTTGAAACAAACCATTCACACGGTCTTGATCGTGTCAGTTTCCGCTGGCACAATCACTGGTTTCAGAATGGTCGGGAATCGTTCGAACGAGTAATGCCCATTTAGAAGTTGCACTATTTTGATGCGAAATTATTGTCCAGTTTGTGCAACATCTTTTTGAGAACAAAAAAGAACAAATCGGAAAAAAAAAATATAAACTGTTTCTGAGAAGTATCAATTAAAAACAATTACCCAGTTAACCTGCAGGCAATAAGAGCTATGCCAGGTCACAATAGTTTAAATTAGAAAGCAAATACCATGAGAAACGTTCCTCACAGTATATAATCAAAGGAAACAGCAGGTCAGAAAACGTTCCAGTAGTAATTTAAAGTACCACGCTGGGATTGATAACAGAAAAGAACAAATAGACACAGTCATCCTGACATTACTTCTACCTAAAAAGAACAAAAGCTTCGGAAAATTTTCATCTGAAGGAAGCAGGATTTAAAACAATCACAACAGAAAATGCAATATAGTAAGTACACTAGCACAAAATTGTGAGCACAAATATAAATGAGGTCCATTCAAGGAGATGCTACCGTACGTTTGCCTAGTAGACTCTAGAGGTGTTCCGCATTGCAACAGTTTTCCGAGTACAATACAGCTGGATTCCTTGGTGCAGCGTTCGACAAGTTCGTCAAACATTGTCTGCATCGTAACGTCATCCAGCTCCAGGCTTTCATGCACCTGCAAACGCCCAAGTGAAAGGAAAGTTGTTACAAACCAAACAGAGAAAATTAAAACTTTGATCTCAAGGTTTGCTCATGCATCCATTCTGATGTAGGTAGTGTGTCGAGTGTTGTGCACAAAGGGGCGTGTGTAAAAAAGAATAAATCTAAAATAACCAACGTGAACATCACAGGGCAACAGCCACTTTCTTTATCCATACATTCACTTTCATACATTCACTTTCATTATCTTTCGGTTTATAGGTAGGTAATGTGTCATGGTCATGCGTGTTGAGGTGTCCACAACATGCTGAGGTGTCCAGAACAAATACAGCCTCTAAAAAAAAAGAATTGGTTTCTATGTTAAAGGCCGACTTACGAAACCATTTTCCGCAGGGTAGGAAAGTGCTCCCCAACGACCTTCGCTCCCTCCCCTCTCGCACTCCTTCCTCCTCCTCCCCTGAAAAGGGCGGGTCTGGAAGCTAGTCTCCGTGGAAAGGAGAAGGGGTTTCCTCCTTTCTGGGTGGCAAGGAGGAAACCTCTTCTCCAGCGGAAAATGGTTTTGTAGGTTGGCCTTTAAACATGGGCTTGTTTACAAACAAGCCCGTGTTTGCCTGCACAAAATGTGGGCGTTGCGGTTGCGCAAAAACAAAATTTGCGCCACATTAAGCGATCCTGCATGAGCACTAACGGCAGCGCCACCATGTTGGCATGGTGTCGGAGAGATGAGTTTGTGTACAGTCAGTCGGATGCAAGTCCAGAATGTGCCAAACAAACATCATCACGTAGCACGAGCCACGGCATCAAATTGCTCCGTGGACCAACCAGAAAAGGCAGCAGCTACAATGAGTAATGAGTGACATCTTCACAGGTGCACCTCTATAGCAGACTATGTGCACGATGCGGAGTAAAAGTGGCCGGCGGTAGGGTCTGAGAGGAGCTTCTAACACATTCTTAACTTGTATCTGACTTATAATAAGTGTGACATTCATTGGAGCGTGATACTGATTATCATAACTCAAAAGCGGGAGCATCCCAAGGTTGCCGCCTCACCTCGTAGTCGGGCCACTCCGACCAGACAAGCGTCTGCACACGCAGCAGACGAAGTAGGTTCTCGTCTTCGGCACTCAGGGCCACGCTCTGTAGAAACGTATAGCTACAGGTCAGGTCCCCTTCAGGCTAAAACAAGCTCTAAATAGCCACGCAATTTTAACAATAACCAACACAAAGGTCAGTTTATACTGAACCTGTTCACTATTGAGTATGTCAGCTATATGTTTAAACCGCTGCCATGACAGACATCCTGCGACATGAATTATGCGACACGAGATGTTTTACAGCGGCCATATATGGGTGATATCATGTTGTATGAATCATGCAATAGGAGTCATAAGGCAGTAGTCATTTGCGTTTCTCAGCGACAGCTTTTATTCTACGAATTTGAAGTACAAACTATTATGAGCGGGTTTGCGGTGTGCATTTCAATGTAACAGTTCAGTCAACACGGAGACTCCGGAGAAAAAAACGTCAAATTCATAAAAGGTATTGCACATACAAATATTCTGAGAGGACTAGTGGTGGCGTTCCAAGCTTGTACTATTTTTTAAATACACGACAGAAAGAATTTTAATGGACACATAAAATGTGAGGGAAAAAAACCCGTCTGATTATGGGACCCGCATAAAGTGCCACCTTATGAGCGAACAAACAATGTTTATGTTTGTCTGCATGAGAGGTAATTATCTATGTGCATAAGTGACAATAACCTTTTCCTAAAGAAAGCCCCCTGAAGTGGCAGTTTTTTATGCCCTACCTTTTCAAGAATCTCCAGAACCCTCAACCGCACTTGAATTGCGACATTGGTGTCGAGGCAGAAAGGCCGAAGCAGGTCCAGTGCCATGTCCGCGACAAAGACTTCTTCGCTGCAAGTTAGAGTAAAGGGAGTTTCCCTTGAGCACTTTTAGCACATCAGTTTTAGCACTTTTATGAAAATACAGTGAGGGTGCAGGTGAGCTGGTGCAAGTTCACCATTTTTGTTAAAACACCTGAGACTGGGCAAGCAAATCTTGAAACAACCAAAAGTAGAAGGGGAAAGAAGTCAGTCAGACGACGTCTCAAACTCAGCTAAAGCTTTTCTTCAGTAAACCTCTTTTATACACTTTGAAACCAAAGTCGTCACCAACCAACGCAACAAACAAAGGAACAAAAAAGGCAAGCTCCACAGTTATTATTGTACACACTTATGACACGCCATGGCGGAACGACCTTGGTGGCCAAGCCCATCGGACTGATAAGAAACCTCAAAGAGAACAAGAGACATGTTACCCTCCATGCCACTTTTAGTGCAGAGGAAAAAAAAAGCAACAACCATAAAACGAGTTTGCAAAGACCACATACCTGTGATAACTGGTTTGAAATGTCAATGTTTAGAGAGACTTTCTAAGTTTTGTTTTGACACTTGCCTGATAGAACTATCTTGGCAAGTGTCTTCACAGTTGCCGAGAAGTTGAAAACATGGGCTATCAAAATACCTGAGAACTATACACCGGGTAGAGCGTTGTGATCACAGTGATCATGGAAAACTGGTCAAATAATCCCGTGTCTGGATGTCATATTCGGGAGAAAAACTAACTGGATTAAAGCCCACCAGAGAAATACCGGAGAAAAGCTAACCGGATTAAAGCTCGCCGGAGGTAAGCTCACCGAAGAAAATATCACCAAAGAAAAGCTCACTGCAAAACTGTCCGATGTGGAGAAAAGCTCACCAGCCTTTTGACGAATGCGGAGAAAAGCACACCTACGGACCTAAGAATCCAGCGTTCACTCAAGTGAGATACATTCACTTAATATTTTTAATATGCGCATATGCCCTGTATTTAAATCAAAGAATCATCACACAAGAAAGATTTATAGCAGACTAAACATGAGCAAAAAGCAGTGGTCTTCGGAGAAAATCAATGCATGGAGCTTTATTTACACCTTTGACAAAAGCTGGAAAAGTAAAGGTATATTGCAAGAAAATCAGATCACAAAAAGCAAGAAGTCGATACAGCTATTTTGTTAACGAAAAAATACCTAGGCTGTTTTTCTTCTAGCATTGGGGTTTTTTTATCAACAAAAAGTTGTTAAAATTTCGGAAATTCTTTTTTTTTTTTGCATTGTTTTCATCGAACCAAAAGAATCGATAAAACAATTCGCCATGTTTAAAAATGCATATAGTAGTGATAAATAATCAATATTTTCTAGCTCCAGTGATTTAAAGTTATCAAATTAATCTGATTTAAATCAAACAAATGCAATATACATTTTAAAAAATCTTGTGTCAGTATTTGTAAATTATTATTTTTTTCTACATTGGCTACAGCAGAATGACTTGATGTGAAGTGTATCACTGTATGACACTGTCAACAGAAAGAGCGATGGGCTTTTTTTGTTTCTTTCTTCCATTTGAGTGGTTGCCGTCAATGCTACTTTGCGGTAGAATTTGCTCATTCGGGGCACAAACTTATGCGATAAATGTTCGACGCTGGTCAACTCCTTCTCTAAGTAAAATGCGAAAAATCAGTTCGCGCTAACTGTGTTGCATAGTGTACTGCCTGCGCTTAGAAACTTGGTAGCACTACTCCTATTAAATGATAATGACCACTTTACAAAAATTGTATTTGAGGTTAGCTTTTCTCCGGGTCTCTCAAAAGACTGGTGAGCTTTCCTTCGTACCCACACAAAAGTGGGTGAGCTTTTCTTCAGTGAGCTTTCCCTTGGTGAGCTTATTTCCGGTGAGCTTATCTCCAGTGAGCTCATCTCCGTTGAGCTTATCTCCGGTGAGCTGATCTCCGGTGAGCTGATCTCCGGTGAGCTGATCTCCGGTAAGCTTATCTCCAGTGAGCTTTTCTCCAGTGAGCTTTTCTCTGGGATTCATCATATTCATCTTATCAACTTTGTTAGTACCTTTCCATTTGTAAAATATGTTGAAATAAGTTCACCAGAAATGTGAGGTTGCATGTCTACAATATTATATGCACACCTTCAGAGATTGTGGTCTGCATTACCTAAAATAAATTACCGTATTTATTCGAATATAAGGCGGTTACGATTATAAAACGAGGGGGCAGTTGAAGGACCCACGAAAAAGAAAAAAAATCGTCATATTGCTATACAGTATAGACCACTTACAACGTAACCGCTTATAGTGCAGGACCGGGTATAATGCGGCATTTTTAAACCACCTGTTCGCCTCCCATAGAACTCCATGTAATTACATACCGCTTAAGATGTAGGCGCGAGAAGGGAAATACCGGTTATAGTGCTGTTTCTGTAACAGCCTGCCAACCGCGCCGACCGACCGGTGCAGCGAGCACGCTTCCCTGTGCGACACTAGATAACGGCGCTAGCCGCAAGCGGCACTCGCGGGCCAAGGAAGTTGCTCGAAGAAGCGAGGAGAAGCGAGGAGAGAGGCTTCAGTTGTCATAGCAACGGAGGGACGCACGCACATGTCGTTCACGTGCGCGCATCCATTTGCTGCGTTGGAAACAACGCCATGTCAAATATTACAATCTAAATCCGTCTATATATTTAATGAACTGGCCAGCAAACTTTCAAATCAGCCAAGTCGCAGAAATCTGCCATCTCCAGCGTGCGACGTGAGGCGCAATCCTGAGACCAATCAAATGTCGAGGAGAAATGTTCACGTGCGTTGCATGCCGGTCGCGGGCCGGCTTCTTCCATCTGCAAACATGGCATCAGTTGTGATCGTCGACGTAGACGGCGTGGTGGAAGCTCATCGTTCCGCGTAAAAACGCTATCCTTGACTGTGAATTTTCGTTGTGTGTCGCTATGATGACCCAGCATGTACTAGAAGGGAAGATCCACCTACTCATGAGGCAGTGCCGTGGCGGCACTCTCAAGACGGCAGAAACGCCCGTGTCATCGTGTTTGTTTACTTCGACTACAGTGGTGATTTCTAAGCATTTGTGTTTTCGAACATCGCCCAGATTTCTTATTTGGAGCATTTCATGCCTGCACTCAAGTTGAAGGTATTACTGGCGCGTACCGTATAAAGGATGCGAATTTTCACGCGTTTTCATCACCAAAGAAAAGTGATTAGGGTTAGCAATCCTGAATGCTCGCAACGTCCGTCCGTAACCCGCAACGCCGTTAAAAGGCAGCGCCAGGCAAAAGTCACTCATTTCTTTCAAAATGTGTGACACACTTGAGAGAGAAGTGTACTAGTCTGGTGAAATAAAGACTTTCCTCAAACTAAAGCTTTATTTTTCATCTAACATAAAATAAATTGTTTTACAAAGGTAAGTTGTCTCATGGCATGTATTTTGGCCTGAAAAATTGATGTTTTGGTTATAGAGCGGTACCGCTTATAGTGCGGATTTTCGCGACTCCTGCGACATACGTTATATGCGGTCTACACTGTACTGAGCTTCGAATATAAGGCGGGGTATGACTTTGAGACTACAGATTTTGGAAAAATATCTAGCCTTATATTCGAATAAATACAGTACACCAGTTTAAGTTTGCTTTATAAGGTGAAAAAAACTTACCCTTCATCGAGAACTTGATGAAGTATTCGCTCCAAGACATCCTCCGGTGTCACTGTCTCAAAAACAGGGTGCAACTTTTTTGTTGGTTCTCTGAAAAAAGCAGCAAAAGCAACAACTGAATTTAGAACATGCAAAATTTACTATTTACAATTTACGCAACAACAGGCAAGTACTGAATTTGCATGTCGCGACATTCGGTCACATTCCTACCAGAGAAAAAGGTAATAAATGATCATAATTTTGGAGTTCTCAAGATGTGCAGAGCACATAGGTCGAGTTGCTGCCATAAAAAAACAAACCCAATACTATGCACTCGACTGCCCCTTTAATGCGCAAAAAGGGAACAAAAAAGGCCACCCCTGAAATGTCAGACGACCTCACCTGAGCTGCTCAGAGGCGAGCAAGATGGCGTCGGAATAGATGTCCGTCGGCTGCTTGTCCACAGTGTTGGGCGGGCAGCAGGACAGCAGTGATGGCAAAAGTCCGGGCTGGTGTTCGGACATTGCACAGCGTAACAGCATGGCTTCCAGCTTGCAAGAAAAAGACACGGGACAGACGGTTGAAGATTTCCCAGCCAGCCAGCCATAGTATGAGATAGCACAACTACAAAATCATCTGTCTTGGTAGGAACTTGTGAACATTGCCTGGGGGTCCTGTAACTGGGCCGAAATCATAAAAGGAAAGTCTGAAATTTGCTTCCGATTCAGGCAGGATTCTAGAGCATTATTCACATGTACATTTTCAAAACCTGAGGTGTTAAAAAAAAAGTAATATCTTACATTTTTGTTTTTTTTCTTTCTCAAAAGAGAGAAGATTGCGACCAAGATTTTCTCGAAGAAAAGTTATCTGCATTTACTGAACCTTCAGAGTGAATGCTGAATCATTTCTTAATATTAGGAACTAAATAACTTAAAAATAATTTTTCCAAAATAAATATTTTGATTTTCTTCTCATACAAAATGCTAAAAGGATCAGGTCAGGCCCATTCAAGGGCTTTGCAATTCGAAAATTCAAAGGGAAATAAAATCCACTCCGTCTATACACCCTTTTTTTTTGTTTTTTTGTTTGGCGGGTTTGCCGCGTAGGGGCAGAGATACGGTCACTTAGAGATCTACAGATGTACCCAATTCAAAAGCCACATAAATCATTATGACTCATCCCCACCACTGCACAGTTGCAGGGTCGTCGCAATTGAACCAAAAAGCCATTGACAGGTGACAGACAACATCAGAGTGTAGCTTCACGCACCTTGTCGGGCATTCCCCTGGACAGCTCAAACTCGGTGGCGTACTGCTGCACCACGGGATCTTCGAGATCCATGGCCGCCTCTCCGAAGACTCCGTCGTCCACCCTCTGGAGGTGGGTCAGGTACCTCTGGAGCGTCTGTGCTGCATCGCTCCACTGCTGCCTGGTTGGGGTCAGAACACCATAACTTGACCGACAGAAACATTAAGACCCAAAGTGTATTTTTTATTGCTAAAAAGGAACACTGACACCACCACAAATTTTATTTTTTTATATTTTGCTAGGCAATTTATAATGGTATCAGGACACTGCTACCCACTCAATATCTTGCTGCAGAGTCATGTATATACTTTTAATAAAGCCAAAAAAACTAAACTGCCCCGAAACTAAAACGTGTGCACGGAGATTCATGGCCGACTGAGCGCACCAAGAAGGAGGGGGAAATGTGGAGGAGGAGAGAGTTGCCTGAAATCAGGTGGCTATCGCTCCCTACAGTTTTTTCTTCCACTACTCCGCTTCTCTAGTGTGTGAAGCAGACGTCAACGGCAGTGACGTTGCATGCGCCGTCTGTCGTACGATTGTTTTGCTAGGCTGCGCTTTAAAATCGATTGGTCACTACAGCGAATGACAGTTTCGAAGTAGCGGCCCCGCGTCCGTCGCCGTGTTGAGAAAGACGTAGTATGTGCACTCTGTGTGATCTGTGAAACATTCTTTTTTAATCAATGTATTCACAGCTTCTTGTGAGGAACAAAAAAATGGGGTTCATATTCTTTTCTATCTTTACTATTGAATGTCTGCTTGGGATGATTTTGAATATATATGGTACGCTAGTTTGAATGGCATGTGAACATGGAAAAGAGAGTGAGCGCGCATCAAGCTGGCCAATTATGGACTGGGGGTTTTCGGGCAGAAAGAAAACGAATTTCGAGCCACAAATTGTGTTCTGGGTAGTTGGAATCTCATAAGTCATGATCAAATAAAAATCTCGGCAAGCATAAATACCTCGTTAATGTCCCTTTAAAGGAATGGGCCTGCACTGCTAGATTATAACTGGGATTCCGTGTTTTTGGAGTTTATTTTTCGCCAAATTCGGAGGGTGGTTTTCTCAGATTATTTTTTGCCGAAAATTCCGAGTTTATTGGAGTTTATTTTTTATCGATTTCCAATTCTCTGAAATTCGGAGCTTAATTTTGCAGTGCTTTTATTGGAAACATATATGGGTGTAAACGTATGCTAGATTCAAAAGAATGCACTTGCATCAATTAATATTTCTTCAGCTGGATTTGGCATTCGCGCCAATGCCATTGGCAATGCTAATTTGTCCCACGACAGAAGTTGCAAACAAGTGTTGCTTCGATAAACGTGGAAACCTTAAAATCAATAAACTCCCGAAGTTAGTAGCTGGGAGGCTCGTATTCATCCCATACTATCCATCAACCTACCCTGCAGCTGCACGGCGTGGTAAAGGGCGTAAAGTAGAAGCTTCAACTGCCCGCCCGCCTCTTTCCCCCCTACAAACTCTCTTAGGTTCACAGCTTTCACTCTTACAAGAACACAACCCCTCCTTCCTCTAAGAACAAATAGTATGGCCCCAACTGGAAACCGGAACAATAGCTTTTGTCGTGACACGAAACTTGCCCTGATGAACGTTTACGAGATAGGCGGCAAGATTCCTTTCGTCAATGGTCCAAGATTTGAAAGAGAACTGGGGTGACATTTTCTCAAGACCACTGACCCCAAGCGCTTTCCAAACTTAATTGCAAAAAAAAATGTTTTTTTGCATTGAAGCTTGGAGTTTATGAAATAAGTCTGAATTGATAAAAGTTTTGCCAGCAGGTGTTTTCCTGAGTTTTTCGAATTTATCGAAAAACACAGAACTTTAATTAATATAACAGAGGCATTAGACAGACAGCACTCAAAAGGACTCCGACACTGTATTTCAAGTATACTTAGATATTTAGGCCAACACGACCCAGAAATCCTATCTTGCAGGAAAAAAAAAATTTGTGACTCGAAATAAAGCTTTTTTTTTTTTTTTTCAAAAATCTGCTAGTGTAAAATCAGCTGCTTCGGGCCCAACCTATGATACTTGACAGAAACCTTGAAATACTTGACAAACTTGGACAAAATTTCCAGACACATAGTCACGAGACACGAAACAACTAATGTGACTTCCTGAAGTCTTTAATCTTACCTTTTTCCACCGTGATCGCCCGGTTCATGTTCGAACTTGTGTTCTTAAGCAAAAATATGACTCTGTTGTACAAAGATAAGCGTGCGAAATCCTGGCACCTCACTCTAGCGCCTTTAGGCGTAGTACCCCGACGTCGTGTCACGACCACGTGTTGTGAGGGGGAATATGCGTGCAAGGGGTGAAGTCTCTTACTTTTCGTCCGGATCGCTGCTCTGACTTTGTTTGGCCATCTTGAGACACTGCCTCACGACGTCCAGTCGGATCCGTCGGCTTACCTGAAAACCACGACAACAGTCCCAGCCTCTCACTTCTAACAATAGAGAGGTCACATTTGTTTTGATAAAATTACCACCCGTACACAAAAATGTATGCCCATTTCATGCTTTAGCGATGTGGAGTTTATACCGAGACACTACAGTAAAACCTCATTATAACAAAATGGGATATAACAAACTAATGGATATAAAAAAGCAATCATAATTTGCCTTGCTTGCTAATAGTGGGAAGAAATGGACATTGGCTATAACAAACTAATGGTTATAATGAAATAATTATGACCGCTCCTTCAACTTTGTTATAACGAGGTTTTACTGTAATTAGCAAAAATAAAAAAAAATATTGTTACAGGTTTCTTTCGTATAAACGCAAAACACAGCTAAATTTTGAAAATATGGGAGCTATGTATTATCTGAGCAGCATATGCAATATAAATTAGTACAATTAGTACTAGTCACACTTTCAGCAACTACTAAATACTTTACAAGTGAATTCAATGAGTTGTAAGCTAGGTAGTTCGGTTGTAGCTACATCTCCAAATAATGTTGACAAAACAAATTCATGTTGATCTTCCTCCCAACACCAGCATAAGGTCTAACCGCTGCCCTCACACTCTGAGCACCCAATCAAACGGTACAGTGTCATTATCTTTTCCGGCCCAGAAACAGAAGTCAGCCCCAGTGTTCACCTCAATGACTTAGGATACTTTAAAAGCCATCTCAATGTACCTCAGTTACTCTGTCATTACCTGCAACTGCAGTTAGGTAGATCTGCAAGAATGTAACTGTACAATTTCTAACTCAATTACATTTCAGGTCAAGTACCAAACTGCAACTTTGATTAGTGTGCTTTAAGAGTAACGATTGCGGCATGGAATTTACACACCTCCTTTTGAAGAAACAGATGGCATGACATGGACATTGCTTTCATCGTCATCGTATGTCATCGTCAGCATGCATAATATACTATAGACGTAAGAGGGGGAAGCTGAACTCACGCATTCGATCGCAGACTCGTGGAAAGCGGTGGACTCGACGAACTTGACGAGGTAGGACGGTGAGAGGCGGCCGAGGAATGTCTTACACGTCTCAAAGTGCTTAGCCCACTCCGCCTGCCGAAAATCAAGCATCCTAGTCACTCCAATTATGACCAAAAAACACACCCAAAAACTTAAAGCCAGATTTGTTACATGACAGTTTAGACAAAGCAATGTTAAATTCTCTTTCAAAATGGCGTTTGGTGTCTCTTTGCAGAAGAGCGCAAAGCATGAATATTTATGCACAGTTCAAAGATGGGTAATGTGAAAACAAACCGTTGTCATTGCTCGTTCCTGAGCTCTTGACAGGAAGAGCTTGGAGGCCCATAAACAGTAGATTGTAGACGAGCTGAGGCGACCTTCCTCCTAAGACAAAAGCAAACAATAAACAAGATGAATTGGGAGGAAATTAATGTATCACAAACTAGACTTCAGTAGATGAAAATCTGTATTTTGAGACATAATATATGTGTGTTTGGCAATGTCGACTAGCATAAAAGTGATATCCTTCTATATTACAAATTTATATTTTGCCAAATTAGGAGAACAAAAAGCGAATAAAGATTATTCAATTCAATTTAAAAAAACACTTAGTCATTATTTATTTGCAATGATTTGAAGGTTTCATCCTGGAATTAAAAAATAAATAAAAATAAAACAGATTAATTTAGGGCATTTCAGTTCCAAAGTAAAAACTGGTTCTTCGCACAAAGGACGCTATGAAGTGACTGTTAAACAGCAACTTTGATCACAAACGCCTGTCTCAATCCCAATAGGGTGGATCATTTTATTTCTTTAAAGGAACCAGTTTGTCCAGGAGATGGTAATGTTACGAGCATTATGGACAAATCATGCTGAACTAAAACATTCAGAGAGAAACTACTTTAAAGTAAACTTTTGTTTCATCTAAAGGCAACAAACCCCATATCTTTTAGACTACAAAAAGTTTTAGCGTCCGTTTAAATTAGAAAGGGATGATGAGGCTGGAGAAACCTCACCTTGCTTGGAATGCTGGGAGCCAAGTCAGCGAGGATGTCCACATTGTCCTTTTTCAAGAAGGGCCCCAAAGCCTCAAGCGGAGAGCATTTGCACGACACAAGAGCTTTGTAGTCGATTCCTAAAACACATAAAACTCAATGCCACCATTGCCTTTTCCACACATAAAACAAACTATGATGACTTCTGCTTTGATTCCACTACTATGGCAAAGTCCATTTTATGTGGGATTTCTCAGTTGACCGTGTTTATTTCATAAGCAAAAAGAAACATGTTGAAATATTGCTATAAAAAAAAATTAGAATTGTTATAGTATCAAAGAAACTAATCCCTGAAGAATATGACACAATAAGTCGGCACCCATGTTATTAAGGTAAGGTCAGCGTTTATCGAAATCTATTCAGCGTGGGTGAGCCTCAAACTAATAAAATCGGCAGCATAAAATTGCCTGAACAAAATATACTGCTGCTCAGAAACATATAAAAAAGTACAGCAAAGTACGACAAATAATATGCAGGCTTCTTTGTTCGATTTCCTAAGGTCTTCGGACAAGGAAGTAGAAAATGTTTTCCACAACTGATGTCAATGTCCATCCTTTTGCCATCGTTTGGCACTTCACTAATGTTTACAACTAGTAAAGTGACAAATTTACGGCAAAGTCAGGCAAAGTGTAACCCTCACTTATGTTTCACTATGAGATCACATTCCAAACTATAAAATTAAATGTGAAACAAAGCAATTTATGTTTTATTGGAAATTTCTTTTTACAAAACAACCTTTATAGGAATAACAAGCAAGAAACAGTATACTCTCATTAATGCAAACTCCAGGAAGTAACAAATTTTCTTTGAATTATCGGAAGTTTGAATTATCAGAAATTCATCTAAATATGATGCAAGATAGAATTATAATTTGCCATAGGAATGGCTACACATACAAAGCAGATATTTGATGATTCCCTCTACATAGGCTTACTGATCATAAGCGGGTATGCCACACATGAAACATCTGTGAAATGTATGACGTCAGTTTATTTATCCCTCAAAAATGTTGTTTATCGTGGACTGCTTAGACGGTACATGACAAATCAACACAAAATTAAGTTTGTTCATTAAGCCAAGAAGTTGTCTAATGCAGACTATTAAGCAGGGGACCCACGACCGATGAAAACGGGCACCGCGCGGCAGTTTATAGCAACTTGCACGGACGCCGTGACGTGGACCCATGCCATGCCACCACGTCACAGCGTCCGCGCAAGTTGCTAAGAAAATTTCTACGTGATGCCCGTTTTCATAGCTCATCTGTGCCCTGCTTAAGCCTTGTTGAGTGCACTTCTCACCGAGCACCGGTGCACTGCAGAGAAGCAACACCCGCGGAAGCAAGCTCCGCGGGTGTTGCCTCTCTGCAGTGCGCCTGTTCTTGGAAAGAAACACACTCAACGGGACCACAAGAACAAAAAGTATGAATTACACAAAAACGCTATTCGAATTAAGCGGCTTAAAACGTTAAAAATATAGCAGGACAACCAAAAAATGTTTAAATTTGTTTGAATTAACCAGAAGTACGAAATAGCAGAGTTTGAATTATCGCGAGCATACTGTAGAGGAGAGCTGGTGACTTTTCAATGTCGTAAAAACCCGAGACCGATGTTGAATCCTTCTAGCTTTACATTTAATCACCCTTTCCTAATCCTTCCCAGAAAAAAATGAAAAAAAAAAATAAATAAATAAATAAAATAGACCCCAAATAATAGTTAAAATCAAGCAGCCCACATTCAAATAAACAACATATTTTAAACCAGAACACAGGAGCACAGGAAATGGCATGGAAGCAGCACAATTTTAAAACTTACATTGAAGTCTATGCACAAACAAGAAAATGCCTAAGAAACAAACGCATAGCTTAATTTTCCACTGACCAGGACACGACTTTCGCAGTTTGCCTAGGAGCTTGAGATGTTCGACGGGACTCAGGTCTCCTTCGTCTGGCGACTCTGGAGCGCACTTTTCGAGCAGGGTGTAGAAAAACACCATGACGCTGTGGTCCGATCCGTCGAGCAACGGAAAGATTCGGCCCATCAGCAGGTCGCGGAAGCCATCGGGATTCTCCAACAGGACATCCAACATTCCGTCGGCACACAGGCGCTCTTCGATGTCCGCAACACCGCTGTTGAAGTTGGGACAATAAAAAACGAAAAAAATATTAAAAGATTTATCGGTGAATTTTTAGGGCATGCGTTAGCGTGACGCTTGGGGAACGTCAAACATGTCCCCATTTGGGAAACGCTAAAGCTGGCCCCTTCACTTTTCTCTTTTGGCTTCCTCTTTTGCTTCCTCTATTTTTTGCTGCTTCCTTTCGGCTTCATTACAGGGTTAGTGTTAGCGTTCCCCTAAAAGCGGACGCGTGTCGCCTTTCCCAAAGGTCATGCTAACGGATTCCCTAAAGATCCACCAATGGATCTGCCTTTCCGCTCGCCGAGCCCACTTTGCCTCGGGCCTCTGTCGCACGCAGACCCGCATCGGCTTGCCGCCTCTTGCGCCGCATTTCGGCCAGCCGAGCTAGGCGCTGCTTTCGCTCCTCTGTCTCCTTCACCCGCCATGCATGCTTAGCAGCGGCAATCACAGCCCGACGCTGCTTTCGCTGTTCACCGGTTTCCCGTGTGCGCATTGGCTTCCGCTCCGTGATATCGCCTCCCTCTCGCCTTTGTCCTCCACTACTCTCCTCCTCTCTACACGGCGCGCTTCCCTTTGCGCTGTTTCGTCCGCAAACACACAACGTCAGCTTTTTGCTGTCCTGTAGGTACTAATGCTGACGCATTAATAAGACGGCCGAGAGTGGATGGTGTGATGTAGGCTGGAGCCACAAAAATTGTAAACAACTTTGTTTTCACGAGCTCTATGTTTCGCTAATTCGGCGCAGAGTGGTTTTTGGGAATGTTGCGCGGGCACGAAATTCAGCAACTGGAAGCGGTATGCCAAGTATCTGCTACCGCGGGAAAATATGCTCGCAATATCCTTTGAGCCAGAAAAATTGCAAAAATTAGGTCCTCACGAAAATGAGCCGTTTACGGTAAACAACACTTCAGAGTCGTGACGCTTCAGTCATGGCAGTGCTTAAAATCACAGTCGCCAGTTATCCGAAGCTTTACCCGAAACCGCAGAAAATGGTGAAATCGCAAAAAGAAAGGATTTTTTCGTCCTCCGGAAACGTCAGGAAACAGTCCGCGACCGAGCAAAACGGTGTTGCCGGTGCTTGCCTACCTTGTACCTAAAAAGCGGGCAGTCGCGTTTTCGAGTTGTTACGATCACCAATAGTGCCCCCCCTGCGCCATGCGCCAAAATGGCGGCGCCCAAGAGAAGATTGGGAAACGGAGTGTCGACACTGTCGAGATCGGTTATAAAGAAGTCGGTTATAACGAAATAGCGGATGTAGCAAAGTGATTTCCTGTTCTCGTTGACTTCGTTATAATTGGTCTCGACAGTACTCTAAGCGTAACATATTTAGAGGCTCTGATGTAGACTAGGGCAAAGGATGAAAGGTCCTTACCAGCCTTCCGAAAAGAGGAACTCGAGGTGGCACGAGTAGACATCCCACAGGGGGAGGTCGTAGGACCGGGCAAGGGAGACAGCAACCCGCAGCGCTTCCTGATCAGACGTGCTGGTCAGAAAAAAAAGGGGAAAAAATATATAAATAAAATGAGTTCAAACCTGACAAGTACAGCCGATCACATTACACTGAAGAACCTGCTTTCTTCTCCAGTACATGGACCGGAATATGAGCTACATGATCTACTTCTGATTGTGTGATAAGACAAACAAAACACGGTTGAGCATTCTCTAGTATTGAGGCACGTGTCATTTTCGAAACGAGGGTTACGCTATTTGTGACGCTATTGATCGAAGAAACGCCCGACACCCTGACGTTTTGGCAATAGTGCTCCAACTTCAGCCCCTTATTAGTCTGCCGCACAGTGATTTAACAAGGTTAACCCAAGATAGGGCTAGTATGATACAATTCAACCATTAACACACTCCCTCTAGGGCGAAAACTTTGTGGGGCCACATGCAGCTGCCAGTATATAGATATGCTATGTATAGGTATTGCTATATGCAGTAAAACAATCCATGTAGTCATGCTACATATTGTGATAAGGAGCTCTCTGAATATGGTGCGGTACTATGTGTACTGCCTTATAGATAGGGTTCGGAGTTTTCGGTTTAAACCGATAAAAGTATGCCGAATCCATTTTCAGAAATACGGTTTTAACCGAAAAAGGTCAGTTTTTAGGTTCGGCATTTTCGATTTAAACCAATAAAAACCGATAAAAGTATGTCGAATCCATTTTGTAAAATTCAGTTTTTACCGGAAAAAGTCGCTTTGGCCCTTCAGTTGTACCGCAGAGCCCTTGCGAAAAAGTGGAACGACAGTGTCTATCGACGGATGCCATCACAACGTTCTGGTTTAATGTGCGCATCATCGATCGGGAACGTGAAGTCCAAAATGCCCATGACTTCGCCATGTACGAGCGTGGTTTCAAACTCGTTGAAGGAACTTAATGCAAGCTCTGCATGTTGTGTTGTGCTCCAGAACGTCGCACCGTGTCTCTTTTGGCAGTCACAATTGGTTGATTGGCTGATTTTGGATCAGGCAGCGCTTCATCTCCTGAGCCTGCCAGTGTCCAGTGTTAGCGTTGAGAGGGCATTCTCAAACCTCAGGGTCATATTAACAGGAAAGAAAGAGTGCTGATCAACGTGGAGAACCTGGGAAAGCACATGTGTGTGTACTATAATAAGATCGCGGTAGTTCTGATGTACAGAAGGTGAAGTTTCATGTTTTTTGGGCATGGCTTCATGTCTGACTTGTTTATACTTCTGTTGTTTTTTTTCTTGTGTCTTTTAGAGTTGCACACATTTGCCAAATAAAGGGCCCGTTTCTTTTTCAATGTATTTGTGCCTTTATTCTTTCTGTGACCAAAAATATCAGCTACAAGGATCATCTAATCCGGTGTCCATTGGTGTTTATTTTATATTCACAAAAAAAAAAAAAGACGATAAACTTTTGTGGGCATAAGTATACGCCGATAGAAACCGAAAATTGAATTTTAAGATAAACACCGAAAAAAATACGCCGAATTTTGAAAAAATAGAAACCGAAAACGCGGAACCCTACTTATAGAATTGTAAAACTTTATCTTCTATATAAAGCAAGGTAGTAAGTATCATAAGTAATTTTCATCATTTTATGAGGTCTCCGGAGGAAATAATCGAAAATATGCAGATGAATAAACCGTACCGATAAAATAAAATAATAGTTAGAAAAATTTTTTAAAATTTTGTCATTTTGCGATTTTGTAACAATTGTTCTCCATTTTCAATAGTATGGCTCATTAATCCGTATATTTTCGATTAAAGCCGAGTGAGTACAGATACCTGGGTCGAGTATAGGGCCCCCTGGTTGTCCATACAATTCAAATGAAAGCCTAAGCAGACACCCATTACTGACCGAATCGAGGCATAACTACAGTTGGGCGAGCATGAGCTCCACCTCCATTGCTTGTAAGTAACAGAAAAATTGCAAACAACCACACAGTGTGCTGCGATTGACAGCGGTAGCTGCTGCATTGTGGAAACACATGTTGAAGGAGATTTTTCTTCAGCCAGTGTGCTGTACAATTTTAACAATACGTTCTTTGCTTTCAGTAGAATTGATGTAGGAGACATGTGTGAGGAGATGTGTGCGTCGGTGGAACGATTTTGCTAGACGTTTTATGCGCTAGAGAAGGACACGGAGACGTGCTTTTTTTAGCTGAAATGCTCTTTCACAACAGGGGTGACCGTGACCACGCCTGCGGTAGAAGAAGCAAAAGTATGTACGCGAGCTGTTCTGCGGAGAGTACAAGAGAACGGAACTTGGGTGGCAGCAGTGGGGAAGCGAGGGAACTCATCCGCACAGCACGACCACGAGGGTATTTTGCAACGGTGGCTACTGCAGGGTTGGGGAAAAGACGGATGAAGAAGAGAGTGTTTTCCCCACAATCACGTGGGTTTTTCGGAACAGCGGTAACCTACAGGGGAAAAGGGGGGAAGGGGGGAGCGAGAGAGAGCCTTGCCGTGTGTGAAGAATGACGGTAGAGGGAGAACAATGACTCTGCTGTAGAGTGGGGCCTTGTGATTTTCGCTGAGAAGGGACACTAACCGCTATCGCTGTAAAAAAAACGTTCACTCACAGAGCCATTCCCAGGATGGTTTCGGCCTTGTAACGGTCGTCCTCCGCGAACCGTGCAACGTCCACGCTGCCTCCTTGCTTTCGCAGCAGCTCCGCTTGGCCCAGGTCTGCCTGGAGGCGGCGGAACTTGGCGGCCAGTTCGGCGCAGCGGACCGTTTTCTCCGGGACAGTCTTGGTGTCCAAGCGCGACGCCTGCAAGCGAGGCTGATCAACGCGAGTGTCGTGGTCCGTGTTTGCGGGACAAAAGACCGCAGGCGCCGACGACTCAAACCAATTTTTAGGAAAGCGAAAGGGGGTTGCGAACTGACATCCACAAGTATGAGGACAAAAATTTGCCAAAAAAAATGAGGATGGGATTTTCTCGTCTAATAAATAGGCAATAATGATAGATTTCAAATAGTATGTGCAATATAAAATTAGTTGAGAGTAATATTGGGCCATTAAGCTAAAGAAAATAAAGTTATTATTATTATTGATCAATAAGGCTGAGAAAAATTACTTTATTATTGTTGATCAACTAGGCTGACAAAAATATGGTGTTATGTTTAATAACCTCCACCCAGCAACTCGGAGTCACAAGAAATCAAAGAAAAAAAACTGATACAATACAAATTCGCAATTATTCTTATTGCTACTAATAAACTACAACAAACTAAAAAAAAAAAACATTTCCAAAGTGGTGAAGGGAAACCCCAGTACATCCTACAAATATTAGAGCACTAATCACTGTTCAAATTTTCGAAGTCAAAGAAAGGTGACGAACAAATGGGCAGCAGCGACATTGCGCATAGCAATAAATACTATGCGCAAAAAGGTTTCTGCATTCCAAAATGTTTCCAGCTTCTCGCCTCTCCATTGAAAACAAACATTTCCCCAATGATAGAGTCATGTCTCGTTAATATCGTACACCACGCATTATAGACAAAATTTTCGGCGACCAATCTTTCGCCATGCGATTTTTCCGCGTTAATATTGTGCGCGCGCTTACGGAGCCGAGTCGGCGGTGCGTTTGGCTTGCACGCACGAGGCTCGGGTTCGATTCCCGGCACTGCGTGTCGTTTTATCTTTCTTTGTGAAAGTAGAAGATTCGAGAAGGTTGGAGAACCGTCTAGCCTATTCATGTTCAGAATGTATAGTTCGAGAGGGATCGAGCAGAATAGTCTAGGCTCCCAGGGAAGGCTTAAAAGAAGCTGCGCCGTGGCGTACAGATCAGTCTCGCTCTTGAGCTCGACCCTACTACTCCGCCGACCTTCAACGCCTGCCAAGCCACCTTGTTGTATTTTGGTTTTTGGCAGTGCATGACCTATAATGGTCATGCATTTAAAATGCTCCCTGTAAAACAGGACAAAGTGCAACCCACTTCTTCAATGACGTCCGCAATATCCCTGCGCAGCAACTTGCAGACGTCCGCCGCCTGCGACGCCATCAGGGCAGTCAACGAAAAGAAGTAGGAAGCTAAACCAAGAACCACGGGGGTGCTGGGGAGGTTCAGGAACACTTCCTCAACTTGGTCCACCTGGAAGATTGATTGGTTGTTAGGTGCTTTGTGGTGCGACAGCTACGAGGGCTAAACTGCACCAGTCCACCTGAAAAAAAATCCAACTGAAAATTGCGCTACAATAGGAGGAAACGATCACCGTTACCAACTGCAAGTCACAGATATGGCTACATTTGTCGCTTGTTCCAATTTCGGGTTCACAGTGTTGAGACAGCATAAATCACTCATTCAACTGAGGTGCTTCATGACAGACTTCCTAAATTTTCTCTTTCGAAACAAATGTCTTGTGGTCCAAACGCATTACCTCAGTACAGCGGTAAAGTCTGACCAATCACATCACCTTTCATTGAACCAATGTGTTTTTAAGTGTCTACAGTATACAGACTTTAAAAATGGTGTTGATGGTGTTGCTGAAGGAGAATCATATCGACGTGGACTCTATTTCCTGACCAGCTTCGAGCACTCGCAGCCAAAAGAAAAAAAATAGTCGGCCTTGTACGAAGCATGACATAGTGGCGACAAGTGCACTCAGCTGGAACATAAAAAGCAACCCCTTCACAGGCACAGCTTTACTTCGTGCCAGTGTATGATAAAGAGATTAATTGTGCAGAATAACTTTATTACTAGTATGGTACAGTACCACAACAAAAGACAGGACATGAGAACAACTTACCTGCTCTACCGCAAAGAGGCAGCACAGTGCCAACAGCGAGTCCTCGAAAAACAACCCCCGGGACAGCCCCAGAAGCACGGATGCTCGGGTTTCTGAAATTTTTATTGTCGAAGGTATGTTGAAACATTGAGAAAATTTTGCATTGGGCGAGTCAGTGAGGCCTTCGGCATTGCCTCTACGATGCTTAAAATTACTTTCGGAAGTAAGAGAAAGACGCAAGATGCTATGACAAGGGATGTTACAGGCTTTTCTAGGTATGTGATCAATATACGGAGACATCAAACACTGACCTGCCTCCCTTTTTTAATTAAAGGCTGCAATTATGGTATTTCATCCGAATACATAATGCTATAATAAAATTACTAAGTGCAGTGCTGCTTCAACTGAAACCAGCTTCGAAATCCATTACCTTGCGACATAAAGTTGAGTAGTATTTTTTATTTACAATAACAAACACTCAGATGTTGTTTGAAACAATGCAGCAGCCATCGTTACATTAAGCGGTAGCAGTTAAGACCCATTAAAAGATACACTTCTCTACATTTAATTAATTAACATCCCTCTCTTTGCACAGCACCTAAGATAAAACCACTCATCTAAACCTCTTCGCAACCGTTATTGAATGAGCAACCACACGGAGAGCAACTATGTGACACCTGCATATCTCCAGTTATTTTGTTCATTACAGACTATGTGACTTTCATTCTTTCTTGATGACCACCTTAGTTTCCTACTGAGTTAACAGCCACACTTGCAAACCCAACTTTCGTACAACACAGCGTGACTTGTTCAACTAGATGGACACTCTAAAGCCAAGCTTCAAACATCTGTGCTTTTTCCAGTGTTGCGTGTGACATGAAAAAAATTAAAGATGTTTACAATTCACTGTAATGCCAAACTAGAGCACAGCTCTTGAGGAGAAGGAGGGTATGCCCCTTCTCTTCCTCCCCTTCCCTCCTCTCCTTCTCCCCTGCTTCGGCAGTTTCACGTGAAGGTCACGACCTTCACCATGAAGGTTGTGGCCTTCATCGTGACCTTCCCGAGTGACCTTCGTGACGTCACTCGTGACCCTAGTGACCCTCGTGACACTCATCACACGTGACGTCATTATGGAAAACATCCCATAATGCAACGCACAATCCCGGCGACGGCGACGCCGCTCGAGCCGGGAACAGCCGCCCAAGCGCTGCACTTTAAAATAATTGGGCATTGACCGACAAATGACTGCACAACCCGAAACTTGAAAAGGCAAAAAAGGTTTTTGCGTTGAAAATCAGACGCACCCTGAGAGTTTTCGGCGGATGGGGAGGTCTCGTTGACAGAGTCCGAGATTGTGGAGGCCCTCAGGATGTTGAGGAGATCGGTCAGCACGGTCGTCCACTTGGGGAGGTCATACTGATCATACGACGGCTCATACTGGGTGGGCCGTAGGGACAGAGATGGGAAAAAGAAGAGAAACGTCACGACACACAACATAGCTCCCGAGAAAGCATGAAGAGCTGGCTTTGTTTCGTTGATGAAGAAAATTAGGTACAACCATGAGGCTCTAAAAGAACCAGAAAAACACGAAATACTAAAATATATTTCGACATAAATGAAAAAGCAGAAGTTTCTGAAGAAAGAAGCTTGCCTCAATTTAAATATCCCGCAATGACAAAAAAAGCAACCGTGGACATAAAAAAGACCTAGATTCATGTCGATCTGCGCGTAGTTCAACCTAATTTTCGGTAAATAGTAACTCCAAGCACCGATGCAATGCCAGACTCCACAAACCTGCCAACTGGTTTACCGAAGCATCACCTGACCTCTCTTTAGCTGCCATACAGGTTCCCATACGGTGGAAAATACAAATGACATAGAACTCTACGTGAAGCTTCCTTTGAATGTTTGGAATTCCAAACTATTATTGCTACCTTCAAATTTTCCATATTTACTAATCTTACTTTACTTTATACTACATACACTCTAGATCATCTGTTCTCCAAACTGGGTTCCTAGAAACACCAAGGCTCCCTAAGAAGCCTTGCAGGTTCTCCGAAGGTGCTCTAGTCTAGCCTGTGCATTACTGTGTACAAGGTCTCTGGTCTCCTGCACTGCTTTATCGCACCAATGTAGAGACCCCCAGGAGGGGTTTCTCCGCTGACATTCAACAGAGACGAAGGTTTCTCGGCATTAATAAGTTTTAGAACCCTCACTCTAGATAAAATGTGAAGCTCGTTTTCCGAGAAGCATTCCTTCGCCGCCATTTCTCTCTCGAGTGTCTACCAATCACTCAATCGACTAACAGTGTTCCGTTGCAGTACACTAGCCGCCGAGTACACAACAGGCGAGCGAAATGGCAAAACTTGGCCACGTACCTTCCCCAAGTAAGCGTCCCTGTAAAGGGACTCGTAGAACGCCGGAACAGCCAGGCGCTTCAGCTCGTGGTTGGAACGTGCGATCGAAACCTTTTCCTCGCTCGTTTTCTGGGGCTTGATATTAGTCAGGTTGCTGAAAGATTGGACGAGATAAAAAAATCCGTTTAGGATGTCCGAACATCAATCGAAGACAAGCGGCAGTTAAAGGTATGAAAACACAAAGTTTATCTTCTAAACAATAATGCGATGTGAACACAATGCAAAGCACAACACATCCACACTAAACTTCGTTTCATCTCTAATTACAAGCACGGCGGATGCTACGTGCCGACAAGGCTAATCGGGAGGCGCCCAAAAAAGAAACTAAACACCATTTGTCATCTTTCTGCACAAATGCCATAATCGGCTGAACCAACCAAGTGTGGCTATACTGTAAATGACTTTATTTTCGCGGGCTCAATATTTTGCTAATTTCTCGAAGTGTGGGATTTAGAAATATTTCGTGGGCTTTGTGATTGAGTGTGGTTTGCTATGTATTCGTTACCATGGGGCAATATGTTAAAGGGACCTATTTTTCGCAATATTATCAAATCGCAAAATTTGCAAAAACCCGGTCCTCGCGAAAGTTAAAAGCCCTTTACAGTATGTCGTGATCACGTGCTTCCAGTGTGTGCATCCGTGCTTCTAAGCATTCTAGCCTTTGTCTGTGCTCTCACTTACAGTGAAATGAAGTAGTATATAGCGTGAAGGCGACCTAAAATAGAAGTATCCCACCCCGCAATAATCGAATGATATGCTAACGTGACACTAAAGTATTTAGAGTCACGGCTCAGTCTCCGCAGTAAATCAGTTCTTGCAAAGGTCGGTGCCAAGGCTGCAAGGACTCACCGAACTGTGCCCTTCCAGAATTCAGCGCTGCCCAGGGTTGTCAGCACCGAACGGGTCGTTCCCGCCGTGTACCCGACAAAGTCCCAGGGGTGGTCCCGCCCACGGTCAGACTGAACCGAATCCCCGGACTCGTGAGGCGAGAGAGCTTTGCCATCTGCTTCTGGAGACTTGAACGAGAACAGAACCTGGGCTGTAGACCACGACAACAACCTCCCTAAAAGTAGACGAAAGAGCGAGCTAATGACGCCCAGTACAAAGACCATTCCAATAAAGGACTTCTGGCTGGTGCCGTTTGCAAGTTTGTGTGGCACATGCTGTGTGTATGGTGCACGCTTAATTTTCGAGGGGATGAACACACATGCGCTGGACCGTACAAATTTTATGCTGGACCGTGGATGTGTATTGGAATGGCATATTGAAGTGACTGTTGCAGCACCTGCCCGACATTCTGCAATTCAAATTTCACTTCCACGTTGAGAAACGCGAACAGGCGTTTGAGCCATTTGTACACTCAGATGTGTGCATCTGTGAGATAACCTAACCCCATACATCAAAGGTCACGTTCAGTCGAATTTCTCTAACCTGGAACCCATAAAAGTTTAACTCTCTGATTAACTTACCAAAATGTTTTTTTCGTTTCTTACGTCTTCAAACCAGGCATCATACCTTCTGATAAGACCACTTTGGTTTTGTCTTCCTATCAGAATGCCAAACTCATTGAACTTCAGTGGTGTTCCCCGTACTTTCATTGCCGAAGCCAGGCCTGGATTGTGGGGCAATTTATATGTTGATTTGTTAGTGATTCAGATAAAGCAGCAGTGCCTCTCTTTGAAATGCGACTTGCTTCATGAGCGCATTTCCAGCCTTCATTTCATCATGCCATACTTGAACTGAAATGAAGTGCTTGTGCTAGAGTATTCTTGCAGAGCTATGGACTCACTTCCAGTGTGCTGAAGGGAAGACAGAAAACCTGCGCCTTCTTACAGAAGCAAACAAGGCTAAATTCACCAAATAAAAAAATATAAAAGTACTCAAAAAAGACTTTCAGCCTTTCCACTCTGGTGAAGAAGGAAGACCAATGAAGCTGTACTATGGTGGGACGACCTCAAGGGTGACCCCTTGGACGACCTCAAGGACGTTAGGACAACCTCAAGGACGACTTTTAGGATGACCTCGAGGACGCCGCCTAGAGGACGCTTAAGACGAACTCAAGGATTACGCCTAGGATGACCTCAGGGACGATGCCTAGGACGACCTCAGGGAGGACCTCAAGGACGACCTCGAGGACAGCGTTTAGGATGACCTCAAGGACGACTTCTAGGACAACCTCGAGGACGCCCTCAGGGGGGACCTCAAGGATGACCTTGAGGACAGCATTTAGGATGACCACAAGGACAACTTCTAGGACGACCTCGAGGACGACCTCGAGGATGACTACTAAGACGACTTCTAGGACGACCTTGAGGACCTCCTCTCGGATGACCTCAAGGTCGACGTCTAGGACGACCTCAAGAACGACTTCTAGGACGACACCTAGAGAAATTCGGCCTTTTCCGCTCTGGTGAAAACCAGAGTGGAAAGGCCTGGAAAGGTTGCTGCCATCGCTCCCAGGTGGCGGTAGCTGTCCAGAGTTTTGTGCCGACATTTATTTGGTGACAGACATGAAACTGGGGAAACTAGTCCTTAACAGCTCTGCTGTCAAATGCAACTCACGGTGTTCCTTCCATTGTTGAACCAGTCTTCCGCAGGCAGGTCTAAGCGCTGGTAGATCTCCTGAAGCTCCAAGAGTTGGGTTGCCTTGAGGAGGCCCTCCACCGTGGGCTCGGGACAATAGCACAGGGAGAAGGCCAAGAGCTTTTGCCTGCGGGAACCAGCACAAAACTGCTTCTAAGAAATGGCTGCTCCAGTTGTGTCTATTACAATTATCACACTTTCAGTTCCATAGCCTCTGTTAGTATTTGCGGCACATTTCTGAAGGAAGCACCAGGTCATGCTCACGTAGGAGTCGCGCAGATAAAATCATGAAGTGTAGTCATGTGGCAGCCAAACAATTTGAACTATGCATACTTGGTTTTCACCGTATGACTATTTGTACCAGCTGTGGTTATGTGACTGGAAACAACATACCAGTTCTGCAAAATAAGCTGGAAATTAGTAAAGCTACACGACCATGCGGTCCCATGACAGCAGCATGTAAAGTATGAGTTTCATAGTCATAAACACGAGGTGGTTGTAATCATGTGAACAGTAGTTACAATGATACTGCAAAATTAATTTAGTAGCGGATTATCCTGGATAACAGCCAGTGGATGAAGTTGTAAATTTTATGTAGTATGGTCATATAACAGTTCAGAGGCTATCCTGCAAACAAATCGATACACATCAGTCTAGATATCAAACCTATCCAAACAGTCATCAATGAATCAAGTTAGATGGGAGAAGATTATACGGTGGTTTCACGAATGGAGCCACGTAAGTTATTTGAAAGGCTACGGTTGGCAGATACAAATCTCGTGGCACATGACAATAACAGCACCTCATGAGCACAGTTGAGCGATTCGCAGTTGTGTGGCAATATAATTGGCAATCACACGATAAAGTAGCACGAATAATTATTCTCACAATTTAGAGAAGATGACATTTTTGCTACCAAAACCAAGCTTTACAATGTTTTCTTGGATGTGCTCATGTGACACGTTTTGTTCTATGCTGTTGTACAGGTGCACAGTTTCGTGAACCACTGCTGTTGACAGACACTCGAGTAGAGAACCAATCGATTGAAGCCAGCAACGGTCAAAACAGTTGGGATACCTGGCAGAGAGATCAGCAAAATCGGAGCACTGTCCGAGGCTCTGGCAAATCTTCCAGCCCTCCGAGTGGGTGCCGGCCATCAGCTTGCCGCAGATCTCGTAGCAGTGCGTGTAGTCCTTATCCTTAAGGCAAAAAGATTTAAAGCGTTTTCAGTTGCACAGGAATGTTGTCGGGCCAAGGGGTCGCAGACGGGCGTAGAAAAAGACGGTGAGACGGACCTGAAAGGCAGCGTCGGCGAGGAGAGACAAGACCGCACCTTCCCGTCGTTTTGCGTCGTCTCCGTACAGGCGAAGGAACTCGGACAGTCTGAGCAACTGCAGAGGTACCGAATCATAGGTTGAATGGTAAGACTGCAGTCTGGACTCAAATATATATCAACAAACTTGCAAAAACAAAAACAAAAAAAATTGTATAAACATTGTAATTTGCTTTAAAAAGAACACTGAGCTCCCGAGATTCCAAAACGTGGTTCTATTTCGACAAACCGTACCGAAACAGAAGTGCCAAATGGAAGCATGTCGCAATACTCAAGATGAGTCCCGCAACCTAAATATTGTGCTAAATTATTATTATTATTTTTTTTTTTTTTTTGAGGGGGGGGGGAATGGGCAAAGTTTATTTCGTAACGTGTTTTATTCAAGCACTTAATTAAAAAACTAATCTTAGTTTAGTTGTTTTTTCTGTGAGCCTTTGACGACAATGCTGGAAAAGATCTGGTGCCTGACTTCTGGCTAAAGTTCTGCTTTTGCGATAGTTATCGCGCAGCTCTGTAATAAATACTAGCAGCGTGATAAGAAAGTGTAGTCTGTCTGCCTATTGCCTTGCCGAGCTCAAAGTGCACATAAAATTTAACACTGCAAGGTTCCCGAGAAATTTTTGAAATTAGTAAACATTTTCCGACAGAGTACAAAGACGCCGACCTTAGAGGACTGTTTGTAGGCATTTGGAGTCTGTCGCAGTGCCTCCCGTATCAGTTCCATCTTGTCGCAGCGACGCACTGAAACCATAAAAGTAAAAACGAGACTTTAAAAAATTAAAGACGTTTACAAATCTCTGTAATGCGAAACTAGAGCACAGCTCTTGAGGAGGAGGAGGGGGGAGAGGAGCAGAAGAGGGCATGCCCCTCCTCTTCCTACCCTCCTCCTTCTCCCCTCCTCCTCCTCCTTCCGTCCTGCCGCTGCATTTGTTCATGGGTGACGTGACACGAAGTCATGACATCATTTTCCCTGCTAAATTTAGCGGGGAAACTGAATTGGCAGAGGTCACATGACATCAATTTCTCTGCTAAATTTGGTGGGTTCCCCGCTACCTTTGTGGGAAAATTTCCCTTTAAATTTAGTGGAAATATTTCCCCGCTAATTTTAGCGAGAAAATTTCTCCGCTAACTTTAGCAGGAAAACGTACCGTAATGCAACACGCGCAATGCCGTTCAACCTGGAAACTGGTGTCTAAGAGCTGCGCTCTAAAACAAAAACACCTTAAAGCTTCTTCTTCGGTTCCTTCACTGAGATCATGAAACAAGTTTGTTCCTTTGGGAGCTTAAAATGAACGCTTCCCAGCTCGTGAGGCAAGCAACAGGCACAAGATTTTGTTTACATGCGTTTGTTTTTTCCTAAACAATTGGCTCTCATTTCTTTTCCTCCTAAGCTACCAATTTTCCCATCAAATGGACGGTTCTGCTGTAGAATGAAGCAAACAAAATAAAGATAATCTTTTCGCAACATACAATTTACCTCGTCAAGGTTGCTGGAAGCATACTCCCTCTCACTACCTAGTTGCGTGCAGTACTGCAGAAGCCACGGGCGGGAGAGGAAAGAAAGCAGCTAGTGTGCGAATTTTGAGCGACGGGCTAATCCTCTACGAAGAGGATGCTACAGCCAAACTGGATAGTACCTCACACCTGTGCGAGTCACAGAAAGATCCCAACGGCGTCCCCACGAGATAATCAGATGTAGGAGATGAAGATAATCCTGTTTCATAATGCCAAATTTTTTTCCCCATATCCCTCATTGAACAATTGTGTGCCTACACTTCCAAAATCAAATATCGTAAGAAGTTTCACATTTACCTTGCACTGGCAAAGTGGCCACACGGAAATGGCTTAGGAGAGGAAGCGCCGACAAGAAGTCCAGCTCTGCTTGGACCTCGGGAATCTTGCCCTCCAGGATACGGAGGCAAGCGCTGTGGGACGGCAAGACACAATGCCACAACGCTGAGAGGCAACGCCAAATACATTAAGAGAAGTGCTTGCTACCTATAAAGTGACAACTGTTGCATAAAGAGATGCTTGAACTTGCATCGTATCAAATAAAAAACATTAGTATCCTATACAAATTATACACTATGAGATAAAAGAAGTGGTCTGCCATTTATAAGGTGGCAGGAGTTGTTCAAAAGAAAACTTGAGCTTGCATTATACCGCAGGACATCAGTATCCTATACAAATCAATCTCCCTAACGTTTAGAGGCAGCGTGTTGACAAGACAGGCACCCGGTACACGAGCGAACAATAATTTAAAAACATTAATCTGAACTTTGGGAGAGATGTGGTTCTAGTCTGAACACAAGGGAAAGACGAGAGAACTGGCACACACTGCGGTAGGGACAGGTTTTCAACAGTGAGCCACGCAGGTTAATCGCAGCAAACCGGCAATGCTGCGCTTGGGACGACTGTTTTGCACAAACCCCACAACTTGTCTGTTTGTGTTCTTAGACTCTGGACTCCTGCAAGTTGGAACCCATATCTCTGACTGGTGCGTTTATAGCATTTTTATTTGGTCTCCCGAACCTCCAGCCGGAGATGTCCCATCTGCTTAATGCAGCAGAGGACATTTAGGCATGCCCCAGCGGAGGACTATGGACGTGTTTCACCCTTTTGGGGGGTTCTTTTAACAGCGCAACCGAAATCTCGGCTGCTTGGCACCTCCTCCGCGATAAGCTTCCGCTGGATGGCGGGCGCTTCGGCTGGGACTTAAACCTGCCACATGGGGATACGTAAGCCCCAATCAAACTCACCGAGCCAGCGTGATGCTGGGATCTGCGTGGGAGGAGGCTGAGTCCACATATTCCCTGGCGGCCGACAGAACGAGCTCGACCGAGGCCTCGTACGGGAGCTTCGCCGAGAATGTGGTCTTGGGAGACGTCTGCTTGCTGCCGTCGCGGGCACAGGTCAAGAGCCTGGATGCCGGGGCCAGGAAATCCTTGTTGCCGGAGCAAAGCAGAGCTCGCGCCACAATCTGCGCAAAACAAACAAGGACGGTTGCCAACGCCTTAAAAAAATGCCAAACTTCAAAAAAGATTCTACAGTGGAGCTGTTAAAGCCTAGTTTCTCCAGTATTTTTTCTGCGGCCAAACAAATTTCGACACAAAACTCTGGACAGCTACTGCCACCTATGAGCAACCAGACAACCGCAACAACCAGACAAGCCGGTTGTCTTGTTGCTCATAGATGGCGGAAACCTTTCCAGCCTTTCCACTCTGGTTTTCACCACAGTGGAAAAGCTGAATTTCTCTAGGCGTCGTCCTAGAAGTTGTCCTTGAGGTTGTTCTAGAGGTTGTCCTTGAGGTCGTCCTAGATGTCTTCCTTGAGGTCGTCCAGGAGGTTGCCCTCAAGGTCATCCTAAAAGTCATCCTTGAGGTTGCCCTAGAAGTCGTCCTTGAGGTAGTCCTAGACGTTGTGCTTGAGGTCATCCTAGAACTCATCCTTGAGGTCGTCCCTGAGGTCGTCCTAGGCATCGTAATTTAGGCATCGTCCTCGAGGTTGTCTTAAAAGTCGACCTTGAGGTCGTCCTTGACGTCATCATCTAGGCGTCATCCTTGAGGTCGCCCAAGAAGTCATCCTTGAGGTCGTCCTAGACGTCCTCGTTCATAACCACTAGGACGTCGTCCTCGTGGTTACCAAACGAATAAAAACCCCAGATTGTTATATATATATGTCTGATTCTTTAATCGTTCAAATCCCAAATTACACCATCACACCTTAATCCTTACATTTATAAGTACTTCATTCCCACCAAAGTACAGCTTTACTGGTCTTCCTTCTTCACCAAAGCGGAAAGGCTGGGAGGCATTTTTTTTTAAGTTCCCAGGTAAAACACGTATTGCTGGGTATATGCTCCTATATTGGGGCTGATATCTTGGAATAGAAGCACACTTTACTCAAAATAAAAATATTGCACTAAAAAAACCTTTGGGGGGGAGTTGGTTTTGTGACATACATCTCCTAACCATGTGCTAAAAAATATATTTTTTAAAGTGTGGTGCTTGTTTCAAAAAGTGTAAACCTTAAAAATAAAAAAAAATTTACATTTTTTAAAGGTGACAAAGTTTCCAAGTGTAAGGAATTTAAAAACCATCCTAGCTCCAGATTTTAGCACAGCAAGCTTTTTTTAAGACATCCTAAAAAGAATTACTGGCATACCAAATGTTTAGGTTACAAAGCAAAACTTGGATTACAAAAATCGGCTGCATGTTTGGTCATTGTGCCAAATACGTTTAAAAGCGGTAGCTTTATAGGGTGGGTGGGGCTCTTAGTTCAGGTGGTGCCTAGGACAGGATGACCCTTAGTCCTTCAGCACCTTGGATGGGTGGTGCTCTCAGTTTAGGTGGTGCATGATGCAGGGTTTTGTATAGGTACAGATTACGTCACACCATTCTCTTCGTAACACCTTTTCACTATTATTCACACCTTTTCACCCCTATTCACACCTTTTCACTTCTATTCATTCTGCACACTCTTTCTTCGCCACTTGTTTCTGCTCCTCTCTTTCTTGCCCTTTCCACCCCCCTCTCCACTCCACACTCTTTTTCACACTACCTGCTTCTGCTCCTCCCGTTCCTGCCTGCTGGATCCGTAGCTCAGTAGGCAGGACACTCAGCTTCCACTTCAGTGACCGGGCATCGATCCCTGGCACCAGTTGCCATTCTTTTCTAGATTGTTTAGCGGTTACGAACTGATCAACCTACACATTTCGTGCTTACGTGGCTTCTGAGGTTAGTTGGTCCTATAAAGCTACCACTTTAAAAATGGAGTAGTAATTCATTTTTACAAATAGTGAATCTATTAAGAAAAAGGAGGTTATACCTTAATGCAGCTAGTGGGCCCAACATTTTTGAAGGTGCTCTGCTGGAACTGCAAGATGTCATTGAGAAAACTGCACCACTCCGTTTCACTCAGTGCGGGAGATCTGCAACAAAGAAAAACAATGTCTTTTTCGAAACTATGTTTGGATAAAAATTATGAAAGAGCTGTTGTGTTCTGACAGAGAGCTTGTTCAATTAACCTTTTGACGGTCGAGTTGTTTCCCCCGAGAGATGTTTCCCAGTGTTTCTTTTACTCAATCGTCTAGCAGGAGCACGTACATTGCTTGCAAACTGTTTAGGTGTAGAAATATTGAATAAAAATATTCAAGGCTAAAAGTTGTCGCCTTTCCTCTTTTCGGTTTAATTTTGGCAAATCCCCTTCCATGACATTCAGCGGCTTCAGGTTCCTAACCGGAGATTATTTACAGAACATGCCCGTGGCATGATGAGCTCTCAGTCTCTAAATTTCTTCCCGAAATTGATAGAGGTCTGAATCGGAAGAGCCATTGGCACTACCACCAGGGTACAGCTGGTATGCGAAGTGAGCATCACATGCGTGCAGAGTCTTATTTGAAAAACTATAAATAGCCCAGCATTGCGAACCAATGTGCGACTATAACATCTGCGGTTCGCTAAAGACGTGTCAAATAGCAACACTCCCCGCGGTGTGCACATTTTCGTGTTTAGGCGACCACTTTCAAATCTGTAATCACTGCCGTGCACGTACGGCGACGACCTTCAAAGGGTTATACTGTGTGCTTCCACAGAAGGAATGTTTACATAAAAAGAAACCTATGCAAAACATATTCATTAATAAACTAAAAAGAAGAAATGAAAGATAAGCATCTAGCATGCATTCATATAATTACTACTGCGTGATGACATTAAACCCAGTCCAGCATTACAGCAATGACCAAATTTTTCATCTATAAACACCAGCAAGTGTCACCATATCTCACAGGCATATGGATTACACTCTGCCTAAGCATACACGTCTAATTTGCTTTTGTTTGGCTGCTAGCAAACAATTCCCTGTCCTCATAAAAGACACTTTTGACATGGGAAGCAGTTATGTACATGACAAGGATGGACAGATTATAGCAATCCCTGTTAACACATCTGGATGTAACAGTGCACCAGAGACGAACAATAAGAAAAGCCACATAACATGAAACCCAGCTGGACCCAGCTGGATGGCAGCTGGAACCAGCTGGTTCCAGCTGGAATCCAGCTGGACTGCCTCATATCCAGTTCCATAATCCAGCTGGAAGTGGACTGATTTTCGCCTGGGAATGCTCACCTCTTCACTGCAGACAACGCCATCTTGTTTAGAAGTTGTTCGAGCTGCTCCCTGTCCTCCCCGCAGTCTGTGAGCGCCTTGACCGAGACTCTGGCCCCATACCGCTGCATGCACTCTGCCACTCTGTGGAGACGCCGTTTCATGCAAGTTATGAAACTGAACATGCCAAACATTCCATCCGCGTGCCCTGAATCAATCTTTTGCCTTTCCACGTTTAGCTGGAGATGGCGCAAAATTTGCTAAACAAGTGGTAATGTTGAGGCCGCTAAGGGATAAAGCTATACTTTGCGAGCCAAAGCTGGAGAATCCACTCACTCTACGTGCTTCTCTTGAATGTCCAATCGATCGTGAAGACTCTTCAGCTCGTCACTCTCGCATCCACTGGAGGAGGAGAAGAGGACACAAACTCAGACCGTCCCATTTTTTTTACACAAAACGTTACGGGTTTGAAACAACTGCCAGGATTCAAATGTAAGATCAGTGAAAACATTTACCTGACTCCCCGCTGTGGCACACACTTGAGAATCCTTACGACGTGGCCGAGTTGATCGTCCCTGCACGACAATTTAACGATGCTTTTAAAATCGGTGTTAGCCTAACATCCTCTAGTCGTGTAAGTGCATCTCGAGATGTTATCTGGACGATTTTGAGTCCACTGCAGTAACGTGTCTTCTCAATTATTGAGCGACAATAACAACTCACCTCTGACAGCTGCAGATGCAAGCCAAAGCCAACTCGGCAAGTTCCAATGGGCCATTCAAGATGCACACTGGGTCCTTTCCGACAAAGAGACCGAATAACATTATTATCATAGTATTTCACATTATCAACTGACCAGCTAAAAGCCAAGCCAGTAGTAGATGTTACTAGAGGTGTGCAAATATCAAAATCTTCCGAAGCGAATCTAATCGAATAGTAAAGGTTATGAATCAAACATTTTCTAACAGAAATAGTTTTGAATATGAATAGTTTCGAATATGAATATTTTCTAATACAAATATTTTCTATTTGATGCAAATTATACAAGGATACTCAATCAAAACACAACCGGAAATTTATTTTTTCTAGAAACATATTTACCGTAAAATACCGGGCAAGCGCCCACTCAAAATTTAGAGATAATCGCGAAGAAATGGGGAATGGGCGCTTGTCCGGTCATCAATTTTACATATAAATGTACTGTGCATATTTTCTCAGATCTTAGAAATTTGGATATCGGCGCTTAATGTGGATTGGGCAGATGCAAGGTATTCTACGGTATGAAATGAAATATTTAACTTTATAGCAATAAAAACAAAGGCCCCCACATGTGACGGATAAAAAACAGACAAAATAAAAAATCAGTCAGTAAAACACTATTCAAAGAATGAAGTTACGAAAATGTAAATGAAAGTACACAAACGGAGGCAGCTCGGCAAGCCACAACACATTCGAAGATCACGTCGCGGACAAATGCAACCATGTGAACCTAAACGGAAGAACACAAAAGGCAGGTCGGCAGGCCACAACAGAGTTAGAGATCACACGATCACACCGGGCAGACGCACTGACCGCAATCCAGACATCACGGCAAGTGAAGGACAAATCGCGCTACCGCATGTAATTGACTATCTGGTGCTTCATACAAAAACAAAAAAAAAGGGCACTTAGTAGGCTGGCTTTTTGAGTTTGCCAAGCTCGAAACCATAATGCGCAGTCCAAAAACATACTGGGAACGCGACTGCAAGTTGCGACTAACCAGCAAGTTCTGCACTATTCATAGGTTTCGAATATTTGAAGAACTCGAATACTTCGAACGCTAAAAGTGCGAAGCGAATTGAATCGAACAGCAAGCACTATTTGCAAAGTATTTGAAATTTTGAATATTTGAACACCCCTAGATGTTACAAATCGACAAATTCACACATACTGCATACATATTAAAGTAGATGAAAAACTAAACAAAAGAAGGTGAAAGGAATAAAAAAACTTCACTTATGAACAAAATACATACTCCTACTACTGCCAGAACATTTTCTTAACATTGATATGTTAATGAAATACTGAAATACCTTAATGCTTCATCACCATTGATTAAATACTGAAACATACTCAATTAAGGTCAACCTACACATTGCATTTCAATGAGGTGGAAAATCTTTCCCTTTCTTTCTTCACACTCTTTGATAAGAAAGAGAAGGGGTCTTTTCCTTCCAAACTTTGCAGGATGAGATAATACAAAATGAGATTAAAATCAGTCAGCAAAGGCAGCGAATAAGGAAGTTCCTAGGCTTAGCCTATCTTTCAACAGCCAATAAAAAGGAGGGAAAGGAGGAAGACTGTCACTGTCCAATGAAAGAGTCGCTTCTCACGTCAGGGCTGGAGTGCTCGAAGATGTCCACGCACGGTCCCAGATCGTCCCTGGCCACCTCCGTGAAAAACTCCGACAGGAGTTTGCGTCTGCTCCCCGGAGCGGCTTTCTCGCAGCGATCCACAAACGGCAGCAGCCAGTCACGAACACACAGCACAAACTTCTCTTTTGTGCTCTGTTGTGGCAGACAAGACAGACACACGCCGAATGAACTCATGCATACGACTGAACCCCCTAAACTGGACGGCGGTTTGTGCCGTCTGGCCAGTGTTTCACTCGCTCGTTGGTAGCACCTGTGCTGATAACAGAAACTACTTTCTGCGTAGGGATTCCTTAGATGTTTTCCTCTCCCACAAAACTTACCGATACACGCTCAAGCCCAGAAAGTTTCGAGCGTGCTATTTTTGTCATTCCCCATGAGATGAGAGAAAAACCGGGACTTAAACAACCCACTTACAACTTATGGCATGGAACTTAAACAACCCACTTAAACTTGAACTATAGCAAGCCACTTTAGATAAATAGCAAGGCCTGGTGTTGTAAGACAAACCGATGTGAATTACCAGAAACACAAGGCTAGGTCATGCATTTGTTTTGTAAAGAAACATTGTCGGAGATACTTTCCGACCAAAAGACCCCTGTCAAAGTCAGCTTTTTACGTCGCAGTAAAAACAAGCAACCGGGGAAAAAAGCACTTCTCGCTTTGCTCCTATTCCCTGCATTGTTCACTCAAATAACCAAAACTGTTAAATCATTTTCTATTTCACAACTGACTTGAAGTAGGCCTATATCCATACTGATCCTTTCATCTAAAACCGTCAACTAAGCAAATATTTTTATTTCATATTTTCACCAAAGAAATTCACTACCTAGCCACACCTTAAGGGGTAAACAACGGTGCTATCGCAACATCCTAAATTGGTATGTGAAATTCGTCCAAGGTAGGTTGATCCACTTGGACCACACAGTAGAAAACAAGTACCTATGTACTTTCATGGTTCCAAAGGCTGGTTCACACACATCTGCGTTCGAGTGCATCCAAGTGCTTTGCCATCTCCCAGGACTGCTTACGAGACAGCAATGATGTCGTCCAAAAAATAGCTTGAAACACTTCCAATTTGTATTTTTTTCCTAACTTTTTTAGACATCATTCTTTTACCCATGCACATAAAATACTTTTTAACAATGTTATAAGCAACTAGTTTTCATATACAGTGCACAAATGTGATCTTGCAAATATTGTAACACTGTCAGTCTAGTTATATGCAGTTCCAAGGCTACCTGACACATGGTGCCGACGTGCCAGTCTGTTTTAAAGGGATACTTCAACGAAATTTTAAATATACCCGTCGTGTTCAGAAATAGGCTGAATATGATCCGCAACATCCATAAATGACAATCGCACATTTGTATTTTGAGCCTGAAGGCTGCATTTTTCGTTATAAACGGCCCAATCTGGCAAGCGCCTGGAGAGCAGCCAGCGGAGAGCACGTCACATCTGGCGCAATCATGACGTAGCTTGTCTCTGGATGAGCAAAGCTGCGGTGAGGTTGACATCGTCAGGATGCCCTAGCTGTTCCAGTCACCGAAGCGACCAAAGCACGCAAGCGATCGGGCCACCGCAACTAACCCCAAAGATGCTTTTGATTGAATTTTGAGTGACAGGTTAATCTTCTATAATCTTGTAGAGGGACAATAGCGATGTCTGGGACACACGAAAGAGAGACCCGATGATTTCTCTCGTGGTGGCCGGAGAGCTGGCAGGATGACGTCAGGTTCAAGGTATGTACGGTTCTAGGCGAGACAGGCATCGTCACTACCTGTCAAGGTTTCTAGATGGACATTACAAACGAGGCTTTAGCGACACCCATCAGGTGCTCTTTGCTAATCATTTAATTTGTATTAAAATTTCCTTTTGTGTCTTTTTCAACAAGAGATTGGTGTGTCCGATGTGATACTGCTCCCTTGAACACAAATAGACCAAGAAATAAGAGCCAAAGCTTCGTAGTAGTATCCCTTTAAAGCCCCTCTATAGGGAAAGTAATGACATCTTTCGAAGAATGCCGCTTGCTATCATGAGGCGATCCGAGGTGCGCTAGTGTCGACACACGTAGAGTGAGAAAATAAAGAGTGTGCAAGGGGGAAGAAGAATTCCTATGCTGTCCTAGGATGCAGTGGACAATAGAAGCCCATGTCGCCAATCAAGTCATGCCAAGAGCGCAAAGTCACAGTTTTCACGATCCTTCATCGAGCACATTCTTCGCGGCTCATTCAAACGAATCCAGAAGGTGCACCGTGACGGTGCGCCTTTTGTCTGCTCGTCTGCGTGCTTTAGTGTTTGAGCGTCCTGTAGTGTTTGACTGCGCTCTGACTGAAGTTGAAACCAACTGCAAGAACACCGCCCGCCAACTCGGGGCGGAGCAGACGGTGCCACTGTTGACGCCCGTCAGCAAAAAATTTTAAAAGGTGTGAATGCCACAAGAGAAGGAAGAGGACGTCGCTACTTTCCTCACTCAGCAGTCTCAAGTCTGTTTTACTAATCTGCGGTGCGCTCTCTCGTCGCAAGCGCTCGCAGGAGATTACAATGCGTGGAGCAGTCTCAATACGACCGATTGTAAAACGAGCAAAATCACAAATGGAACCACGTACAAGATGCTTCCAAAGCGAGAACCCACCATGCTCATCAGCAGCCTCATCTTCTCACCGTCCGACATCTCTTCCAACTTGGCCAGCGGCACTGCTTTGGTAAGGTGGCAGTCATAGACCAGTGTCGCCAGTGTCAGCAGGTCCCCGTACAGCTTTTCGAGGCCCTGATGATGTAATTTAACAATTGAAAAAAAAAAACAATAAACTTCCAAAAAAACTTTCTTTTATTTTTTTTTAAATGACTACCCAAACATAACACCATAACACGTACGTCACAAAAAGATTTTGAGTTACAAGCAACTCCGAAATGAGCTTCGATTTCGGCATGTTGACTTAAGACAGAAGCACGAGTATTGCTGAGTAAATATTATGCTAGAAGATTTCTTTCGACGAATGCTCATTTTGTGACATATGTGTCCTACCCAAAGCTTAAAAGATTTTTTTTTTTTTTTAAGAGATGACCCGCACAAGGAAGTGTGCACCGACCTCGACATTTTTAAGGCAGCCCAGCTTGGTGATTTCTAGAGCATTCTCGACGAGTGAGCTCAACTCCTCGATCTGGTGAGCTCGTTCGGAGTACCACAGCGTCAGCAGGTTGGGGGTTAGGGCCTCTGTCCTGGAAGAGATTACGGTAGAAGCGGTTAACTAAACCAAAAAGATATCGTTGCTAGAATAGTAATTTTGCTAAAAAATGGTTCACTGGGCTGGTTGGTACACATAGCTGCAAACCAATGAGTGCCAAAAACGCAAAGACGGATGAAGAGAAGAAACCACAAAGCACTTTGGGGTGTCTTATCTCACGCGTCCTTAAATTCTTGAAGCTTATTGTCCCAAGGTACCTTTATAGTATCACTATATGTCCGATGCCCATATTAAATAACAGGTTTACAGCAACGTTTTTTTACTGTGCTGATTTTCCCTTTCCCCGGTCAAGCTGTATATTTTTATGCTTTCATCATACCAGCATACACATTAAGACTCCAGCAAAGTTTGACATTAGGTTTCCCATTGCAGCAACAAATTTGCTAGATTCTCACCACCATTTCTTTAGAGATGGGTTATCGTCGTAGAAGTCTCTGTTGAATGTGTCCCAGACTGCGACCATCGGTGCCCTGGAGAAGAAAGATATTTATGTATTATGCTTAAAATGGCTCTTCTACCGATTACAGTCAAATCTCGTTAATTCAAACTCCCTTAATTAAAACATGTAGATAATTCAAACTAACTTGCAGGTCCCATCTTATGCATCTCTATGGGAGGAAACTCCTGGTAATTCAAACTTTGTGTAAACATATTTTCGGTCCCCCTCGAGTTTGAATTAACGAGATTCGTCTGTGTATTGCAACGCTTGCAGTACATCATCTGAATCTAAGACAGCTTCCTCACAAGCAAGAATGTTTTCTCACTTGTGTTGTTAAAAAAACTAACCACTTCAGGCATGGGAAAACATACTAATTTTTCAGTTCAAACTGAATAAGAATTGTACAATTTCGCATATTTAATCGAATAATTTCTGCAAAATGTAAAAGCTGTCTAAGAATAGGCATGGGAAAACAGTAATTTTTTCGGTTGAACTGAATTTGAACTGAACATAAATCAAATACTTCTCAAAAATTAATAGAATAATTCCTGCAAAACGTAAAACGTAGGCTGCCTAAAAATGCGGAGCGCAAATTCGTCTGCTTCTTTTGCAGGGGTTGTGGCAACGTCAGAACGCAGAGCTCTGATTGGCTCTGATTGAAGAATAGTGGGTAGACCCCAAAAGCAAGCTGCCTTGAGGTCTACCCACTATCCTTCAACCAGAACCAATCAGAGCTCAGCGTTCTGACATCACCACAACCCCTGCAAAAGAAGCAGACGAACTTGGGCTCTGCATAAGCTTTAAAAATTTTTTTGTTTTTTTTTGTTTTTTGTTTTTATTTAATAAAATAATGTTTTTGCTCACTCTGGGATATTTTCCTCACACCAGTCCTTCTCCCGAAGGTTCCGTTGCTGCCACGAAAGCACAGTGGGCTTCCCATCGAGGCACCTGAAAGAAAATTACACCCTCAACCCCTTGTTTTGGAAAGACACAAGCGCAACCACTAGAGATCTTTAACCACTGCATTTCGTGTAAAAAGATGAGAATGCTATATTCTACTCCACGAAGACTTAATAAATATCCAAGAACTACTAAATTCAACTTTCTGATGGTTGAGTATTAGAGTTCCAGTAAGTCTTCTTTAGTGGTAGTTGGGTCATTATGCACATTATGCTTTTTAGGCATGGTGTGTTAAGGCTTTTAGGAACGTCAGCTTTTCCACCGCAATATTTAAGTCGCAAGATTCATTTTGAGTTGGAGGCAATTCCAAAATCTGCTCCTGTTTCGTCTGGTGACATAAATATTGAGCTCAAATTTTCTTTTTGCGGAGAATGTTTATTTTTGGTCAAAAGTGTCATATTCAAGCACTTAAAAAAAGTTTTTCGGGGAGTACAATTTTAAGGAGAATTCTCTGCCCTCGAAATTTTTTTTCGTCATTTCTCACCCAATTTATATTAAATTCTCGCACCTACTGTGATTTGTTGTGCTAAGCACAGCCATAAGTCAATTGTTTTCCTATTTATTGTAATTTTCAAGAAAACCTCTACTTCATTCTATGTGTTTCTGACCAACATCTTGACAATATCCCAGAAAGAACTATGGCACAAAGTATGTCCGCTTGTTCTACAAACAGAAGACATTGTGACAAAACCTTTATTCTAATTTTTGCAGAATTCTAAAAGAAGTTATCACATGTTAAAAGTCTTTTACTGATAATTGAAAATGAGGCAATAAATATTTTGTTAATTATAAACCTTGTAGCTTATAATTTCCAGAAATCTTAGTCTTGTTGCACTCTCTGATTTCTGAGGTATCCAACTTTTAAAATAAAAAGTATTCAGATTTATACAAAAGTAAAAAAATATCATGACAAGCCTTGGTGTCTGTGACCAAAAATTTAATTCTGAAAAAACAAAAAACAAAATTTAAAATAAAAAGTATTCAGATTTATACAAAAGTATAAAAATATCATGACAAGACTTGGTGTCTGTGACCAAAAATTTAATTCTGAAAAAACAAAAAAAAACTTTTTGAAACCTACTCGTAAACAGCCTGGATATGAAACTCTGGAGTGACGCAAACTAAATATAAAGAATGTAGCACATTGATTTACAATTTCTTTTTCGCTTCCGATATTGGTTATTTAGAGGTCTGTACATATGCCCAGACTCCCCCTATAGCCGAATGCCCTTACACCACCTGTGTGGCAGCCTCTTCATGACCCGCTGGAACGACCTTTTTGGGGGTGCCTCACTCCAGCATTTGAACAGCTGCTTCCAGCCTATCAACGATCACGAGAAGGCATCCTTGCCGTTTTTTTTTTTTTCCACTCAACAGGTGATTACCACTGGAGACTCGGTCGGGCCATACCTGTGCGCAACCAAACGTCTCACTGGCAATGAGAAAACCTCCGCGAGGATGCCATGGCCTAGTCATTTATACCGTATTTACTCGCGTAATGAACGCACCCCCCACAACAGGCATTGATTTTTTTTACTTTTTTCTTTTTCTCGTGTAATGAATGCACTATTAATTTTCGGCTCCGCGAGTCTTAAACTGCGTCCAACTTGGCTAGCCAGCTAGCCACCAAGCCTATTTTCTTTTGCCACCAAGCAGCCAGGCCAAGTTAAGCCAAGCCAAGCCACTCTCGTAATGGCTGCAATGGTGTGGTTTCGGAAGTGATCAACCATGAAACCGAGCGGTGCACACGCCTAGCGAAGCTGGGGTCGAGAAGTCGCCCAGCCCCGGACGTGCTTCGTCCATCGGAAGCATTGATGTCAATAAACACGCCGTCGTCTGTGATCCACTTTCGGACAGTGATATCGTGAAAGTGGTTAGGCCTACGAATGGTCGCGTCGCTCTCTGTGCTGAGTGAGCTTCGTAGAGCTCTTTTTTTCAGCAAAAAGCATGCCAAAAGCGTTCTAAACAAGCTTTGCAATTTATAGAGCATGGTTACTGTGGCACGCCCACAACCAGCCATGGGTGTCAGGGACATAGCCAGGGGGAGGGCTTATGGGGCTTCAGCCCCACCTTGAAATCCAGCTGACCCTATATTATACACATGAATTTTGACGCCCCCTCCCCCTCTCCGCACCCCAAGTCATGGACATCCCAGCCACCTCAGCCCCCCCCCCCCCCCCCCCGAAACAATTTCCTGGCTACGTCACTGATGGGCGCTCCTCTGTCAGTGGAGACGTGCCACAGTGCTCTGCCATGTCATATAAGCACCTAAAATGACATTCCCACAAAGTGTGTAATTGCAAAAATTTTACCTCGCGTAATGAGCGCACCCCTCAAATATGTGACAATTTAAAAAAGAAAAGTGTGTTTATTATGCGAGTAAATACGGCAAGCTGGAAGCAGGCAAGGGTGAGAGGCACTACCAAAAAGTGGTTCCAGCAGAGCATGGAATGCCTACAGGGGAAGTCCGTTGAGAAGGTGGGCATATGTGCTGACCTGTAAATCAATAATATCTGTAGCAAAAAAAAAAAAAACAAGTTGTAAATCAATACGGTACACTCCTTCTAAATGTGCACATTCTGTGCGTAGTGATTAGTAGAACATACATCGCTCGTAACTTATAAATAAAAACAACAACAACATTGCTCTGTGTTTTCCCCTTCCAAGATCCAGGTCTTCCCTTAAGAAACGCGAGGCTATTGAGCACGTGCAAGTGGAGGGCTAAAACTCACCCGATTTCGGGAAGGCAGTCGGCATACTGGAGAGGTGCCAGGGTTTCGGGGAAGTTGCTCAGCACGGTGAGCCAGTGGGGGAGGACACCGTCCCCCGCGTACGTGAGCAGCGTCCACACCGCCTTCCCGTCGCCCTCCTGAGCAAACCACACGGCCGCCTCGAGCGGTGGCTGCGAGCGGAATCGCTCGAAGAAGGACGCCTCAAACTTCTCGGGCGAGGTGGTCAATTCCTCTTGAATCTGAAGAAAGAAAAACGTGGTTCTTGCTTGCCCCTTAAGGAGAGCTCTGGCATGCCATTCTCTCTCAATTTTCGGAACGCCCAGGTTTTGCTCTCTTCGGCATGCTATTATCTCCAAGTCCAAAATCGCTTTTGAGGATATGGCCAATCATGATTACGCCAAAACCAACATTCAAATTTTCCCGCTCTCTCCAGTGGGTGGGTATCACATGTTGTATAACTAGGGTTCCGCGTTTACTTTTCAGAGTTGACCTTTTGTCCAAAATTCAGAGCTTATCAGATTTTATTTTTGTTAGGTTCTCAATTCTCTGGTATTCGGAGCTTAAGTTCACTCCATTCTTAACTTCTCAAAATTCCACGCGAAATTCAAACTCTCCAGTATCAAATTATATTTCTTCAGGTGAATTTGGCATCAGCGTCCTTGCCATTGCTAATACTAACTTTCCCAAGACACAACTTGCAAGCGAGTGGTGCCTCAATGAACGTCAATATGTACATACTTCAAAATTCATAAACTCACGGACAAAGTCACTCGGAAGCTAGCTTTGTTCTGACATCATTCCACCACCCCACCATGCAGTTGCGTGGATCCGGTGAAGTGGCAAAGGGAGTACAGTAATTCCTCGTTATAACAAAGTCAACGGGATGGCAAAAAAATTCGATATGTATAAGCGGTAATTCGATAAAAGCGGTAGAGCCAAAAAAACAGTGCCAGCAGCCTTGAAGGTGGATCGGAACACTGCGGAACATTCTGACCGTATATTTAATTAACTAATTTTGGTTATGAATATCTCACAGCAGCTTTACTGAGTAAAAAAATAATTAAGTGGAGTTTGCCGATAGTTTCATCCGGGCATCAGTTCTGCTCGAACTGCTCCAGGCATCGTAAGAACACTATTACCGTCGCTGCACTCCACTGTTTCAAAGCAGCCGTAGGATGTTTCGCGTCTCCGCAGTCGTCGGCGTTTCCTGAGGTGCCTCTCCGACGACGCTTCGTGTTTACCCTGGCCACACGCAAGGTCTACGATCGCAGCATCCCTGGCATGAGCAACAGCGGGAACGTCCGCATCGACAAGTGCGAACAAATCAAAGTTATCCTCAATAGCCTTGACAACATGTTTTCACACATTCCCGTAAGAATCGTTGCAGCTATGGAAATCGTCCGCTGGCTCGGCAACCATGCTCACAAGAGAAAATCTGACGTGCGCGAAGCAGTGGGCGATCTTTCATCTTCGGGTCGCGGGCGCGCTTTCTGCTGCATGATAAACTTCTCGAACTCGTCCAATATGCCTTGCTCGTTCTGCAAAATAGTGGACAGTGTCAAACAGCCAATGCCGGAATGTCGAATATTTTGGCGATTTCGGACTTGAACCGGCCACTTTTCTCATCCTCGCAGATATAAGCGACTTTGGGTAAACACTAAATCTCCCATACGACGCACGTGTGCGTATGGTACGCAGCAGGCGCGCGTCAAGGGCTCCCGAAGGGATGATCTCCTCCAGGTTCCATTGCTCCCTTGACCCGATTCCGACAAGACTCGGGCAGCATCGGCCGCGGACGCGATGAGTAGTGTCGGAACGCTGATGCTGCTCCCAGCCCGCATACCTGCGTCCGTGCATCGGCATCGGAAGCGGTGCTCTGCCAGCTTTGGGCGCACTGCCCTCAGTCACCCATTCACCCTTTTTAGAGCGCAGCTCTTAGGGGCCCGTTCCCGGCTTGAGCGGCGTCGGCGTCGCCGTCGGCGTCGCCGTCGCCGTCGCCGTCGGCGTCGCCGTCGCCGTCGCCGTCGGCGTCGGCGTCGGCGTCGGCGTAACCAAGGTCATCCCAAGGTCACGTGGCCCCCCAAGGTCATCCCAAGGTCACGTGACCCCCAAGGTCACCCCGAGGTCACGTGACACCCAGTCACGTGACCCCCCTGAAGTCACGTGACCCCCGAGGTCACGTGACCCCCGAGGTCACGTGACCCCCGAGGTCACGTGACCCCCCGAGGTCACGTGACCCCCGAGGTCACGTGACCCCCCGAGGTCACGTGACCCCTCGAGGTCACGTGACCCCCCCCCCCCCCGAAGTCACGTGACCACCCCCAGGGTCACGTGACCTCCCCGATGACGTCATCGATGACGTCACCGGCATCCGCATCGTCATCGTCATCATCACTGATGACGTCATCAGTGACGTCACTGATGACGTCATGAGTGATGACGATGACGATGCGGATGCCGGTGACGTCATCAGTGACGTCACTGATGACGTCATCAGTGATGATGACGATGACGATGCGGATGCCGGTGAGGTCATCAGTGACGTCACTGATGACGTCATCAGTGATGATGACGATGACGATGCGGATGCCGGTGACGTCATCAGTGACGATGACGTCATCGGGGAGGTCACGTGACCTCGGCGGGGGTCACGTGACCTGGGGGTGTCACGTGACTTCGGGGGGGCATCCGCATCGTCATCGTCATCATCACAGATGACGTCATCAGTGACGTCACTGATGACGTCACCGACATCCGCATCGTCATCGTCATCATCGCTGATGACGTCATCGGAGTCCGCATCGTCATCGGCATGGTCACGTGACTCCCCAAGGTCACGTGACCCCCCCCCAGGTCACTTCACCCCCAGTACCCTTCCCTCCTCCTCCTCAAGAGCTGCGCTCTAATTCGGTGTTACAGGGAGTTGTAAACGGCTTTCACTTTTTTCCCAGTTTGCCGCCTGTCTCGGTGGAGAAGGGGGGGGGGGGGGAACGCAAGGGTCTCCAAGCGCCTCCGTGAAGAATTGCCTGCTTCCGGCACCGTGGCCTTCGTAATAAGCTTGGTCGGCCGCCGATACTCTTTGAATAATCCGGTTAAAAATATGTGAATTTAGGTCGGGACCACGTTGAACTTTGATAAAAGCGATAATTCGAAAAAGCAATTTCATTATAACAAGAATTACTGTAGTAATATAAAAGTTTCAGCACTCCCCGCACTTCAATAAAATCTACAGGTTCATAGACTTCGATGTCATAAAAGCACAACCCCTCTTTGCTCTAAGAACCAAAAATAGTATGGTTCGAGTTGGGGACTCGAACGGCAAGTTTTGTCGTGAACCGCAAGTAGAATGATCAGTTGTCTAGACCAAACCTTGACGAGATAAGCAGTAAACCCTCATTTGTCAATAATCTGAGATTTGAAAGAAAACTGGAATAGTCTCTCCTCCGAATTAGATTGCTTTCTAAATTCAGAGTTCATTGGATCAGTCAGAACTGACACAATTTTTTACCGCCGAATGTTTTTTTGAGTTTTCCGGATTTATCCAAAAACATGGAACCCTATGTATAACTTGCAAGTCAAGCAGGCAATCTAAGAAAACAATATTTTTTGTGGTGTCTATTTTTTTTTTTTTTTTTTTGCTGTCATGAGTTGTTTTGGCATTAATTTCACACCACCAAACTTGTTAGAACCCATCAACAAGCTGTGCTGCCCCCCTATTAAAAAATTTGATGTCACGCTTTCAGTGTAGCCGCCTGGAGAACATCTTAGCCACTCAAACCAAACTTAGAAATTCAATACTTCACGAGAAAAAAAAGTTATTGTGACTTGTAATTTGGGTTGCTGGTTCAGATGTTTCTATTCATCTGCTGAACCAACTTTGAAGCAAATCAGTGAATATCAAAACTTTGCCGGAGCTCCCCTTATAAAAGTCAAACATGAAACAACGCTGCAAAATGTTAATGTCAGAAAAGAGATACCCTGAGTATATTCGAAAACAAGCAAGCAAACACACTGCAACAGGCAAGTAGCAAAGCAGAGCCAATCACTAAGGGGCTATGTGCAGTGACAACACAAGTTAACTTGTACCGTTTCTCACAACTACATTTTAAGGTGACATTTCTATGTGCACCGCTTTGTTTTGGCAAGTAAAATACTCCAGATATTCCTACCTACAATGTTCAATAGAAATCATGATTTTAACCTGCATGCAGAAAATTAATGGCAAGCCTGTCTGAAAGTTCAACTTTTGAACTTGATAACTTCTCCCTGGTAAATCCAGTTTTTTGGAGAAAACTCTTCTCTACACTGTATCAAAGTTGTCAAAATGTAAGAGCTTCAGATCAATATCTGTTTTACAAGATAGCAAGGTTGTACTGCAGCCTCTGAATTTGGGTAATTGCTCACTATAATTCTCAGGCAAGCTCGAGTATGATTTAAATAGTGTTGCACATTACTGTCGAGACCAGTTATAACGAAGTCGGTTATAACAAAATAGCGGCTACAGCGAAGCGATCACTATTTCCCATTCCCTTTTGCACTTCGTTAAATTGAAGTCGGTTATAACGAAATAGCGGATATAGTGAAGAAATTTTCAATTCCTGTCAACTTCGTTATAACCGCTCTTGACAGTACATTACATTCTCTTAGCCACCTTATCTTTAATACAACAGTAAGCGTGACACTTCTATCACTCGGTGGCACTCAAGTGACATGGTGGTCACAATAACCCTCTCACACGATCCTGGGCACCCGGTGGTCTCGTGACGTGACCACTGACACGGGACCCTGAATTTCAGAAAGCCTTCGATACAAAAGTTAGTTTTTCGGCTTGGAAGCACGTGATGAATGGGAACATACCTCATACATGGTGAGCCTGTCCAGGTAGGAAAGGAGTTTGAGCCGACATTCGCACAGCCAGCGCTGATCCAAGGTCAGGCTGCGCACATTCAAGTTGTCAGTTAGGTAGGCATGCCCGTCACGAGGACCGCAATTCAAGAAAAGAAATGCGATACTGTTGGTCATGAAAGCAAGCAGAAAGAAGACCCCATGGTGTTGACACTCCTTCTCCAGCACTTCAAGTTATAGGTGTGCATGTACTGATCGTTCATGTAAGAGGTTTGCAATATGTACGCATCAAATTAAGGTGTAAGCATGACATTTCTAATTTATGCTGGACTCATTTTTAACTTGCTATGCCAAATTATCCATTTAATCCCAATAAAAAGAAAAAAACCTGTAATTAACAAAAAATTTAGTTAGCCCTCATACTAAACTGTGGTATCCTATGTATTTCCTTAATACATCATCGCTTACTTAGAGAAACAACCTTACCTAGAAACAAAATTTGGACAAATAATCAAAATCAATTATTGACTTCATACTGAGACACTGCTTAGGCAAAGAACATTGTTAAAAAGCATTGTTCAGTGGGGAAATCTTGTTTCTCGATCACATTAGATATTGCATATTCTTCTGACATGCCTATTTTGTAGATGTTATTTGATTTATGTCCAAAACAAATACACAAGTGCCAGATCTCTCAAGGCTTCATCATATTCGTCTTGGGAAGCTTACTTGGCAAAGTCAATCTTGGCCAGCCACTTCTGCCGCCACTCCTGTTCAGCGTCTTTGCGTTTCTGCGCGTGCTGCACCTCCGTAAGGTGCTCCTGCCCATAGATGTCCTCGTAGAAAGGTGGCGAGTTGGCGATGAACCTTCAACAAACATCGTCAAAAAATTTAACATAGCAAATCACCCGAACCCACAAAAAACTATATGTTCATGCAAAAACGCAGTGAACAATGTTTTTATGTGTTGCTTTGATACAGACGAAAATTTTTCTTAAAAACTTTTACATGCGTTTTAACAAGATGCACTAAGTGAAGATTTCTTATCTTATGACCTAAGTGTTGCGAGGGTTTAGGGAGCACTGTAGGCACAACACAACTAAGGAAATGGGGAATGGGGAAAAGGCAAGCACCGGGGGGACACTGGGGTGCGAGAGTGTGTGGACGGCAGGACTTGAGTGGAGGCGACTGCTGGGATCAGGACAATAAAGAGTGGAGTTAAGCCTATAACTTGTTTGGAGTGTAATAAAAAAATGTAAGTTTTTTTTTTTTTTTTTTTTTTTTACAAGTGTCTCTAAAAACAGTGCTTTTAATAAGTTAAGTGAGGACGTTTTATGACCCGAGTGTTTTATTATGAAACATAATTTTACAAACGGAGCACTTTTTATAAATGAAGCGTCATGTTACGAGCTAAGCATTTTTTTTACAAAACCCACGGTTTGTTTTTACGAGCTAATCGAAGACGTTCTCTACAAACAAAGTAGAAAAAGTCAATGTTGTGGATGCACCAATGCCAACAAGGCTGGTCAATAAGTTGTCAAAACACGAAATATGCTTCTCCACGTACCCCAACTTTTATCTGTTCTGAGCTTTTACTGCACAATGTAATCAAACTCCTCAGCGTAACCCATCCATAAAAATGTCAACTAAACAGAATTACGCTAGTAGATAAGACATGAAGAAACAAAAGGTGTGCTAACAAACACACAAATTGTAAGGGATAAACAGGTTACCAAGTGCTCCTAATGAAAGCACCTACAGACTACGAGCCTGACTAGAGTACTAGAGAGGTGCTACCTTCCCTCGTCACCACTTTCCCCTGCCGTGGCTACGGCCTCGACGTCCGTGCCCCGAAGTCCAAACTCCAGGAGCTCGCGCGCAGCCTTGAGGCTATCAGGGACGCGTTCCAGACACTCATGTAGAACCCAGGTACGCTTGGTGATCTTGCTCTGAAGACAATGATAAACAGGCAATGAAAACCTGTCACTCCATCTGCGGAGCACTCGGCCTTATTAAATGATGAGGCTAGTATTTCTTAAGATTGAAGGGACGCTGAAACAATTTTTAAACGTACGTATTACTTTTAAAAGAGAGACTGAAGACAATTTTCAAACTTTTCGTAGGTGGCGTGTTTTACGACCTATGGCGCACCGTGCATTCACGAGGGCGCCCATCAAACCATTCGGCCAATCTTGGCCGCGACACGATCACATGGTCGTGTTGCCGCGGGGTCGATCGGGAACTCGAATTCGGCTCCCGACGCGCCGCTTTCTCTCCTAGCCACTGGAGGGCGCTGCAGGCGCCCCCGTGGCAGGCGAGGAGAAACCTCCTCGCCCATCGAAAGATACTCGGTGGGGCAGGGGGCGAGAGGCCTCTAAGAACTCCGGACGAGACCGAGACGCAGGCAGGCAGGTGGGTGGCGACCGGATCTAGGGTATCGCGGCACACGAGGCCTGGGGACCTTCTTTGTGTTTAGCTTTAGGCTTAACGTGCATTTGTAAATAATTGTGTAATGTAGCTTGTATTTGTAGTTTAGATTGAGTGTTTTGTAGTGTTGTGTTTTATTGTACCAATAAACTGGGAGCGGAATCCCGCTCCCGTGAAAGAACCAGGCTGGACTCGGGTCGTTGACGGACCACGTGGGAAACGGCGAATCGGCGGCGGTACGCGAATTCCCACAGACCCGAGAAGGATCGGGAAGCTAGGGGTTTCCTTTTTTACACATCTGTAGACAAACGTCTTCCGTCAAAAAGGAGCTTTCAAGGACCAGAAACAAAATGTTTGCACAGTTTCCTCCTTCATCATGCGGCGTGCAACTTGCGACGCAAACACTTGAAAATAATAAACTATCATTTGTACCATTATTATGTGTGTGACCAAAGCACTTACCAAAGCTGCAGGACTGCTTCTGTTTGTTTGATAGAACTACATCCGAGCTATCCTTTTCTGCGGATTTACATTATTACTGCTTTGACACGGCGGTTTCCATCCACTATTCACTGTTAGGAAGTGTTGCCACTGACACTACCCTTATCGGACATGTTTAACTAGCTTGTAATGCTGTGGAGCCCACCAAGAGACGCATAGCCGTCTTGGAGGCTTTAGAAGGACATCATTGACAAATATCTATTGTTCAGTGTCCCTCTAAGAATATGGTGCGTAATCCGGTAAGAGCACAACAAAACAGTATGGTTTTAGCCAGCGGCCTTGTTTCCACCGAGCTATCTCGGTGAAAAAACCAGGAACTTACGAGGTAGTCTTGGATCGCAGCAACTGAAGCGGTAGATTTGCGCCACTGACGTTGGTACACCAGGTCCGAATCCAATCCGTAAGTCCGAGCCAAAGCCAGGGCCTCGCCGTACTCTTCCGCATCAATCTAAACGTTCGCAGGCGTAAAGAAAAGACAAAGATATCAGTTGCATACACACAGGCTCCACCGAGATGCACAGTGGCAGAAATAATAAAACCATGAACAATTTTATATACAAAGGGCTTCACAAAACTCTGGTAAATTCGATTTAGCAAAAACTATACATTGCACAAAAAATAAAAAAAACTTTCAGCTTTAACTTTGGTGAAGATGGAAGACCAGCAAAGCTGTACTATGGTGGGATTGAAGTATTTATAAAAACTGTTCAGCCGGCATGGCGTCCTGTCATCGCCGTGCCTCGCGCTTGTGCTTGGCTTCCGTGGCATGATCGTCATCCGGGCATTGGCCCGCCGGTGCCAGTCACATCGCCGCTTTTGTTCTCGGTGGCGTTCCAGGCAAGCGATCTGCTCTTCTTTCGCAAGGGATTCGGAACCACTCGACGCAGTGGAACTCAAGGCGATAGCAGCATTTGCGCGGCCATTTGTACTGCTGCGCACGTCATCGCTCCTCAAGCTCCCGCTCTCCTTCCTCCCAACAAACGGCAGGCGGCCGACCCATCGTGAGTGCCAGGAGCAACTGATAAGAGCATTAGCGAGATCTTGACGTCACGAGACACAGTACACGCACGATTGGTAGGTGCGACGATGACGTAGGATGACGGTGAACTGGCTCGAGTTTTGTGTCAACACGCCAATAATCCGTGGACACGATAGTGGGGGAATTAGTCCTCAACAGCTCCGCTGCAAAAAATTGTAGAGTCCTTCAACTTCACATGAAGATGGAGGACCAGCGAAGCTGTTACTTTTACGACGTCTAGGACGATGCCAAAAGGATGACGTCCGGGACGACCTGAAGGACGGCTTCTAAGACGACCTCGAGCAAGACCTCGAGGACGACACCTGAAGGACGTCTAGGATGACCTCAAGAACGACTTTGAGGACGACACCTAGGACGACCTCCAGGGCGACTTCTAGGACAACATCGAGGACGTCGCCTAGAGGGCAACGCCTTGGACGACCTCTCGCATGACCTCAAGGACGACTTTGAGGACGACGTCTAGGACAACCTCAAGTACGACTTCTGAAACGACCTCAAAGACGATGCCTAGGAGACGACCTCGAGAACGACGCCTAGACGACGACCTCTCAGACGACTTCTAAGGTGACCTCGAGAACGACTTCTAGGATGACGTCTAGGACGACCTCAAGGACTACTCTTAGGACGACCTTGAAGACAACACCAAGAGGACGACTTCTAGGACGACCTCGAGGATGACACCTAGGACGACCTCAAGGATGACTTCTAGGATGACCTCAAGGACGACGCCTAGAGATGATAACAAGAGGTGAGGACCTCACTATCTAATAACGCCAAGGAAGGCTGACTCACGCTAGTTGCCCTTTTTTATTTTACAGCGGGGCTGTTAAGGGCTAGTTTCCCAAGGATCGTGTCCATCCTCAAGTGACCTGATGAAACAGAACTCTGGACAGCTACCATACCGCCATCTATGAGCAACAACGGCAACCAGACAACCGGCTTGCCAGTTGTCTGGTTGCCGCCGTCGCTCATTGATGGCGGCAACCTTTCGAGCCTTTCTGCTTTGGCTTGTCAACTTGCAGCCGGCCATTACTTCATTCCCACCATAATACAGCTCCGTTGGTCTTCCTTCTTCACCAGAGTTGAAAGGCTGAAAGTTTTTATTTCTTCATACTTGCCACGACCAATGGGAAGTTTTCTGTCAACATCCGCAGATACATTATTTCCAAGATCCTAGTGCATAAAAACTTGCCGGGCGTCATCGAAAACAACTAAATCAACTCATTCCAGAAAGTTGTAGGGCTCATGTATCATTTCCCGGTGTTCCGAAAAAATGCCCAATTTGGACATATTTCTAGGTTTCGGTTTTCTATCGGAACGCATCTTTGCGCCAGCGATCCTGCCCTCATAGCTGAGGTACACGACACACGTGCACAACACTTCATTCCCTCGTACGAGGAAGGCAAAGCTGTAGCCGCGGGCCTCGGCCACAGGGGGGCGGGACCATTGGCGCGAGGATGCGCTTCGATATGAAACCGAAGCCCAGAAACGCGTCTAAATTGTGTTTTTACGGAGGTCGTGAAATTATGCGCAAGCGTTACATCTTTCTAGAATTGGTTGATTTAGTGGTTTTCGATGATGCCCAGAAAGTTTCTAATTGAAACTATGCTCTTAAATTAAATAATTAAAGGTAATTACTCAAAAATAATTAATTACTCATTATTCCAAATTATATAATTTTGCTAAATAGGTCCTTGGGCAGAGACCAAAAAGACATCAACTTTTTTTATGTGCAATGCAGTTTTCACAAAATTAAATTACCTAGCCAGAGTTTCGTGAAACACTGTATGTGCTCTGATGTTGGGACCAGCGGCCTGGACAGATACGGGACCAGCGGGCTGGACAGACGTTGACATTGCATCTTCATCATTACTCTAAATTTGAACAAGTAATAATCAATAAGGTGAGCTGGCGGGCTAGTTGGTAGTCCATCATGAATAAAATAGCGCAAAACGACAAGGAAGGTTAGTGTTCTCACCAACCGTTTCAGACCATTTTAACTTCCGAGTCGAGCCTCGAACAACCCAAGACGCTGAATCATATCTGTCCAGGCCGCTGGTCCCATATGTGTTCGCGCCAAGACAATGCCTCTACCGTTAAAAACTCCCACAAAATAGGGCTTGAGGCACATGCATGAAAAATAAACGAAAAATATGGAGATAGGAACATAAAAACATTGTTGCAGACTAAATTTCGAAAAGCGAGCCACATGAAAAAGTTTACTGCACTGAAATTAAAAAAAAAAAAAAGGCTCTCCATACAATTTTCAATTCATTCGTTTTCCTGCCATGTTTTTTTAGCCTTCAGCCAAGATTTCTAAAAAGCTGAAATATAAAAGAATATTCTTTAGTAATGCCATAATCAAAGAACTTAATAAGTCAATAGCATTAAGCACTTGAGATATGAGCCCACCTTAGCTGCAAAAAGTTCTTCAGGTGTGGTGGACTTTACACACAGAAGCCTGTAGAACTTGGTGATGATTCTGAAATCAAAAGGTATATTTTCTTTATAAGATCATTTTGAAAGTTGGTGTAACAGAAGTAGTCATGTCAGCATCCATGAACCTAATACTATAGGTATCAACTGGTGAATTGTTTTCCAGTTACTTGAATCCTAATGTGCCTTTTAAAACTTTTGCATTATAAATCTGGATAAAGCAGATATGCCGATACTTGATTCATACTTCCTCCCATGCCCAACCACAGATACACTCCAGTAAGAAACAAAGCTCTTGTGAGCATCAATCAAGCTTCACATCAAAGAAAAATATTGCATTTCTGTGTCCCTAAATAAATACTATTAATGTCAGATAAAAAAGTAACCAGTGGCTACACTAATAGTATAAAAGTGTAGAAATGAAAAACAAAGGATCCTCTCAAGAATTATTACTAACGAAAACAATTACAGAGCACACAAAGTATAAAGCGAAAAAAGATTCTGAACCCCTCCAAGTTTTTCTACGAGTGATGTCCATGCCTCATTTTTAAGCACGAGTAGGAAGGGTTCCTCTAAAGCCACTTAAACAACACTGCAAAATATGTTGAAAAAGCATCTCAGGTTATGCACACAGTGTCCAAAGCAACCTGACTTTAACTTGTCTACCACAAACTCGGCAGATGTCAAAAGAAAGTAAATTTCGGGGGCTCGCGTGTTAAACTGGCGAAGGGCAATCGGCATGCCTCCGAGAAAGACACAGGATTAATTCAGACTACCTGTGGACCTTCTGATGTACAACCGACCGAGATTTGGGATGCATGACACATTCTGCACATTGAGCCACCGTAAAAATGCGGGTACTTCGGCCAGGATTCAAACCCGCCAATTAGGAATATTGGCGGAGGTTACGAAGGGGTTCCAAGACCGCACACTTTCAGAAACAGCCCGAATGCAAATAGGTTATACAAAAACCCTCTTCCCCTTTCACCCCTCTCCCTTTCAAACAATACTAACAGTCTTGGACCTCAGAGCAATACAGTTTCGCCAAAACCATGTGACAACTGCGACATATTCACGAAATGGCCGAAGCGACCGATGTAACGCCTACGGTACGACCGACGACAAAGTTTGGTCCTACTTGGGCTTCTTGCGAGGTGGTGCAAAGCGCTGGCTGTCAGTGACGTAATACATGGCGTGCTTCACGATGCTGCCGGCCCTCGCCGCAAGGCCCGCGGGTGCTGCCTCTTCATCGCTGCTCTCTGCGTCGTCAATTGGACCCAACACCGCCGCCTTCTTGCCCGCAAACTGCCACTCACACTGGAAAAACAACACAACATCGAGATGGGGTCGAGAAGAAAAAAATGTGTGATTTTCATGCAGTATCGTGATGAAGGCAGGGGTAACAAAGAATGTATTGTGTGTTCTGCTTCATAGTGATGTTGCGCAGATGAAATTGGGCCGCATTTTGTGCCTCGGCAGCGTAAACATTGTTGCGCATAGTGTCCCTGAAAAAAAGCTCCGCCGATGCCGGCGCTCCAGCGGGAAAAGAACGCCAAGTTGATGACCCTTGCAGTTGCAGACCTCAGTTTGGACCTGGCGTCTTCTTGCCTCCCCACTTCCTCCGAATCCCCTTCTTGCGCACTTTCCCGCCGTGCGCACTCACTCGCCGTGCGCACTCACTCAACACCTCCTCGATAATGAGGCAGTGGTGCTAGCTCTTTTGTGAAGGCCAGTGCGAGACACAGATTGGACATGAATGATGCTTCAGCATTTGACCAGGATCTTCATTTAATCGCCGATTCCAGCTAACGCCGACGCGGCTCTCGTGTGGTGCTCTTCTGGTACAGGAGTGCGTCACGGGAAGTGTGCTACAGAAAACTGCTAGGACAATCCATACAATACATTCTGTGTCAGTAGTGGTGAGCTTCCCTAGACATACTGCAAAAGACGGGTAGGGAAACAGATGTGACATACAAACACGAAACAGCAGCTGAGGAAAGCAGCTTCCTTCAACAATTTTCACTTCATGTTATTAAGGGGGAGACTTCTCTGCGAATGTACAGCTTCCATGCAACTACATGCTGTGTTTGCTCCAGAAAAAAAAAAGAGAGACGTTTACAAACCTTTGTAATGCGATATTAAAGCAAAGCTCTTGAGGAGGAGGAGGGGAGGGTATGGTGAGAAGGGTATGCCCTCCTTCTCTTCCATACCCTCTCTTCCTCCTCCTTCTCCTCCAGCTAAATTTAGCTAGAAAATTGATGCCACGTGACCTCAAACACGAATTCAATTTCCCCGTTAAATTTAGCGGGGGAAATTACATCACATGACTTCATGTCACGTCACCGATGAGCAAATTCAGTTTTTCTGCTAGATTTAGCTGGAAAATTGACGTCACGCGACCTCAACAGCAGTTCATTTCCCCGCTAAATTAAGCGGGGCATTGAATTGCTGTTGAGGTAACGTGACGTCGATTCCCCACTAAATGTAGCGAGGAATTAAATTGGTGTTGAGGTCACGTGGCATCAATTTTCCCACTAAATTTAGCGCGGTTCTCAGGTGCCCGTTTCCGCGTTTCGCTGCGTTACCGTAACCGTCGGCGTCAGCGACACTGCGAAACACGGAAACGGGCGCCTAAGAGCTGAGCTCCAAAATGAAAGGGACGCACCTCCAGGGTCAGGAATCCGCGGTCGAAGACACCGGAGACCTGAGGGGAGAACTCAAACCACTCGGGGCTTTCTCCAAGAAGGTTGCGTTTGGACGACAGCGACACAACCTTCACGGCACCAGAGTGGTGGGCCACGATCAGGGCCTGCAATTTAGGAGAAGCGTGTCGTTAGCCCCCAGAAGACGTGAAACACCGTGGTTGCGACAAGGTGAAAACAGCAGCGAGGGGCTTTAGTTGACCTGCTCTGCCGTTCCTACCGCGGCGGAATGCGTGGAGCACCTGCTGGAGGCCGGGCGTTAGAAAAACATGCCCTGCCGTTTTCGCTCTTTGAGTGACTATAGATACAAGTGAGGGACCTGTCAAATACACCATTTATGCGTGCCTACCGGATGTTTAAATACAATCGACAAAAAAATGTATATACTTGGGACTCAAAATATTAACTTCTCCACACAAAAACCGTCTGCTCGGGGGTTTCGCTTCCTTGGTCGTGCACGAGGACGACGTGTAATTCGGTATTTATTGCTCCAAGACCCGTCTTCGTCAATACGACAAAAAAACACGATACATTATTATTAAAAGCACAGAAATACCTCGAACACATTGATATAGTATAAAGAAAGACTATATACATGGTCAGGGGAACTGAAACAATCTCAGGAACTCCTGGTGTTCCTGATGTCACTTTCCTCCAAACAAAAAGAAAAAAAATTATTTTGTGCGGGTCAGAGCCCCTTTAAACAGGCTAGAGTGGAAGGATCCTGAAAGAAGTGACAAAAGTGTCTACACGCGTGCCTGCTAGATTTGTTAGCAAAAGTGCATGCCTACTAAGAAACGTAGGAGGTCCCAAATCTTCCAGGACCCCTAAAAGGTCTCAGAAAGTTTGGGGCTCAAAGTGGTAAGGAATCCTGACTAATCACTCTTTGACATGTTCTGACGCCTCCTAACATTCCACCCGGCTAAAGTCGGAAAACTATCTCTGCGGGATTTAAAGCAAATCAACAGAAGCACTACCGAGGGACACAAGAAAGTATGAGGACCATTTAGAAAACATGAGGCGATGACCGGTGCCCTCTACCCACCTCGTCCGACCACCAGTTCATGTCGCAGATGGAGAACTGCGTCGCCTCTGCGCGCAAGGCGACGTGTTTCCGTCTCCCAGGCTCTAAGACTTGTGGGTTCAGGTCGTTGAACTTGGGCTGTGGTGCGACCAACGTATCGACAACGTCAACGCTGGCACAATCGCTTAACAATTTAAAAAGGCACTGAACTCCCAAGAGCTCCCAAGTAAGACACGCATCTTCCGAAATAAATTTTCCCCCGAGAAAAAACATTTTGAGGGCAACAATTAAGCCCGCACGACAGATTTGAAACATACTGTTTATTCGAGGTCGGCATTTCGAAATAGAAGTTGGTTTCAATGTTTCTCCCAACTCAAAATGCATCTCATATAACGTAAATATTGCCTAAATATTGCAACACAAGACGCAGTGCTAATGAATCCAACTGCCACATTTACTGTGTTTTACAAAGTGGTTTCTCGATTTCCGCCTAATTGCGCCGTAAAAATGTCGTGCTGTCGCCAGCTGGGACCTTTGCAGTGTCCTGGCAGTGGTGCTGTATATGGCAGACGCCTTTTCTGCAGCATAATATTTTTAACTAGTTTTCTTCCTCATCCTAATTTATGCAGGACGCTCTCTGGCTTGACGGTCCACGAAAGCTTTAGCTGCCAGGAGTTGGAACACCGCGACGCCGGCCACAGTCGCATTCTCTCGTGCTTTTTTTTTTTTTTCAGAACGTCTACGCCCAACCGCCAGGCTGGCGACGTCCGACAGCAAGAAACTCCAGCTTCTGTGACGTCATTTGTCGTCACTTCGGGATCACTTTCAATGTGTGGTTGGAAAGGACGCTAAAATCACCTGTCGGAGACGTGCTCCATGCACCGTACTAAAACAAGGGTCCTTAAATGAAACCAGCGCAAGTTTCTCCACTTCTTTTGTAGAGGTTCCGGTGACGCCATAACGCCGAGCCCTGAATGGCTCTCATTGAAGGATAGTGGGTAGACCTCAAGGCAGCTTGCTTTGAGGTCTACCCACTATCCTTCAATCGCGGCCAATCAGAGCTCGGCATTCTAACGTCAGTGCAGCCCCTGAAAAAGAAGCGGACGAACTTGCGCTCCGCAAATGCAGCTGGTGACGAACCTTTGGCTAAAGTTCGGTGCAAGGTCAAAAAGTTCTGCTAGGTGTGCCACTGTCCCGGAGGGGGTATTTTTGTTTGACCACTCCACCCCGAGGGAGCCCCCCTAAATTCGCAATTCCGAGTAGTTTAAGAAAAAACAATTTCTCATACGACAACATTTTTGTGAGGCCCGTAATTAATTGCTGTAAGCAAGCACAAACAAAAAACAAACAAGCTCTAACAAAAAAAAAAGCTTACAAATAACCTTTTTTCATTTATTTTGGAACAAAACTATGTTTTTGCGGGCGAAAAAGAGCCGGCCATTTGAGCATAGGACCTCGCAGCGCCTCTACTACTGGCACTAAATTTTGATGGTGAGGGGGATATTGAAAATTAATTCTGAAAAAAGAAAAAGAAATGATATTATATTGGAGATTGCTTCAGATATGAAAGATTGAGCAGCTGATTGAGTGTACAGAGCCAAAGACGCTTACATTAACGAGATACGCTGCCAGTGCGATAATGTGTTATCGCAATCTGGCTCACTCAGGGAGGTTCGAAATTCCGCCTCACTTCCTGGTTGCCAGCAGTGCTGACCAGATTGGTGGCTCATAGCCCCCTTGTCAATACCTGCGCTGCACATGAATGCATACCAAGTTCTCTCATAACAGTTAAGGAGAAGTTTCATCACCAGTAGTGTATCGAAGGACTCTGCTATAACATTACTTCATTGAAAAAAAGGACCGCATAGCATAAGCCCTAGAAACAACGGTAGAGATCTCACACTTTTCCAACGACTTAGTGCGCATAAACGTGAGTATGTACCAGTTCTTCTAGTTGCCAGGTACGGAAGTGCAGAAGGGAAGGGAGGGACCAGAAGGAGATTGCACCGGACGTGTGAGCGGCGGCCATGATGGTGCCCGAAGGCGAGATGCTGAGCTGGTAGGCAGTCTCCTGCGAGGACCAATCACAGATCAGCGTCGTCGTGGCCACTCTTCTTGTTGCAATAAGGAGGCAGCTCAGACACAGGTGAAAGCTTACCTCACACTGCTTGTAGTACAGGCTCATCTTCTGTAGGAGCCTCCTCGGATACATGCGCTGCAAAATTAGTTCAGTCAGAGTGTTGGGCACTTAGTATGCGCTCGTTGACGGAGAAAAAACAGGGGCAACCAGCTTCCGACGAAGGCTGTATTTCGACCGACTAAAACAGGTTCTCTTCAAGCAAAACAACAAAAGGTTTCCCTTACATTTTCCACATGCCCCCTTTCTCACCCGAATGAGCAAGGGCTTGGAATTCTTGGGCGTCCCCTGTCCAGCCCGTGAAGCACATACACGGAACACACAGACACGGCAATGGAGCCGCGTTAAGCAAGGCCACGACAGGATTGGGGGGGGGGGGGGGGGGGGGGGTCTCCGTAATTTTTAACAGAGTTTACAGCCACGTCAGTGATATTCGTTTTTTAACGAGTTGTCTCGAACCTATAGGCAATTGTTTTGCCCCGTACACTAAATTGATAAACTGTAACAGAAATAAGGGTAGTGGCACAGGCTAGCTGGTGAATGGTCATACTTATAAAAAAAAACCGAGACAAGAGAAAAAAAAGAAAAAGTACAACCCAACGACGTCTCAAAACACAGCTGTGCTAAGTATATTGTGACACTTTGATTTCGGAATTGTGACAGACACGGTTCCAGTATTGCCAGACTAATTCAGAGGTATGATGGGCAGCAGAATGAGCCTGAACGGTAAAAATGCCAAGCAGGGAACCCTACATGCATTTTAAGCTCTTGGAGAGAGGTTGGAATAAACTATTTTTGTGACAGTCCATCACACTGCTTAGCATGTTGGAGGTGTTCGATCGTGACATATACCTTTTCAGCACGGGCTTAGATGAGCTTGCTTACATTGCCACCCACTGCATTTCTATAATACAATTATACTGTAAAATACCGGGGAAGCGCCCCCCCCCCCACTTTGACATGGGCACTTGTACGGTAAAATTGGGTGCTTAAATTATAATTTGCAGAATTCCCAAGTTTGGGAAATGTTAATAGTGGGCACTTGAACAAAGTGGGCACTTCCGCAGTATTTTACGGTAAGTATCCAACATTGCATTTTATTTTAATTAATTAGAGTTATTACATTTTTCTATTTCCACTTCTCACACAAATAAAACTGAAAAATAATTATTTGGTAAAAGTTTGTGTTCAAAGAGAAGCTACTGGCACATTTTAATTGGCTCGTGGATTATAGCTCCATAGAAAAGTGTCCTACCCAATGCAAAAGAAGAATTATTTGCATGCACGGGTGCAAAGGTAAGTCTGAGTGCCACACCAAGCTAAAACATTGGGTATTCACTTTAAAGCATGCTTGCTGTTAGTGAGATCAAAATCTCGGGAGCACTATGCCCAGCTTGCTTTTCCCAGAGTTTTGTGTTTACTAGCGCAAGGAATGGGCAGTGGATTCTTTACTTCACCTTTCTCGATTGAGTGCAAGACAAAGGGCACAATTTTTCTCCGCACTCAGTTGAAAAAGGTGAAATAAAAATCCCAGAGCGCTTCACCGGCTGAACACGAGCCCCAGCCGAACACTGGCGCAACGCCCGGTTACGTAAGCAGAGTGCTGCGCAAAACGCAAGTGAATCATCTGTGTTGTTGTTGTTATCTCTAGTTGTCCCCATCGGTGTACTTCTCAATTTAGCCACTAGGGTCGCAACACTTGGATCTCCTTCCCAATACTCCCCCAAGCACGAAAGCAACCTCATTAGAAACCAACCAAACCGTTTTGGCCCCACATGATTGTGTTAAACACAATGTTTGCTAAGCACACTGCACCAGTCACACACTGTATCAAACCCAAACTGTGCCAGATGATTATGCAGAACAAGCAGAATAGAGGTCAACACGGGTACGGGTACGCGGGCCACAGGTCGGCCTGGTCCGGGATGCGAGTTGGGCTCAGGCCGATTACGATCGCGAAGGGCCTGGGCCTTGCATTCGAGTCTACAAGGCAGGTCAAATCTAGCCTAGCCGGCCGTGACTTTTTTTTTCTAGCACAAATGTTTTTGATGTTTCATTGGGGGGCTTGGGGGAGACACCACACCGAGGGGGTGGGGGCCGGGGGGGGGGGGGGGGGGGGAGGGGGGCTTTGAGAGAGAAAGAGAGACCAAAATAGTGAAGGCATCTGTGTCTGTGCGTTTTTTTTTAGGTTTGGACTGCGTAATTTGTATGTACGAGAGCGTGAGTCCACAATACAAGGGAAGAGACTTCGCTTTCATTGACACAGATTTCTGAGGGGTGCATTTTCTGAACCAATTTCTTGCGGATGTCCGCAAAAGACAGCGGTGCTCTCTTAATCACTTTTTTCGTTCGTGCACAGCGGGAGTGGGCTAGATAAGAACCTCATTTGTTTTTTGTCCGAACTTGTCGCAATGCTTCCCTTCCATATGGCTTTGTCTACTGTAGCCTGTCATTTTATTTTTTTGTCTTTGTGGTAAAGCGAGCTTTGTAGCAAGAAAAAACGATGAGGGTGAGGCCTGCAGAACGGTACAACTAAAAACATTGGAAACAAAAAAAAAAACAAAAAAAGGATTCTTACTAATCAACCTCTGTAGCAGGGGCAGGCAAGCTTGCCATGCCAAGCAACTCACGAGCTCGGCTTCATATACTGGCCGAAAATAGAGCGGGCCTCGGCGGATATGTGAAATCTAGTGTCGGGTTAAGTCGAACCGGGCCGGCCATCGGAAATGGGTGGCGGGTCACGGGAGGGCTCGAGCTCAAGAGACGGTGGGCCGGGCTCTTCAATATCGGCCCGTGCAGGCCTCTAGTGCACGGCGCTGGGTGCATGCAGTGATGGCATATGCTATAGTCTGTTGCAAAACATGATCTGCAATAAAAGCTTCACCTCCAGCATGCCCTTGTGGCTTGTGATCGTGCTTCGGCCCTGCACGGTCATGAGACATTGGGCGTTATCACAGGTGGCAAGCTTGCACTGGAAGCAGAGCTTCTACTGCAGATCTTACACTGCAAAAAACTACACGTAGGTAGTAACGTCCAGATTTGAACACAGCCCCTGCAGTTTTGTTCCTGTAGTCTGTACTGTGCATACGAAGTGCAAGTTTGACCTGCAGTACTCGGAATGGGCTGATCAGAACGTACTCTAATGGACAACTACCAGAATGCTTGTCTAATGCAGAACGACAACCGCAACGGTTAGCAGAGCATCTCGATCGGCGGCACACAATTCGTTCTTTCCTGTCTTTCTAGAGTCTCACCTGAGCATCTTCGGCAAGGCTAGTGACCAGCTTGTAGTGCGGATAATCCGAAAGGAACCGCCAGGCGGTGATTCCGAGCTCTAGCGCGGAATTGTGGCTGCCGGCGTCGCTCTGCAGCGTTGGCACACGTCCGGCCATTAAGAGCACCTGGTGCGAAGGGTGATACTCGAGGCAGGTGACCCCTTTCGGGTAGAAGGATCCCAGGTGGAAGCTGTGGTTGTCGCGGTAACCGTCCGAAGGGCTGCAACAAAGTTGAGAGAGGAAGGGCACTTTTGTGCACATTGTCTGGAGAGAGAATGGCTGCTGTAAAGCTCATTGTGCTGAGAACGAATTGACACTTACGTCGGGCACTGGCACTTTTTGTTACACGCAACATTACAAGATACATACTGTCGGTTGGCAAATTCGCATAGACGCCTGCATGTAGAGGTTGAGAGTCTTATACGTCCTCTGATGTTTGTCACTGGTTGACTGTGGAACCGCTTCATCTTTTAAAGCTAGGGCTGCCCTCTAAACTGTTGTCGCGGAGATACTTCGCAGGATAAAAACGAGACGACGTTTCAATCGACTCATGACGAACGCTGCTGGGAGAGGGAAGGTCCGAGTCTCGTTCGACGATCGCGAACTGAGTGGATCGAGCAATGTTGATTTCACATACATAGTACTATGTTCGACTGACACAAAACATGTCGTGCAATTGAATCCATGAGGCTCGCAATGTAGTGTAAATGTGTGCCCCGCTAACATAGATTAGGTGAAGCGTTAAAGAGCTACGGTACGATCGAATGTATAACACCGAAAACTATACTTGCATTCTAAAACACAATGTCGCCTCGTTACCTTAGCAGGTAGCTCTTGAGCTGGCCCCTATAGTTGACTGCTATGAGCTCGTATGACCTGCAAATATAAAGGAAGCAGGCACAAGCATCAGCATAGATTGAGGCAGCGATGCGAGGTCGTCGCACTCATTCGTCATAATGACGTAGGAATGTTCATAATTTTGAAAGATCGCCAATGAACAAAATTATTGGAACTCCCACTTTTGAGAGGAAGGGAGGAGATAGATAAAGAATGCTTTCCTCCTCGTACGGCGCCGAGTTCTTCAATGCCAGAGAAGCTGTTAAAAACAAGAAACACCAGCACCACTTACCACTGCGTCTTGTGTACCCGAGCTTCAGTGAACACCATCCCTGCAATGGCGTAGCTCAGGTCTTGAAGCACTCCATCCATCTGTGCGACCGGCTGAAAGCATGAGGAAACCGTCTTTACCCGGTAATGTTGTGATTGCAAGAACGCCAGTTAATATACAACTCAATCTCGCAAGCCGTATGCAATGCTATCAAAGGCACGGGCAACTAGCCTCAGGTATGTGTCAAATGCTTTGCTTAGACACGCAAGCAACCTAGGCAGGCGCTTTCTAAAGTTGTGCTCTCGGCCGTCACAAATGGCACCTCTCTTACCCCCAGAACTGGGAGACTGTTCCTCGAGGTACCTTTGTTAAGTTCCGACCATGAGGCTAGGCATCTGAAATTCCCCTCAAAGTCCTTTTAAGACCATGAAACTCGTTCGGCATTGTGAGCTTTCCACAACACGACGAAACACAAGGGCTCTTCGAGAAGGCAGCTGTAACAACAGCTTTGCTCGCTTACCTTCCAATATTTTGCTCATACTACAGAATGTTCTTTTACGTTACTAGAACGAAAAAGAAGACGATGCTGTGGCACGAACCTCGGGGACATGGAAGAGCGAACTGCCGACGGTGTCGAAGAACTCAATACGGCCGGTGCTCAGTGCCACTGCGAGGAAGCTGCAGTCGGGAGACCAGACCACTCTCCTCCACTGGGGAACCGGGTCTTTGGGAACTGCAAACCAAACATCTGTTTAGTCTTCTGTCTTCTGTTCAAAGTCAGTCCTATTCCTGCCTAACAAAAGGTATATAGCTACCATACTGTGGCGTATGGACTATACATGTCTCAAAAATGTTTCTTACATGGAGTGAACTATGCAAAAACGTTTTCGTGATCGTACCGTTTTTTTTTTATTTGGGTGCGAGACCCAGGTAGGTGCTAATGTCGTCCTGTGTGCAACCAGACAATAGTGCTGAAGATGTGGGAGTTAAAATGGCGAGCACTAAGACAATTGACAACAAATTAAACTGTTTTACTCTCGTGTTTGTATAATCGAGATACAGATCTAACCTGCTGCTTCTTGGCATCGAGATAATTCTTTAATGCAATGGCTTTGCAAGTGGTCAATTATGTGGGGGATTGTTTCTGGATCAGATAATGTTCTTGCACCCTTATAATGTTTGCTTCTATGAAGACACTGTTTCTCTAAGTGTTCTAAAAACGTTAACTGTTTCAGAAAAACAAATCTTTGAACATAAATCAATGATAGTCTAGAAAAAGTTAGTCATAATAGGAAACAACAAGGACGCAATAAAACTGAAGTCTAAGTGCATTTTTAGACATCTACAAGTATGGTAAAAGCTGCAAGAAAGTTTCTAGAATTTCAACCAAGCTTGGAACTCGGCATATCTTATATCTCCGTTTCCCTTATCTCATCTTGTGCTTCGACTTTATTCTGAGCTCAACAGTTACTAAAAGTGTCATGAAGTGTGGCTTGTGTATTCATACCACTGCCACGTCCAATCACGGTGACATACTCGTCCCGGGACGACCTGCATCAAAGAGACAGTAGATTAGGATTAGTGATCTGTGGGTTGGACAGAAGAGGAGCTTATCACTTGCCTGATCTCAATGCTCTGATCTTGAAGAATGGCCAGGACTTTTCCTTCCCTGAAGGACAGCAAAATATAATAATGACAGCGACACTCAACCAGGCTTACCTTTTGAAATGTAAGGAACCTGATGATTTTAGTTATAATCAATAATAATGTCAGGGCCTTAAGACAACATTATAATGGCAGTGACAACTCGATCAGGTAAATATTACGATCCTTGATGGATATTACGACTAAGGGACGATTAGGGATGAAAACGGAAACAATCATAATACTAAATGATAATGAGCAGATAAAGAACACTATGATTAAAGGATCAAGTGTGTGAAACTTTGATAAGAATTTGTACTACAAAACGACCCCGAAAAAGCTAAGTCTGTTAGCGAACCGTCAGCTGCAGAAATTAGTCTAATAATTACGGTAAACAAAAACGAAAGCTTGAAGACCATAATTACTAGCCGACAACTGATGGCATGCTTTGATTGCACCCAACAATTACAAACTAAAACATTTCGATTCCCGATTTTTAATGTATAAGGCTAGTAAAGCAAACAATAAATACAGGACAAGGCCGACCTGCTCGCTCAGATGGGGTCAGATTGGGCGCTTACCCGCCCACTGCAAAGTGCCAGTCCATGTGAAAGGACCGCAGCCGCTGGACTGACGGCGGAATGCCGGACATGGAAGTTGCGAGGGATCCGAGCCAACCCCATATGCCTCCTGGTGGAGAATGGAAAACCATTTATGCTCGTACAGAGATCGGTTAAAATTAAACGCTGACCAACTAAAGCTAAAGTATCTTAACAAAATGTTGGATGCCACTCTAAAGCTCCCTTTTTTCTTATAAGCAGCTTTCAACATTCATGTTTCAAATGTGCTGTGCTTATTAAAGATCACAAACTACAATCTCTCCACCAAAAATTAGAAATAGTGCATAAAGGAAGAAGCGTACAATGGGGGAATTTGGGCGTCTGCAAGTTGCACGGATCGAAATGAGCCTGGAGTGCGCTAACTCCGAGCGCACAACGCTCATTGAGTTTATTTATTTATTTACAATAACTCATGGCCCATTTGGGCTGTCCATCTTATTCAAGAATGACGACATGAGTTTGCAGTAAAACTCTTCGATTCAGATATTTTATGGTAAAAAATGAGCCCTCAGTTATCTAGTGCATCTGCGTCGGTTAGTCACAAAAGCTGTCCATTTTGATATTGGTGCCTTGTTCATAGTACTAAAATTGCAAAAAAGAATGCAGTGTCACTGTCATCAAATTGTTGTATGATCTTATTTTTTGTTTTGTTTTAGTATAATGCTTTTTAGCTACAGTGAGTAAAAGGTGGAACACAAACATAGAGACATTGAAACATGCATTAATACACAGGATGTAATCATCTTACCATCTTCACACTTCTCAACAGCTGCTCTGTTCTGTAAGTGATGAGAAAAACGATGATTAATACACAAGGTCAATGTACGGGTTCCAACCAAACCATGAAGCAATTCCACCAGCTTAGTTTTTAGACCCAGGGTCGCCAAACACCGGCCTGCGGCCAAAGTCTTCCGAACAGGACTGCGGCTGGCCACGGTCTTCCCGAAAAAGCCTGCCCGTGGACTCTGCTAGCAGCGAAAAAAGAAGTGAACGTAAAGGAATGGCGCTGCGACATGCTCCAAATGAACAAGCTAAGATACCAGAAGGAACGAGACAAACTGCAACGTAACACGGGAGCTCTTGACTATTATTAACTCAACATTGTAATCACTAGGATTACCATTCTTAGCCCCCCCGATTCCTGTCTCTGTAACTATGTCAAAATTCCAATTTGTTCACATGTACAATGCACTTAGTGTCCTCTGTCACAACTATTGCATATGATCAGCATTAGTTTTATCACTCTCATTAGTCTTTTGCACTGTGCGGATGTGCCAAAGTTCCTATGTGCATTGATTTATGCCTGATGAGTTTTCTGCATCACAAGTGTTGAGTAATGTCAAAATTAGTTAAATATTAAACTTCAATTTAAAGTATATGTATTCATTCACCTTAGATATCTTTTTAATACTTACTCAAACACTCATTTTTGTGTTTACATGCTTATCTAAGTTTATTTACTTAGTAGGTTTTTTTGTTGTTGTTTCCATTTATAATTACTTTTTTTTTTTCTTGTCTGGTTTTCGAGATTGCGCAGCCTAAAAGTTTGGCGACCTCTGTCTTAGACCAAGGGCAAGATAATTAGGCTAGAATAAAGGGGATGCACAAGTTGATATGGCCAGCAACTCATCAACTTTCTAGCATTGAGTAAAATCAAGTTCAACGAAACTTGCCACATTCTCAATGCTCCTTATAGACCATTCCATTTAGCGCTCTCTGGGCGGCACCATTTCGTTCGACCGCAGCGCCCTCTCCATACATCCGGGAAGTTCAGCGGGTTCGGCGGGGTAAAACGAGAGAGAGGGCACGCCGCCGACTCCGCTAGCAGGCGACAAACTGGGAGGTTGCCGTTCTCCATCTTTGGGCTGTATCGGCGGGCTCTACCGAACACCGAACTCACACTCGTGGCTGCCGTTGTGAAGTGGTTCGCGTTCTTAGAATAGTTGTGGCTACTCCAAAATCAGTGTATAGCTCTCTGTTGTTCTATATTGCTAAATGATAAACTAGCATATCTTTTTTCCGTTACTTAAATAGCAGTTGAGTCAGCCGGCAGTACTACCCTCAACTACTGCGTGTATTGCGGCAGGAGAGCACGTTTTTATTTATTATTTCAGACTTCCACTCATGGTCGCTTAAGGCCTACACCAGTACGAACTTTTGTATACAGTGAAAAAGGTACAGCAACCGGATTTTCTTTTTGCCAAAGAGACCGGCCAATCTGACACAGTTTTCCCTATTTTTGTTTTTTATTTGCACGCAGGTAACAGTGCAATTGGGCCCTGTGAGTCTTTTTATCTAGCATAGTATTACACGATAACTGGCATACCAAAATCTGTGCATCTGCGCTTGAAAGTTCCAAAATGACGCGATTTTAAACAGAGTTTGCACGCGAGCCGGACGCTAGCTACAGCCCACTCGGCGGAGCGGACGGCTTGCGGGGGAGAGGGGGAGTGCATTTTTTTTTTTTCTTTTACCCTCTCTGCTATGACCCTAATGGAACGGTCTATACTTTCCGCGCGTTCCATGATACGTAATCTGAGTATTGTACGTGATTGTCATATATTTTCTGCGCGTTCTCTGATATGTAATCTGATTTAGGTAGAGGACGCGGTACATCAACAGTAGTTTCGTTCAAACCGCTCAAGCCAATGAGCAAATTTTGTCAAGCAGTCGTTTTCGATCTCCGACGCCTTCTATCTGAACGTCATCGGTCGTCAATTATGTCAACGAAAATGCTAACCAACGCTATGTGGAGAAGAACGGAGGTGATTTAAAAGTGGAAGCACGCGATAAAACTGATAAAGCATGGAAAGTTTCCGCGATATTCACAACCGAGCAAGGTTGATTGAGGGAGCAGCAATATTTGCGCTCCCATATTTTCGGGAGTCGTGCCTTGACATCAGCGTGAAGCGAATGGATAAATTTTCACTGACCAAGATCTCCGGCTCTTGCTGCCACTCCGCGTAAGTGAGCAGCTCGTAGAGAATATTATTCTCGGTTTCAGTTTTTGTATCTTCCACGTTGTTTACATTCACACCTGCCATCGTGGATAAAAAGTGAATTGGATTAAATTGGATTGGATTGGCGGCTGAATTTGTCTGGTTGCCCAATGTTAGCAGCGGACTAGAAACAGTTGCCCAGTTACAAGGAAACGGAGCCACAAAATGCTAGTTTCGTTTTTGGAAACATTTTTGTTGTATGAAGTTTACAAAGTTTTTCTTCCTCTTTATCTGAGCCAGAGACTTTTAGAATAAACGCAACAGGGGAATTTATAAAAAAAAAAAAGAAATGCATTGGTAGAGTTCCCTTCGATGGCAACGGCAGTTGCCAACAAATCCAAACCACAAAGGTGGGAAAAAGAATGGCTTCCCCAAAGGGCCTTTCTGTGACTTGTCCTTTTGCCCCAAGACGCTAAACTGGGAATTTATGCTATGCCCAGCGATGTTTCAAAAGCCCAAGCCACAACATATAGACCTTGTGCTACTTACCCAAGCACCAAGGAGACTGCTGGGAATGTAGATGTGTGCTCGACTTGTCAGTTCAAAACATTTGAAGGACTATAAGACCAAACTAAGGTGTTAGTGATCAGATGGAAACTGCTATTTGTTTCAGAATTTTGCTTTCAAACAGTATTGCAGTCACCAACACGTGCAGCATGCAAAATTATACTCGCAACATGCTCTTTGGTGCTTGGAAAATTCAGTAGAAAGTGTATTGGGTGCCATTATTTATTTCAGAATTAGACACAAGAAGTCTAGATACAAAAAATTCATGCTTGTAAAAAAATATGTACAAATAAACTTCATGTTTATTCCAGAGTATAAAAACAAATAAAAGAAGTCACTTTTTCCCTGACACCTTGTCTTGAGCTTTCCTCGAGATGGTCTTGCCGATGCCACTGTACTTCTTATTATCGTCCCTAAGAAGAAAAGAAAAAGAAAGAAAAAAAGTAGCATGATTAAACATTACATTTGAAAGCCACTAAACACTAACGAACATCATTTCAAGAACTTGTTGGGCTAGTTGTAGTTGACTGTACTGAACCATGGTTAAAAGCGCTAAAAAGACGTACACAAGATAGAAGCCCGTGTTGGTCTATCTCGTGTACGTCTTGTTAGCGCTTTTAACCATGGTTCAATACATCATTTCAAGAACTGCTACCAGGTTTCTAACCCTAAATAAAAAGAAAAAGGCCGACATATATGTAACTATAGAACTGCCAGTTACAACATGGCTCGGACAAAGAAAAAACAATGGAATGGAGCACTCCCAGACCTGCTCATCTTGATGCTGTCCCGGCAACCACGTCCACCTTCCCAGTGCGCGGTCGGTTTCTTGGTCGTGAAACTGCCGCAACCAATGCACGGCTTCTCGGCCGCAAAAGGCTGCAAGAAGATAGTTTGAAAGAATTAGCCGACGCACATCTCGTTTTCCGCAATGTGCTTGAGAGCACGGGCTCTCAAACGGGGCTGCAAAATTTTTGTCGGCGATTCCCCACTCTAAATGAAAGTGCTCACCCAGTTTAAGCACTACCCTCAGTCTTTCCTGCCCTCAAGATTTCAGCAGAGTTTCAAAGCAAAATCATGATCCAAACGCTCCCCTAGTACGAGCACTACTATTTACAAGGTCTGTAAGCTTCTGTACTACGTTACTGCACGTATGCCGATACCAGGTTCCTCAGCTCTCGGACCAGGTACGTGCATTCCTTGAAATCAAAAAAGTTTAGGAGCCCCAGAGTAAGCCTACTTAAACTGAAAAGCATTGCATTCGACCACGAGTGCCTCGAATACCTGTTCTTTGGCACAGTGTCCGCAAATCATGCGCGTGGCAAACTTCATCTCGTGGCCTCCTTCCTGCTCGTCGTGGCACTTGTCGCACGGGTACGCCTTGCCACAGCACGGAAACCTGCGCATGGTCGTCGAGGCGTGTGGAGTTTAAATTGGTGGTTCCACATCTCATTAGTCATGTACCACACTGTCACCAGCAGATAGGCAAAGAAAGTGCAAGATGTCTCCCAAAAAAATTTCCAGGGTTTTGTTTTCACCGCAAAGATAAACTATGCATCACCGAACGCTTGTTTTCCGGCCAAAGGTAGCAATAGAAGTCCAAACCAAATGCCAAAGTTTCAGCACGAACAGATATTTGATTCGAAAGTTTTGAAAGATTTTCTGAAAATTTCAGTGGTAAAATGGGGCTCATTTTTGCCCGTTTGAGGTTTCTGGCTCTATAGAGCTCTGTCGGTCACCATGAGGTGCAGACAACTTGGCAAGTGCTCACCAACGCAGAAACTGTTCGGTGTTTGGGTGGCGCAGCCTACCGCTGCCGCTCATCTAGAAGCTAGTTAATTCTTACCTCGAGCATCGTACACCGACCGCCACAATTAGACAAATCCTAAAGCACGGTTTAGATATGGCTATATACTACCACTGAGCACTCTCCATTTATTTACTTATTTCAAATACCCTTAAGGTGCGTTCAATCGCGGTACACTGAAATACAAACAACGGAGCACGTGGTTCTCTGTTACTGGCTGCGCAGCCTGGCGACATGCTTACGCACTACAGTAAGGCCAGAGGTACGAGGATTCAGGCCTAACTGCGATATGCCTCGTCGTGGCCCACCCGGGCGCTAGGGGCCCGTTTGCGCCGCCGTTATCCCGGCTGCACTGTACTGCTCCGACGAACCGTGACGAGCGCTCGCACGCCGAGCCAAGCTGCTGGCACACCGAGCGACGGTTAAGGCATATCATACAGTAGGACGCAAATCCTCGTATCTCTGGCCTTACTGCATACGCGCAACCTTCTCTCCTTCCTTTTTTACAGTCTCGGGGCATTTTTATTAGGTTCAACCACCACCGGCTTGCCTGCACCCCAACCTTCTGTTCGGTGTGCAATTCTTTTTTAGGAGGGAGCAACCTTAGAATTACAAAGCAAAAGCATCGTCATGGCAAGCTAGCATCGGCCAAACGGGCACCACAGTGGACTTTCGTTAGCCCAAGCTTTCTTGATTCAAACTTGCGGACAATTCAAACTAACATGCAGGTTACAGTCCTATGCGTTTCCAGAAAGGAAACTCCCAGTAACTCAAACTTTGCATTAGTCAAACAACATTTTGGTACCCCTCGGGTTCGAATGAACGAGATTCCACTGTATAATGTTTCAATAGGATGCAAGTTCCTCGGTCGTATTATTCCGCTTTCGTCCACGGAAATGAGAGTGACGACAGACCGTCGACTTCGACGCTGTTGGTTTCACGAGCACGACAGCTTCAAGCTTTCGCCGTGCTTATTACACGTGCCGTCGAGCTCGTCGTTCACATTTGGTAATCCTGGTCACGCGGTCGAGCTGCTCATTCGTCGTGTAAAACGCACGAGCATCCGCTGCAGACGCGACACCAGAATGTTGGACGCCCATGCCTCGAACAAAAATTCGTCAATGTTTTAACGAGTTCGACAATCGCTAACATTCCCAAATAGTGTCTCATTTAGTCTAGTTCTTATTAACGTGGAGAAAATTGTGGTTGTTACGAGTTCGCTCACTTTTACCCTTAGTGTATTCGCATCGAGTTTACCTCAATCAAAATAAAGAACTGAACAAAAAACGTCTGGCTCACCTGAGCCACCTGAAGCTCTTCTTGTAGTGCTTGCAGATCCCGTTGGAGGGCAATGGCTTTCCTTCTTGAATTGCAGGGTCCTTTACGTTCTTCACGGCTTTGGGGGTCTTCACGGAAAAGCAAGGGCCACCTTCTGCCGGACAGCGGACAAGAACAAAGTGGTCAAAAAATTATTGAGCAATACGGAATGGTACAGCGAATGACACGACGGTTGGAAACTGCGGAATTATTTTTTGGAAAAAAAGGTTAGGAAATGTTAGAAAGTATAAAATGGCTGGGAGAAAGTGGAAACGTTAGATAACTGGCCTCGCAGAATCCTAAAGGGTGTTGCCCTCACAGGAATGAATAAGCGATAAGACACAACATTTTATGCAAGCACTACATGCGCACGTTTTATATGTACACAATGCTTTACATTCACGTTTTATGTGGGCACTGGATTACGTCTACATCATTTTATGTAAGAGTAAAGCTCTACGTACTACGTCGTGCAGCTTGACCAGAAATGGCTATACGCACGACGCAAAGAGCTCATGCCATTTGGGTCACCCTTTTCGGACTGCGCGTGTATCACTGGTGAGCGTGTTAACCTACACCCCCGCCTGCATTCACACCGCTTTGCGGCGAGTGTGCGGCTGCTAATTGCTAAACTTAACCCACTTCTTCCCCCCCTTGCACGCCGCTTCACGGCGTCCAGCCGGCTCCCCAAGCTCCATTGTCCCAAATAGACCTTTTGCGAAAATCCCAAAAGCCCGCGCGCGCCACGCAACGAATAATGGGAGTCCTTAGTACGCCCCGCCCCACCCATCGTCCTTCCTCCCGCTACCACATGGTATACAATAGCAGGCACAGGTTACCATGGCAATAACATTCGAGTGGCCAAGAGCCGAGTCGGACGAGCGACAAGCGCACGGAAATGGGAGAGAGAGTATCGCGTTGGCTATTTTGCGAGGTTGCCCTTATCTCAACCCTCTCCTTTGTACCGGCTCTGTCGTCTGCTGCACCAACGCTTTGTCGAACCTAGACGAACCTACCATGTTTGCGGTGAAAAGGAAGTGGATTAAGTGACACTGCCAGCCGTGAAGGTAAGTTACGACAAACAACGTATTCAAAGAAGTGAATAGCTTCATCCGCCGCAATGCTTTTATGCTGCCACTGCGCCGCCAACGACATAAAGACGTTCCGGCGGATGGCTGCTGGCGATTGCTGGTGCTACTCGCGCGCGATCTGTACCGAGGGTTCCCTAAATCCCCTGCCATCGCGGCGCCATACGTTTTGCAACGTGTCTATTGCACCTATGGAAAGAACCTATGGTGGCTATGGAAAGGAAGTCCCATGCCATTTAGTTTTGCAAAATTTCGTCAACAACATTAGTATTTCTTTTTCAGTATTAACCGTAAAAAAGAAATGTAAAAAATATCACCAAATGCTCGACAAAACAAAATGCTAGAGAGAAAAAAAAAAAAAAAAGTAAGCACCCACTGCGGATTGAACAGGGGTCTGCTGCGTATGAAGCAAACACCTTACCGCTGAGCGACGCTACCTCTCCGGAAACTTGTTCTAACCATTCATTTTATAAGACTTTAGCGTCGTGCATATAGCCGTTTTCGGTCGAGGTGCACGACATAGTGCGTAGAGCTTTACTCTTTATGTATACATACTTCTTTGTGTATGCATTAGTGTTTTATGCGCACAATGCTACAAGTGATGAACTTGGTCACGTTGGCAAAGCGTGCTAGCAATTGGGCGAGCGTCTTCGCTCAATCAAAAACTTATTCGGTATGAAGTGGGGTTGTGGCTTGCCTGCGGCCTTGGATGGCTGTAGCTGCTGGAACTTGATGGACTCCATGAGCACCGCCATTTTGGCATTGCAGAACTGGCACCACAAGGAACGCCGCTGGCCATAGTGGATCCCCTGTGCGACGTGGCAGGTGACGAAGTGCCCATAAACTTAGAGCCTCGCTTGTCACCAACACTCGAGCCATTCGCAAAAGTATTCCATGAAAATGGTGCTGAGAACAAACTATGGGAAAAACTAATCGAATAACATCTGTTGGCAGTCTGAGAAAAAACATGAACTTTTTAAGAAACGTGTTACGCTGCCTCGTATATGTATCTGCACATGCACACCCCTTCTATCCTTTTGAGCCTCGGGAGACACTGGAGCATCATCCGAGGTAAAAAGCTCACAATGGAGGCAGGACAACTGATCTGCTGTGTTCAATCTTGTGAGTGGCTAAGGAGAAGTAGGCCACAAGCACCTGCTGGAACGCGAAGGGTTTGCTCCAACGAGCGGCCACTGTACTCACGTCGGTGCTGATCCGCTTGTTGCACCCAAAGCACTCCAGAGCAAAGGTGCAACCGGAGAGCACAAGGTCCACGACCTGGTAGTCCGTCAGGTCCAAATAGCCCACCACGGAGTTGAAGGCATGCATCAGGTTAGGACGGAACGTGAGTGTGCCGCTATGACTGCAGCGTCCGCAAGCAACCACGTTCCGCCGCCGCGGAGGGGTCGTCAGGTCGGCGTTGCAGCGGCAGCGCGAACACTGGATCCTCAGGGCGACCTTGAGGCACTCGAGGGTGGCCACGTTCTCCCCCAGCTCCAGCCGGCGGAACTTGATTTCGGTGCCGCGCTTCTGGTTGACCAGAATGTCCGCTCGTGGCTTCTGCGCGTCCGGCTGCTCCGACTTTGCCGCGCCGTCCCGCTTCTCAACGGACTCAGTCTCCTTGTGCGACTCGAGGGCCTTTTTGTTACTGAGCTCGCGATCTCCGACCTCCGCCTCTGTCTTGTGGTCCCTGGTTTTCTCTAGTTCCACCGAATCGTCACCCACTTGGATTGGATTGGCTTCGCTAGGGCTACGCCAGACTCCGTTAAAGTCTACCTCCGTACGCTCTTCTGCTTCGACGTTTTGAGTCAGGTCGTCACGCACGGACGGTTCCACGGATCTCGCATCTTCCGTTTCAGTGTTAAGCACGTCGGTGCCCATGGTCGATTTTGCCGGTTTGTCGTCTGCTTTGGATGCCAACTGCTCAAAGGGAACGAACTCGAGCCCAGCGGCTTCGGCCAGTTGCATCTTCTTCACCTGGAATCAAAAGCGAGTTGATCAAATCTCCTACCTTTGCGGAACTCGGCACCGAAGGAAAAGTGCGCCACCTTTCTTAGACCCTCGATGAAAAGATCCTCTAGGTTACGGTCGAACCAGCGTAAGAAAGGACGAAGGATGAGTTGCGTCTGTCCGAGCTTTTCGTTTGTGGCGTGCTTCTCGAGTAACCACGAAGCCACCGCTCTGTTCAGGTCCCTGCAGGAACGAAAAAGAGAGTGTGTTTTATGTAAGCACTAAGGTTTGTAATTGTGTTAGTTATAGAGGTGGCATATCTCTAAAGACTAAATTTGAGCCACAACGACTATTGCAAAAGTATGCACAATGATGGTTGTCATGCTTGTTTGTGTGCTTTATAACTTTGCACAATGTGTGCAATACTATGGTAAAAAGCTGTTTGCAGGTGCAGTAAACAAAAATTAGTGAACAAATAAATGCAACCAGGACAGAACAAACAAAACTTAAAAGCGGAAAGCAATTTCGGGCGCAATTGTATTTTTAACCCAAACACAATTCTGGAACAAACAATATGCTTCCAACCTACAACAAAGCTGAGTAAGTGTAAAATAACTCTTCTCAAAAAAAAAAAAAAATTGATGGAATGTGAACATACGAGAAACCCACCTAAGAAGTACAGGGGGCAGCACAGCCTCCTCATCCAGCACATTCAAAGTGAAGCACTGCAAAACAACGCTATCAGAAATGGGGCCCATATGCATCACTAAATATGTAAACTTAGTCTAACTTGCCTCCTTTGGATAAGACCGTGGAAATGAAACCAGAAGGGTGAGCTCCTTCACATCAAAAGGCTGAACAAGAGAAAGAAATTCATGTAACATATTAATAGTAAGGCCCATTCACGCACTTGCATTTAACTGCAGCCGACTAACACAAGCCCGGTTTTTAAGCCCCTTACAGCAGCTTACGACCTCATGCGCAGCAATGCAGCCGGTCGTAAGCCATCACAAAAGGTTTCAAAACCAGTCTTGTCTCATTGGTCAAAGTCAAGCATATGTGTGGGAAACTTTGTCTTATATGCAATGATACTATAGACATACAGGGCATTTACAAAAATACATTTACAGTGGGGCTTTTTTTGCCACAAAAATTATGCGTCGCCGAACACTCAGTTTCCGCACAAACGTAGTGCTAGTGGCCCCCGGATCAGACGCCAAAGTTTCAGAAATTGCCATAATCTCTTTCAAAAGTTAAAATCAATTTTCGAAAACAATGAGAAACTGTGATTTATTCCCAACAATCGACGTCATCGACGACAAAACTTTATGCCTAGTCTGGACTGGCAGCACTACATTTGGGAGGAGACTAGGCGTTCGGCGACACACAGTTCATTTTTGCACTAAGAAGACACCACGAAAACGTTTTTCGCGGACACCCTGTATTTTTCTTTTGTAAACGAAGAAGAGTGCATTTGTCTGTGCCAGATGTAGGCACTATGTATGCACAGAAGTGAGCTTTGCAAGGTGTGAAATATCTACATGTGTGAAGCCATGGCAAGAGTGAAATGCTGCCACTGTTTTTTTTTGTTTTTTTTATTCACTCCAGGATTTTTTTTTTATTTTAACATGTACGAGGGCAGTGTGTTCTACATAACGCTATGCGAGTTTTGGCGACCCTGTCGGCAAATGTGGAAACCAGAAACTTACCCAATCGGGGTCAGTTGGCTGGAACACAAAGCTGAATTTTTCGCCGTTTTCCTCGTCGGCCGCGATTTTTCTGCATCTCCGGTAGCGCTTGTGGAACTGTTCAATCTCACGGGCCCTGAACAAGAAAGAAAAAAGGAAAAGAAAAAAGACGCAACGTTATACAAACCTCATAAATCACAGGGGCCGACACCGAGGAAGTTTCCTCAAACGTCAATTTGCTCGAACAAAGTAGAAAAATATATTGAAAACACTGAACAAATACGTAAGACGTTCAGAGGAGCTCGGTCGAGCAGCTCTCTTCGAGCCAACAAGATTTTTTTTTTTTTTTCGACAATTTATCAGGTAAGAAAATCCAGGACATTGTACAGTTAGAGTTTGAATAGTGCCTCTATTTGATCATCCCATAAATAACTATTTTGACTGTCAGCGTAAGTAGCTTACCTCAATTCCTTCAAAGTTTCATCCTCGGTGAGCTCGCGCTTTGGGGTATCTTGACCCGGAAAATTTGGCGACAACACACTTTGGGCTGGCGCCCGAGTCGGCAATGGAGCGTTCGGGTCGGCAACTTCGTTCGGCTGAACGGTCAAGTTGGCGTCACTACCTCTCGGTAGAAAGTCTTCGATTGTCGAGTTAGCTGATGCGTCCGGAGAGTTTGAGTCAACAACTTGGTTCGGCTGGCAGTTCAGGGCGGTTTTGCCGACCCTGCGTGCGTTTTTCGCCTTGCTCCTCGGGCGATGAACAAAGCGGCAACTTCGACCAAAGCGGCAGTACCCCGTGCGCTCGTAGAACCGACATACCTCGGTCGGCTCGCCTGACGAAGGCTTCTTCTGCTTGGCGACATCTTCAGCCTCCGGCGTTTCGGCGCCAAGGTGGTCGCTCACGACGCCAACGTCGCCATGAGAGTATCTGCAGCGGTCTCTGTAGCGGCAGTGACCATGGTTGGCGAAGAACCTGCAAGGCTGGCTCGGGGTCGACACGGGTACGGCCTTACCGCGACCGCGACGGGTTTTCGGGAGAACTTGCTGGCTCTCTAACCTTGCATCGTGAACTTCGGACGCGTCCTCGTGGGTAGAGTTCCGCACTAAATCGAGCGGTTCCTGCGTGGGTTGAGGCGCTAAGCGGCCCGCATGTTCAAGCTGAGAAGTGGCGATGTCCGCTGTTCCTTCGAGCATAGGTAGCCGAGACCCGCGACGCGTTGCAGTGGATCCTTTCTCCAATTTACCAGCGAGGTAGAGCCGAGGGCGTCACCGAGCCTGCAAGCGCTAAAGTCCTAAAGCTTATCAAAAAGCGGCACGGACGACGCACAAAGCTTGCGCAACAGTAGAGCAACTGTGGATTGCCAAGCAAGCAAGCAAGAATGAAACAACAACGTTGCAACTTGCAATGAAAGAAGTAGTGATGGGACGAATCACCAGAGATTCGGATTCGGACAGATTCGGAAATTTCCGAACTTCCCGCGACGAATATTCGGCAGATTCGGAGATTCGTCAGGTTCGTCGCTGGTTGCAGACGGCGGCGTGAACACTTTCGTAAACCTCGCGAACGCGATCAGCTGTGTTTTTTTTTTAGGTACTGTTACTGCATATCACCAGATTTCTCTTATTTACTTCAACGTATGGTATGTACTGTACTCTTACTCTAAACCCTGGCAGGCACCCAGGTCCAGCTGAGCTGATCGGTGTGGTTGGCGGAGGCCTAACCAATGCAAAGTTTCGCGGTGATCGCTGAAGTAAAATGTAGCAAAATGCTGTGTGTTATACATCATGTGGCGCAACGCGCAATAAATATATTTATGCAAGGAAATGATTCGTCTAGAATCATTTCCTTGCTCTAGAGCTGCATAAGACGCGAGAGCGATGAAAAGTGTTGCTCATCCCAACTTTCGACCGCGTACCGACACCGACGAAGAAAAACGTCGCATTGTCGTTTCTCCGTCCTCGGCAGCAAGTTTTGTATACGTAAACTTTATTTGACGAAAAAGAAACAACACAGGGGTGTCCACCGCAACTTTATTGTTCAGAAACAAACACCAACTAATTCAGATATCGTATCATTAAACAGAAAGGTACAAATGCAGTACAGGAGAATAGTACAGCGCAAGGAGTTTTAGATTGTTTCCCGTGTTCCGATAACAATACCGGAGTGGACACACGTTGAAGATAATCGAATCGAACATACTTGTGTCGGGTGGGCACGAAATGTGTTTGAACCTGGTCGTGGTTTGAACCACGCACGTACGGCATCGATCTTTTCCGGGGGGGACTGCTGCGAACCTCGGACGAGCACGGTGGACGTCTTCGGTCTCCGGGAACCCCGGAGTACGAGAACGTGATCTTCGCGTAAACATCACCTCGCGCTCCGTCGACCCGCCGCTGCACCGGCTGCACGTCCACCGAATCCCGCCGGGCTGGGACGACCACGCCAGGCCTGACGAAATCCACGAGGAACTTATGCGCTTGCGTTTCGCCGCAAGGGCAGCCGCGGTGGTACTGCCATGACCCCGCAGACAACGCCGGAGGTTCCTGGTGCCCAACAAACTCTCGTCAAACCGCCTGCCCCACAACCGACTGTCACTGAAGTTCGAACTGGCCGAACCGCCGGGGCCGGCGCGATGAAAACATGCGCTTGTATTTCCACGAGCACCAAGCATGCCTATTTGGGTCGTAATCCGGAACCGAAACCAATTTTCCCGCGATGTCTGGTTACCGTTCTCGACAAACATCCGGAATGTTATAAACAAAACGGAACATTTTATTTATTACTATGATATTATATTACAACAATATTTTGTGCACTTTGTAGAATTTATTGAATTTAATATCACGAAAAGTTGAAACACTCATCAACGTGATCTGGACACCATGGCAACGCTCCGAATTTTTCCGAACTTTTCCGAATCTCTCGAGATTCGGCTACTTTTCCGAATCTTTCCGAATCTTCAGATTCGGCTCCGAATCTCGATTCGGATAAAGATTCGTCCCATCACTAGAAAGAAGAATGTTCCGTTGACGATCGTTAGAACACGGTTCACAGCTTATGACGTCACTGACGTTACCTCGGCAGTTTACGATCAATCGAACGCGCAGCACACACGCTGCTGCCTGCTGCCGTCTTGTGGGCGGCAGAAGCGGAATTAGGCCAGAGGAAAAGGACTCGGCGTCGAAGGGAGCGTGTAAATACTGTGGATCAGAAACGATCCGCTATTCGCTAAATGCTCCAGTGTAAAGAACGAGCCGGTGTAGCGACCGACGTTGACTGGTGACTTCGCGTCGACGAGCCGGGTGGTGGACTTCACCGCAATGCTGGCATGTTGTACGGAGGGGCAAACTTGACGACTGCAGGTTCGGCCACGGAGGTAAGGTACCACAGCCTTGACGTGTTAATTACGCACGGGCACGTGTTTGGGCTCCTTTATTACAACAACAGAGAAAACAAAAAAGTTTTTTTAGCAAGAAAATCTGCTCTGCCTCGCACGCGACGCCACCCAGGGTAACCGTCTCGTGCAAATAATTATTATTATTACACGGAAGTGCATCGTAACTACAGTGAGAAACGAATCGCAAAATTGACGGCACGTCACTCAGGAACTTTGGGAAATCAGTTTATTAAAAAAATAAAAAAAAAACTGAACACCTACCAATTTTTTTGCATTTATTGAGTTTTTCATGAAGAGCTATATTTTCCATATCAATCGATTCGGAAAGTCTTTCTTCGACACTTCACTGCCTTCTGCTGCTTTTAAAGGTCGACCTGCAGGCCTGTATTCTGCTGGGCAGAAAACCGGTTCGCAGTTTCCTTCTCTCCATTCTTTCTTGCACCTCACCTCCCCCCCCCCCCCCCCACCCCCCGCAGAAAGGAGGGTGGTTTCCCTCTTTCTCAAATGAAAAGGGGGAATTGAGGGAGTTTTTTCTCCTTTCTGAATACTCCTCGGCCTTTAGCTGCATGGAACTAACGGTCTGTTGACAACTTTTGTAGCAGTCCACAAACATGGTAAGATGTCTTTACCACATTACAGCAGCACAACCTTCCCGTTTTCTGCAGCAATGGCGGAGAAAAAACCCCAGCTGATCCTTGTGTTCAGTGGCAAGAGAAAATCTGGCAAGGACTACATTACGGAGACCCTTAGGAAAAGGTAGGCTTCATATTCCAAGTCCATAACGAAACCAAAATGTTTATTACAGGACCATAAAGATGGTAGCGTAAACATCACAACCTGATGTGGGTTACGTCAAAAGGGGGTAGTGCAAATGTCACATCTTAAAATGAATAACTTGAGGTGGAGGCACAGTAGGAGCTCAGAGGGGCTTTCTCATCTCTGGTCTGAAAACGACAACATGGAAACAATTTAGAAGAATGGCCACCCATAACCAAAAATTTGATGCAAACAACAAGACTAAAGTACTAACGGTAGACTGTAATAGGCCTTCACTTCTTGCCTCGTCATGTCGATCACGTCTTGCATGGTACACTGCAAGTAATGAACACTGGGTTTATGAAAAGATATGAGCCATGCATGGGCATGACGATATCTCGCATAATGTGCCTCTAGATACGAGATGCAATCATGAACGGGAAGTATATAGTTTGGAGCTTAGAAATATTAGCGAATCGTCGTCTATTATATGACATACTTTGCCACCCATTGTGCACCTTTAGCACATCGCTCAAATCTAAGGCACAGACTGGCTTTTACTGACAACTTTTCTATAAGAGGTGTGCCTTACGTGAGAATAAAGGTGGTAAATTCTATGTGGTACGTCATTTCTGGAAATTTAAGCACACTTAGCTATTAGCAAATGGACAAGTCTCGGCAAAGTGTTTACAATGTGGTTCCTCGGAGAAGCTCTTGAGTATAGAGAAAAATTGTGCTCTAATATTCAAAATCGCCTTCTTGGTAGAGCCGTACCCTGATGTTGCTACCTTGCCGCCGAATGAAGCATATGCCCTCTTCGTTTTCAAACATGGGGTGGATTCCCATCTTGGTGGTGTTGAGAGGCTTGTTCCTGGGGTCAGAACTGCTCCAAGGAAACACCTCCACTTCCACGACATACTTGCCCACCTGTCCACCCTGCATGTGAATATGTAATGATGTCGCAGCAATCCGGGATATCGGCCTCAGTGCCCGAAACTGAAGACATTGCTCAGATCAATGCATCGCTTTCAGCAATCCTCCTAGTGGTTTCCCATTCTTCATGTTGCTGCCATAAAGTAGTAGGTAGTAGAAATACCCGCAGAAATTATGGGATTGGTAATGAGAGCAGGGGTAATGCTGAAATTAATTAATTAATATTGGCTGTACCCCATTGCAAGGGGTACAGCAAATAGTCTTATCTGTCCAGTCATCCATGCACACCTGCATTTACTTATCGTGTTTGTATCGAAGTTCACAAGCTTAAGTGGTTTTGTCTACAAGGCCAATCACCCTCCGCTGGCTTCATTTGTCAAAACCTCAACTTGGTTTCTCATACAAATCAACCTAAAAACAAAAGCTGTTCTGAATTTATGTCCCTTCGAGGTTTTGTTCAGAAATCTTACAGTTGTCTCCTCAGGCTTTCAAGCTCATTTTCGATAACTAACTGTCACTTGGCGATCTGTCTAGCTAATTACAAAGGCAGTGCACAGGACGAAATTGAACACTCACAACACTGATCTGTGCAGACGCCTCGTTGTCACACCAGCAATACCGTGAACTCTGAACTTCGTGGGGCCTTTGACGGTCCATGCCATTCACTTCCGGTTCTGAGCTGCAGGGAAAGGAGCGAGAGAACCCTCATTCATTTTGAATGGCCAAGAAAACCAAGATCAACTTGTAGAGTCGCTAGAGCAAGAACCTCTGGGGTTGCGGTGGCAGTGTCGTGGCACCCTCTGGGATAACGGGAACGAAGCGCAGGTTGTACATATGCTTCGCAACCGGTGGGTCGTAGCGGGTCAGGACATTTTCCAGGCTGAGCAAAATGTGGTCTTTCTGTAAATGTTTGCGAAACGAAAAAAAATAAAATAATTCAAGGTAAGGCAAGCAAGTCGGCGCCGACCAAGCCTGTTGCATGAAAACCAAGCGTAAAGTCTCGAGTTAGCTTTGAAAGTGAGAACCGAAATCGCTGAAGATGGTAAATGTGATGTCATATAAGATAAAGATAAGAAAGCCAGTGCAGCTATACTACATGTTGTATGCAGGCACATGATGAACACGAATCTCTTATTTTTTATTATCCTTAGCTTGCTGCTTCATGATGCAACGTCTGCTTGTGGTAGTGACACAACATTCTAGATTTCTGCCTGGACTAAAAAAGAAAATGCACCCGTAGAGAACTGACTTGGGCGATTCAAGTCGTAGGCAAACAAGTTCAGTCGTTGAATCTGTTGTCCCCGAGACGAAATCGAATGTACAGTTAATCACCGAAATGAGTAGGTATGTGGAGGAGAAAGGTAAACGAACTTGGTACTTGGTGAGGTGAAGTCCATTGACCACTCCGCTGTCCAGGATGCCCATATACACAATGCCTCCTTTTCCCGTGTTCAGGAAGGCACAAATGGTTCTGACAGAAAGCAAAAAAAAATCTAAATTCCTTTGAGACGATAAATGCGCAGGCATGACCGCAGAAATACTGATGCTCAAAGGCTTTGGGGATTCGGCAAGGCACACCACTCTCTTTATTTACATCTTGCCGTTCTTACTCTGTCAGCACTGACAGGTGCGCATACCTGGAAATGCTCTGTCGAGAGTGGTGGTCCTTGCACACCTGCGAGATGTCTTCGATGGATAGGTCCTTGTGCGCCTTAAATTCGTGATACTGATCTTCTTCGATGAGCACGCGCTCTCCGAACTTGTAGAAGGAGCGCGATGACTCCATGGGCGATGCCGTCATCGTTCGACAAGTTTGGAACTCCTATCGTACTTGAAAAGAAAGTCACTGGTGACCGATTCCTAGATCAGAGGTCTAAGATTAGTGGAGGGTTGTTGGATTTCTTTCCCCCGTCAAAAGATAGTCGGAAAAACGCCGACAGGAACACGGGTACGCAGGGACGCGGGGACGGCGGGGACCGTGTTCGCAAGGTCGTGTTCGTTTATTCAGCTATTCATGTAACACGTCCCTGCCATGCGGCTATGTGACGTCATAACTTTAGAGGTAACCGAGGGTGCCTTGGGCACTTACTCTTATCGTATTAATATGTATGCAAACCTGTAATTCAATTGTAGCATATTTCGGACGGCGAGAGTAACCTACACTTCGAATTGAAGAAACAAACGCAGTCTGACAGCTCCTTCGCAGAGTGTATCCTCAGTAAACCGAAACCAACGTTGACCGAAACCGTTGCGGTTTGAAATACCGAAAGGCCGATGTTCGATCTAAAATGGACCGTAAAAATCGGCACCTGCATGTAGCAATCTCAACTTTTCGTCAAAAGTGTGTTTCACAGGTGGGTTTCACCTTGTAAAATTAAAAGGCGTAGGTCTCTGTCCAAAAAAGTTGCTAGGGTCAACGGTGGACGGCGACGCAGACAACCAAGTCAAGTGGCTGGGCGCGTTTGGCGCACTAAGGCCCGTTCACACTCTTGCAACCGAGTACGACCGAGAGACCAGACCGGTGTTTAAAGGGATACTTCAACGAAATTTGAAATATTCCCGTCGTGTTCAAAAATAGGTTGAATATGATCCACAATATCCGTAAATGACAATCGCACGTTTGTATTTTGATCCTGGTGGCTGTATTTTTCGTTATAAACGGCCCACTCTGGCAAGCGCTCGGAGAAGGCCCAGCTTAGAGCACGTGACATCCAATGCAATCGTGACGTAGGTCGTCTCAAGACGAGCAAAGCTACGGCGAGGCTGACGTCGAGAGGATGGCCTACTCGTTCCAGCCACCGGAACGGCTGCTTTTGTACGAATTTTGAGTGATGGGTTAATCTTCTAGGGGGACAATAGCGACTTCTGCGACACACAAAAGGGATTCTCGGGAAGAGGGGAGTTCCTCCTTCCCTCCTTCTCTCGTCGTGGCCGGAGACGAGACAACCTCCGTCAATAGCTGTCAAGGTTCCTTCCTAGACGAGCATTACAAACGAGGCGTTAGCGACATCCGCCAGGTGCTCTTTGCTAATCGTATAATTCGTTTTAAAATTTCTTTTCGAGACTTTTTTAACAAGATATTGGTATGTTCCATGTGATACTGCTCTTTTGAACAGACCAAAAAATGAGCGCCGAAATTTCGTTGTAGTATCCCTTTAAGCCTCATGTGACATCTTAGGACCAGTTCCGCTGCAGCACATCCGATCCTAAGACGTCGCAAGAGGCTTAAAAACCGGTCTGGTCTCGGTCGCAAGAGTGTAAACCACTGTGGTGACGTCGGGCAAGTCAAGCATCAGACGGCACCGCACCGTGAATGGGCCTTGGATGGCTTGGATGGCTTGGATGGATGGTGGATGTTAATGGCTATTCCCTTTGTAACGGGCGGTAGCTTGCGCCACCTAGCCTAAGTCTAAAAAGACAAAAACGTGATTCCTCCCGCCCTTTTAAGACCAATTTTTCTCCCCCTAACTATCACCAGGCAGTGTGGGATATCACCAGGATGACCTTCGGGGGATCGGGCAAAAAAACTAAAAAACATCACCCCCCTGCCTCTTCCCCCCGGCGAGGGAGTCGCCAATTTTCCTCTGGTCAAACCTTTTCGGCGTTACCCCAGCACCGGACCCACTGGGAGACAGGGTTGAGACTTTGGGCCGGAGCCACACGGGAGGGAGTCCCAATTTTCCTCTGTCCCGCCTGTTCCCAGCTGTGCTAGTTAGTTGTCCATCATTTAATTTTCCCTAGATAATTTCCACCAATCTTCTAATCGTCTCTTTGTCACTGTAATCTTTTTCTCTACCATCCCTCCATCGTCGCCAGTGAAACCCAGGGCCCCGGCCAAGTCCGTTACCCCTTCAGGGAGGGCAGGACGAAGCCTCGTGCACTTCAAAACCAAGTGCTCCAGTGTCTCGCTATCATTATGGCAGGCGGCACATAATGTGTCGGTCTCCTGAAATTTAGCCCTATATGTCCTTGTCCTCAAAACTCCCGTTCTTGCCTCGAACAGCAAAGCACTTCCCAGTGAATTGTCAAATAGCTTTTCCTTTCTGATCTCCTGCTTTCGTGACCTGTACACTGCTAAAGCTGATTTCACCTGCATTCTCCCCTCCCACATTTTCCTCTCCGCCTCTTTCACCTTCTTTTTCACTGACGTAGTCTGTTCAGCCCCATCACCAGTGTGTAGATATTTAAATGTAAGCTTTCGGGTTCAGTTTGTCCATTTTGTGTTTAAACTTTTCATGTATAAATACTTGAATACCTTACGTGCCCACCGCGTATCCTCCATTTCAGTCAACCTTTGTTCAAATTTCAACTTACTAATTGCCTCCCTGCTCTCAAAAGACGACCATCCCATGTCCCCCTGTACTCCCTCATTTGGTGTTTTTCCATGTGCTCCCAGCGCCAATCTGCCTACGCTTCTTTGTCGAATTTCTAGCCCTGATTGAACCTCAGATTTCATGCACAGCACTGCATTGCCAAAAGACAGTCCTGGCACCATCACTCCCTTCCATATACCTCTGACCACTTCATATCTCTTATAGTTCCATAGTGCCTTGAGCTTCATAATAGATGAATTTCTTTTCCCTTTTCTAATTGTATTCTCCTCGTGTTCCTCTAGATATTTCCTTCCTTCATTGAGCCAGACCCCTAGATATTTGTACTTTTCTACGTGTTCTATCACTGTGTCCTGTATCTCCAGGGGTTCCTCCTTCTCATCGTTGAAAACTATTATACCCGACTTGTCCCTACTGAATTTTAGTCCTAAACTGTCCCCTTCCCCGCTGCAAATTCTAATCAGTTCCTGTATTGTCTCACGGCTTTCTGATACGAGTACAATGTCATCTGCATACATTAACCCTGGCAATAGTTGATTTACCTTATGTCCTTCCTCCATGTAATTCAGGTCAAAACCTAGGTTGCACTGTTCTAATCTTTTTTCCATCTAACTGAGGTATATCATAAAGAGCAGGGGAGACAATGGGCAACCCTGTCTAAGTCCTCTTTTTATTGCTGCTGGTTTTGTAGTTTCGGCTTCCCATTTTATAATCACCCTATTCTCCGTATAAACCCGTTCTAGGAACTTAACCGTGGTTCCCCCTAGGCCATACCCTTTTAGCTGTTCCCAAAGTTTTTCCTGATTCACATTGTCATATGCCCCTTTGATGTCCAAAAATGCTACCCATAATGGCCTTTGGCTTGTCATTGCTATCTCTATGCACTGAGTGATTATGAACAAGTTATCATCTAATCGTCTATCCATCCTGAAACCGTTTTGGAGCTCCCCCAGAATCTGCTTTCTCTCTGCCCATTCTTCCATTCTTCTTTTTACGATTTGCATAGCTAGTCTGTATATTACTGAAGTTACTGTGATTGGTCGGTATGATTTGATACTGTCTTTGTTTCCCCTGCCCTTATATAATAATCTCATTCTGCTCAATTTCCAGTCACTGGGTACCTCCCCTCCCATAAGTATCTGGTCAATCACCTGCCTTAGTTTCAATTTGCTTGTTTGGCCTAGAACTTTTATCAGTCTCATTGGTATGCCATCTGGACCTGTCGCAGTTCCAGCCGGAACCCTTCCTTCTGCTTTCTCCCATTCTTCTATGGTCGTTTCCTCTCCTTCACTATGATCCTCCTCTTGTGTTGTGTAGATGCTATTATTCCCTATGGCCTGATCTGATTCTAACTTTGAAAATGCTGCTTCGATTGTATGTCTAATGTATTCCCTTGCCTCTTCCCCCTCTACCTTTGTCCCTTCCTGTGTGATTAGTGTCTGTTGGTACTCCTCAGTCTTTTTTCCCTGTGCACTGATGTGTTCCCAGAACCTTTTTGCCGCATTCCTATCCTTTTGGTTTATCTCTATCATCCACTGGACCCCTGCCCTCCCAATTTTGGCCTGTATTAATGTTGATGCCTCCCGCTTTCGTTCCTGAAAGTCCTCCCATTTTGCTGTCACTTCGGCTGGAGTGGCCCCCTTATTTTTTGCCCATCTGTGTTCTCTAGATGCCGCTTGGCGTCTCGAAATTGCTGCCTTAACCTCTTTATCCCACCAGCTTTTGAGCTTGCGTTTATGTTTCCTTCCTCCTTGTCTGGTTCGATATTTCTCTAATTCTCTTTTGAAAACAGTAACTAAGTCTTCATATGTCCATTCTCTTTCCGGTAGCTTGGACACTATGTTCTCGATCCGCTTAGATACCTCCTGTAATTGTTTATCATTTAAGTTATTTCTACCCTCTTGTTTTTGATTTTGCGTTTCTGATTTTACTGTGCCAAATCTGATCTTGATTCTCTTATGGTCGCTCCCCAGACTTTTTGTGCTTTCCTCATCTATTTCCATACCTCCAAGTCTGTTGTATATCTTCCGTGACATTAAACAGTAGTCGATAGTCGAGTGTGAGTTCTTTCTCTCCCATGTTATTTTTCCATCACATTTTACCTGGGCGTTAACCAATACCAGATCAAGAGCTTCACAGAACTCCTCTAACATCCTACCTGTTGTATCCGTATGTCCATCAAAGTCTTCCAAATGTGCATTCATGTCCCCCAGGATAATTATTTCCTTGTTAGTGCCGATTTCCCTAACGTCTCCTGATATGCATGTTAAGTGTTCTGCGTTTTCCTCCCCTGCATCGCTCCCTGTAATTTAGAGTGCCTCAATGTTGCTGGGGGATGCCAGCAACATTGAGGCACTCTAGCACTTATTGATAGATGGCGCCACCTCATTGTTGTGTGGCGTCGAAGGTGCTGGACAGTAGAAAGGTGAAGGAAAGGGGAGAGAGCGCGGAAGGAGTGAGAGGGGAAGGAGGGAGCAAAGAGGAAACAACTGCCATTTTGACGCAACGTGTTTTTGGCGCAGAGCACTGTTGAGGCTACACGTCGTCTGCTACGGGCCGACTTTTTTTTTTGCCCATGTAATTAAAGTTTGCAGTCAAACGTGGAGAATACTTCATTCCTTAGCCTCTTAACCCACCAAGGAATATCACTGTATAATTTTCTTGCCACAACCACGGAAATAAAAGGAAGAAGCAAAATTCGGATGTCGATCTCAAGCATTCCACCGGGCCAATGAATTGAAATGGTAACCCATAGCTGGTAGAAGCCTGGAGTTCACATGCATGCGCCTCTCACTCTGCTCCGCGGTGCGATTGGCTCACTCGGCGTCGAGATCATAAACTGGCCAAACTCTCCCAATATACGGCTCTGGTTGTGGTCAGATTGTGGTGGTCCCTGTAAATGTTTAATTCCGGCTTGTTAAAAAAAAAATAGATTGTTTGGTTTTAAAATAAATGCACGCACAATGATATCAAAAGTTGAAGTAACAAAAATAAAATAATACACTTTTGCACAACGATGGCGCTCTTGCTGCCGACGGATTTCGTCTGCGTGTCATCTTTCTCTCTTTCACTGCTCGGATACACCTTGCGACGCTGCTCCCGAGATAGCACCATACTTGCGCCACATGCGCCTTGCCACTCGACTAATCGTCTGCATCGCCGTCCGCCATTGACCCTTGCAAGTTTTTTGGCCCTATTTTGTACAGAAAGGGAGCTACGCCTCGTAATTTTACAAGGTAGACCCACCTGTGAATTACACCTTTGACAAAAAGTTTATATTGCTCCGTGCAGGAGCCGATTATTACGGCCCATTCTAGAACAAACCTTGGTATTTCAAACACCCTACATATTTCATATTACTTGTATTGTACCAATCAATGTAATATCTTTCCAGAATCGGAGATGACAAGTGCACCATCCTGCGACTGTCGGAGCCCATCAAGGCAGCTTATGCCAAGGTAAATGAGACAACAGAAACTGATTTTGTTGCTAACGAAATCGCGCAATCGAAAGCTACTATATACACACTCATTGATGTCAATTCGAGCAATGCAAGAGTGTTTGCAATCAGGTGTGCCCCTTTTTCAGGAACGCCTTTTTGACCCCCCCTTTTCAGGAACCAATTGTAAACAGTTGGCCACGTCACGGGACTCGTAGAACGTCCCCACACGAGGCTCGAGATGTACCCCTATCTCCCAGTTCACCACCCCTCTAGTACTATACTTCCAATCCCTCCTGCTAGGGCACATGGCAGAACCAGAGCCGTACGTTGGGAGAGGCTGGCCAGTGGGTGTGGCAACGAAGGTGCTGGAGAGGAGGAAAGTGGAGGAGAGGGAGAAGAGCGCTGAAGGAGCGAGAGAAGAAGGAGGGAGCAAAGAGAAGACGACCGCCATTTTGACACACCACGCTTTTCGCACAGAGCACCATTGAGGCTATGCGTCGTCTGCTACGGGCCGACTTCTTTTTCGCTCGAATAAAAGTTTGGGGTCAGACGTCGAGAAAGCTTCATTCGTTAGCTTTTTAACCGTCCGAGGAATAACAGTATAATTTTCTAGCTAGAGCCAGCGATATAAAAGGAAATAAGCTAAATTGAGATGCCGATCCCGTGCATTCCACCGTGCGAATGAATGAAAATGGCGGCTCTCCCCGCTCAGCTAGGAGCAGCCGGGAGCGCATGCACTCAAGCCTCTCACTCTGCGCCGCAGGCCGTTACGGCGGCGAGATCATAAACTGGCCAAACTCTCCCAATATACAACTCTGGGTAGAATTTACTAAGTTCAGGGTGTCTAGCAAATTATTATTTTGAAATTCCCTGACTTTTCCAGGTTTTCCCTGATAATTTCAGGTAAAATTCCCTGACCACTGTAGAGGCGGTTAAATATATAAGACCATTACAACACAAGGCAGTGAGCATGAGCACTGTGAGGATCATTTTGCATGGGCTTAATCCAACTTGCATATTCTGATATATTCGCGTTCATCCAGTCCGGATTAAACGAGCACTTTCTTGCTGTTGACATCGTCAGTGAAGAGACCACTTCTGGAAACACGATGAAAACACGACGCTCAACCACACGTGAATAACCGAATGGCAGCATGGCCAGTAGATGCACAGTTTCGGATACTTTCCTAGTAGCTCTAACTGGATTTAGGCTAATGTCGCGCCCTCTATCAAATCCAAGGCTTGGGCTGGATTTGTCGGCTGTTCCTTTTCCATCGGGTAGCACACTCGACATCGAGTGAGCCGAGCCCGCGCTCCACTCTAAGCAAAATTTATTGCCCGTTTTTCTACCCCCAAGTTCTCAAGTCTTTGCTCAGGGCACTCATGGCGTTTCCAGCTCATTTTCTCTGACTGGGCTCGCTTTTTGACAATATCCCTGACAATTCCCTGATTTTTCCCGGGAATTAAAATTTCCCCGACAATTCTCGGTTTTCCCGGTCGCTAGACACCCTGAAGTTACTGACAACAGGCAAACACCAAGGAGGAGTTTCAGTTGTCCCACCTCCGGCGCAAGCTTTCTATCTTCAATAACGCTTCGGCATCTCAAGAGCCCCAAGCATGCACGCGCAGGCAGGGCAAGGCGAATGGCAACGAGCGCATGCTGCCGTCCTGACCTTGTCAGTGACCTCAAGTTTAGAAAACAAGTGCAGAGTTTCATTAGGGAGTTTTAGGTGATTATGTTTTCGTAGATGCATGCTGTTTCTAGAAAAATATTGTTCGCTAAACAAGATTTCGAGGCATGTTTTGAAGCCTGCGCCCAGACTGTCCGCTAAAACACCGACTGCAAAAGTTTCCAGGCACGTTTCGAAGCCCCAACACGAAACGGCATGTCAGACCCGCAAAAACAATCTGCCGAAACGTTCGGTTAGGACGTTCACCCGGGCTGCTCTTTCCAGGACCACAACCTGGACTACAACCGGTTGATGGATTCCTCGGACTACAAGGAGGTGTACCGTGCCCAGATGGTGTCCTGGGGCGAAGCGAAGCGCAATGCGGATGCGACGTTCTTCTGTCGGCTGGCCGTCCAGCGAAGCAGCGGATGGGAGTACCCCGTGTGGATTGTGAGCGACGCCAGGCGGGAGACGGACATAGACTTCTTCCGCGAGAGCTTCCCGTGCCCTACCCTGGCAGTCCGCGTGAGAGCGCCGGAAGCAACGCGGAGGAACAGGGGCTGGGTTCACACCCCAGGTCGGTTGGAGAACCGTACCGTACGTCTCCTAGAGAAAAAGGTCCTACGCATTTCGGCAGCTTGGAAACGGCAGAGGGTAGACACGGACCTCAGTGGTACCGATGGAACCATACTGCCGACAATGTTTATGTGAAAGTGATTTGTTGTGCACCAATGTCAAAACCTTCATGGTGTTTTTGGGCACGTAATGAACATCAACATCCCTACCCCAAAGTGCTCTTCCAGTTTACGCACCATTTTAGCAGATCGGAGGCACCCATTGACGCATAAATGTGATCCAAACTCTCCCTTGTATATGCTTTACTGTTTACGAGGTCTTTAAGCTAGGTATTGCATCAATGTTGAGACTGCGGCTGCCATTTGGGGCAGGTAAATGTTCGAGATTAAGAAGTTTCAAAACCCCTGCCATAAATAAACGGCTGGCAGCACGACATCTACTACCGTAATATCCCAAGAGATAGCCCACTTTGTCATGAGCAAATCGGGTGAAAATTAGGAGTGGGCTAGCTTTCGGTGTGCAGTCGAGAAAAGTTAAAATACTACTATTTTTAGATCATGTATCTCAGTCAAACTTGTTATTGTTTCGAGGGGCAATGAAGCAAATATGACTGTACTTCCCAGTCAGCAATATTCACTTATACCCCGCCATAGCTAACTAGACGCATTTACGCCGAGGTCATTGATGATCTGAACATTACGATTGCTAGGAGTGGGCTATCTTTCGGTGTTTAAAAGAAAATAGCAAACTAAGCCAAAAATAGGGATGGTTACCTTCAGGGGTTGGGCATCTCTTGGGAATTTATGGTAGCCGCATTTACTCAGAGATCATCATTGATCTGAACACTGTGGTTACTAGAAGTGGGCCATCTTTTGGTGCTTAAGAAAAATTAGCAAACCAAGTCAAAAATAGGGGTGGGCTATCTTTCAAGAGCGGGGCATCATGGGATATTACGGTAGGCACTGCTTAACCAACCGAAAAACACACCAAAATCGAAACGTGACAAAAATTGTTCCATACCATTTTTTCGAGGAAAGAAACACTTGAGGGCATTTGCGATACGGACACTACGAACATGCCTTTAACGAGACCATATTTCTATTCCGCGTGCGATAAGTATGCTCTTTTCTTAAAAATGCCGTGAAAATTGTTGCATGTTCCAATTTCGATTTGACATTCGAAATGTTTTTTGCACATGTATGTTTCAGCCTTTAGGTACTTTAATCGCGTAGTGAAAGTGGGAGGACTGGTGGACATTTAAAGACAATGCAGAGAAGCCCATACGCACGTTAGGACTTCCTAACGAATAAAGGAAAAGGGGAGTATAGTTTGTGGCAAAAAACAGAAGTTGTTTCCTTTCAATGGCTCTTTTTCTCATTGCTTAGGTTACTCAGTGTTGCTGATAATGTTTCGTAAGTGCCTACCAAAGTTTAGGCACCTAAATTGACTTCAGTTTGGCTAATTATCAGGCTTCTAGGAATTACTGGTTTAATTTCACACGATTGTGGTTTCACAATCGTTTCAGGAATCGACGACGCAACGACCGAATGTGGCCTGGACCACGTGACCAAATGGGACTTCGTCCTAGCCAACGACGACGGAGACGACTTGGAAGCTCAACTCCAAGCCGTTCTGCGAGCCATTCACGAAAGGTGTTCACTGTAACGAGTTGTGCATGGCAGCTTCTTGCTATATTTACACTTCGCATTTGCTGTTGGATCAACGTTCTGTGCCAAGGTTGTTTTGGGGGTCTTTACTCTCAAAATGGGCGTTAATATCTGCGGAGACAATCGGTGTTGTACGTCTTGAGAAGCTTTACTCGCCGAAGGTGTGCTTTCTGAATAAAACACTTTTTTTCTTAAAAAAACGTTTGTCGGAATTTGTATGTTTGTTAAGCATTTATAGCTGACAAATAGGTGAGGGTCCACCGTAGAACACAGAAAAATATGGCATGCAAAATACACCCACAGAAGCCACTAACTTGGGCAGTAAAATACGGTGCTCAACACAAATGCATGCGAGTAAAATGGAGAAAAATAGTGCCAATGTTCAGTCCACAAGCTCACCGTGTCGCACTTACAGCCCCGACCAAAAGAAAAGCAAACGACGGAGCGACGGCCTCTTGCTCTCGTCACATCGCTCAACGGTCGTCGGCAAAAGCTCTCGTACAGCCTGCGGCATGCCTCGAGAGTGTCAAAGGTGTTGAGTGGCCGGACACTGTCAGGAAACAAAATTCGCGCCTATTTGCTTCCGTCTTCCAACACGTATGGCGCTGATCGCGAAGTTGTCAATGCGGAACACGCGTTTTGAACGCCCGGCAATGACATGTAGAAAAACTAAGATCAGCTTTAGATTGACATTATAGCGACGTGACGATCCACACAATAGTGTGCGACTGATAAAAGTCTACCGTAAAATCCCGAGAGATAGCCCACCTAACATCAAGAGCAAATCGGGTGAAAATATGAAATGGGCTAACTTTCGGAATACAATCAAGAAAAGTTTAAAAAGAATTGCTATTTTTAGGTAGTGTCCCTTCGAAGCTTGTTGGAACGAGAATACAGTGGAAACGAACAACGGACCAGTAGAAGAGTACCGTAAAAACCCGCGAATAATACAAAACATAATTTGAGGACTTCGAAAAAAAATTTTTTATCCACGTATAATATGAAACAAAATCAGGACTACGAAAACATTCCTTATTTGCGTCATAACTGAACCTTAATCACTGTCATCACGTCCTTTAGACTCCTTGTCCGATGCCTCCTCCCAAAGGCAGTAGTCTTCAGCGCCGTCGAGCGCATTTGAAATCCCGCACTTGAAAGAACGAGCGACGAGCGAGCGTCGACACAGTGAAATCTTGGCACGGCGCATTAAGCGAGCAACCCAATGTCGGCTCGCCAAAGTTCTCATGCAGCAGCTCGGTGTTTACGGCGAGGTGCCGTTCACGTTGCTCTTTTACAAAGTTAGGGCGAAGTGCCGTTCACGTTGCTCTTTTACAAAGTTAGGGCGAAGTGCCGTTCACGTTGCTCTTTTACAAAGTCGCTGGGACTTGCCTTAATATCATCATCATTAAAATCACATTGCGATTTTAATGATGATGATAGCTGTTTTGAGCGCCTTATTGCTTCGAAACCGAAACTACGTCAAACAGCGTTAGATTGCGCCTCATCGAAGCTGGAAATTTTTAGAACCCGCGTATAATACGAGCCGCGAATTTTACAAAGCAAAATTTGAAAAAAAAAGAAAAACTCGTATTATATTTGGGTTTTTACGGTATACACAACACTACTATTACTAGTAGTAGGCTATCTTTCGATGTTTAAAAGAATATAGCAAATCAATCCAAAAATTGGGGTGGGCTATCTTTCGGGGGTGGGGCATCTCTCGGGATTTTACGGTATTATTATCCGTCATCGTGGGGCATTCAGAATCTTTGAGTCGCAATGTCAACGCGGTGAAGACTGGGCGCTTAGTGCCGCATGTTGTGGTAAACTGAAGCGAATTGGCGCAAACTCTACGTATGCGAAGCGCAAGTTCGTCTGCTTCTTTTGCAGGGGTTGTGGCGACATCAGCACGTGGTCTACCCACTATTTTTCAATCAGAGCCAATCAGAGCTCGGTGTTCTGACGTCACAACCCCTGCAAAAAAAGCAGACAAACTTGCGCTCCGCATTATTGACTGAAAAGGGCGGACCGTTGCTACTCTCGAGGCGCGCCACAAGCTGTGCGAGAGCTTCCGTTGTTTGCGTTTTCTTGACTGTTTGTCAATTAATTTGAACACCCCCACCCCTTTAATAGATCAAAAGCATTATTTGGTCAGCTTTCTGCCTTATCTTCTCATCTGGCGTGCAATAAAGATATGCTGCTTTATCAGCATTGGGTTAAATGTTAACCGCATATTCTATAAGGCTAGCATTGTGCAAAGCTTCGTCTTAAAAAAAAAGAAAAAAATCTTTATAAAAGCTGGATGCCCGTGGCAACAACGTAAAGAAACGCCCGTAAATGGCTCTAAAAAATATCTGTAAAAAGACCCATAGCATCACAATTTTTAAGGAGGTACACCAGTTAGCTTTTTTTCTCAAATTTATGGACTATGCAACTTTATGAATGAGTCAGCTGATTTTCTCAAACTTTTGTGTAATGTAAATTTAAAGAAAAATGTTTACCATGCACACAAAAAAAGAAGGTTCTCAAAATTTAACTTTTCTTCGACAAAATCATGCAAGGAAAAAAAGTAGGAAGGGACCGAATCAAGTTCGGGAGTTTGCTTCACCTCAAAATTCCCCGCACAGAATGCGTAAACCGCCAATAGACGAGATTCTTCCTTAAACACGGTACTTTTCAGGTGGCCGACTAGTTGGTGATTGGAGCAACAATGAGTTAATTTTAAAAAGAGGTTCTTAACGAGCCAAAGCAGACAAGAGAAGCAGTGTGCCAAGTAACAACTTTATCTAAGCACTTATGTACATGACGTGACAAAAAAACAAAAAAGAGGTACGAAGGGCAGTTTTCATAAGGAACCAGACTTTGGTCCAAATCATGGTCTTGTTGACGCAACGGCCGAGGAGGCCGAGTGTAGACCGCAGTCGGACCGTTACCGGCCTTCTTTCTTCCCAGACTGCAAGGAAATATTTATGTACAGTAAACCTTCTCTAGAGTATAGTCAGTTTCTACAAAGAAAATTCCTTTACTATGTGACAGAACCCCTTTAAAGTAAAGTAGCGTAAAAAAAAAAGTTTCTACAAAGACAATACTTTCACTACGTGACATAACCTCTTTGAAGTAAAGTAGCGTAAAAAAAAGTTTCTACCAAGACAATACTTTCACTATGTGACATAACCTCTCTAAAGTAAAGTAGCATAAAAAAAAAATACTCAGATCATTTTTCAGAAGAGGTTTATCAGATTGAAGGACTATCAAATTTAGGACTCTGGAATGTGCAGCACTAATAGCCATGTAGAAATAATTGTCACATTTAATATTCAGTATGGGAGCAGGCACCTATAGGTAAGATGGATATAGTGGAAATGCAGGAAATACTACAAAATAATTCAACAATGACTATGGACAAATAGAAAAGAAAACCAGTTTCACAGTTAAGCAGATCACGTGGAAGAACATTGTATAGGCAACTTAGCAGGTACTCATAATGTTTCCACTGAAAAAAATTTAAAGGGTTCTCAACATGACTCACTTCCTCCAAATATAAAAAAGAAAACTTATTTTTATGCTTTGATTGGGAAAGATGTAATACCATGTCCAGCCCAGTCAAGCCACATTTGTGTGGCTTTTTGCCTCAAGTATAAGAACTCCATTTCTAGTCAATTACACTACTATTCCTAGGTAGTCACCAGATCAACCTGTAGTGTGAGGCACGCTACATTTCAATGAAGACACGAAAACGAAGCAGGCATACTTTTTTTAGCTCCAGTTGCAGGGAACGGACTTTGGAGCGTTCTTGTTCCAGAGCAGCATGCAGCTCGGTGACCTGGGTGAGACCAGTACCAAAACGTTGCTTAGCAGCAGTTGAAACAGAGATGACACCCAGCTGGACCTTCAAACTGGGCTCCTAGAAACTCAGACAGTCTCTCTATAATCTTTACCCCAAGTAAAATGTTATTTCCAGTTTAAGCACAGCTGAGCAAGGCATCGATGCATCGCTACGAGTGAATGCTTCCCAAGTACCCTCAAAGCACATTCAGTACTGTTAATCCTCGGTAAGTCTTCAAGAGAGACAAAAGTTCTAAAAACCTTGAGAACACCCAGGGTCTTAAACACGTGGCCCGCAAGTATCCTGTGGCTACGAGCTCCCACTCCTATGCCTTGAGCACTGCATGCGCCATAAATAAGGACCTCTTGTCATCCCTTCATTTCCACTGGAAACATAGATTTGCTTTTATGACGTTTTCACACATTTGGCACTAATCTGTTTTTTTTTTTTTTAGATGGAGGATTGTTTTGTCTTACCGTTAAGACACAAGTAGTTTCTCATATTTCTGCTATAAAAATCGTCAGCAAAGCCAAAACTACCGTATGAAGAGATTTTCTTTCGAGACATGTTGCGCTCGGATAATGTCCGAGTGGATTGAGTGATAGAGTAATGATTGTGTGCTTGGTTTCTACTTCTCTTGAAAAATTCCAGAGTGCTGAGGGCCTAGTGGTATTTAAAATCTGGCAATCACACTAGGTACAAACCCAAAGTAGTTGTGTGGACAAATCAAAGCTAAAGACATCCCTGGAAAAACGACTATTTTACAAAAGGCCACTAGCACGAGACCTCTTCTTTAAAGGAGTTGTGCAACGATTTTATTGTTGAAAGGATTGGCATCTTCTACTTTTGATATTGTTCACCATGTCACAAATGACAGAAAACACGCCTCCTTTCATCGAAATGTTGCGATTCTGCCGAAATAAACCAGTTCGGCTAACTGGTTTATTTCTCAAGCAACCTATATATACAGTATTTACTCGCAGAATGAACGCACTTTTTTTCCCCAAAAATCTATGCAAAGTTGGGGGGAGCGTTCATTACGCGAAGTAAAATTTTTGCGTCCGTATTTACTCGCATAATGAACGGACCTTTTATCCTGAAAAATCGAAGTAACTTCTTATCTCTTTGCGCAAGGCGCCCGATCTCGTAACCTAACTAGCTGTGCAAAAAAAAAAAAAAACGCTTTTGTTTTCTTTTTCTCTTAGTTCCTTGGGGCTTTTTTTTACCGCCTTTCGCAAGCTGTTTTGTTTGCTTAGGCGAGGGCTCTCCGCTTATCTTTCTTGTCTCCTTGCGCGCGACGCACGACCCCCCGTAACCAAACTGCGCTGTGCAAAAAAAATAGAAGAAAAAAAAAAAACTCTTTTTTTTTCTTTCCTCAGTTGTGTGGGTTCTTTTTTTCTTTTTGCCGCCTTTCGCAAGCTGTTTACTTTGCTTAGAGCAGTGGTTCTCAAATGGGGGTCCGCGGACCCTTTGGGTTCCGCGAAGGCATTCTATGGGTCCGCGAAGTCCTGCCTCATCAGTCAAGCGCGGCAATAAAAGTTTTCTTTTTTCAGATCGCGAAGGCATTTTTCGATTTTCGGGAGAGTTTTTTCGTGTGTATGTCAATACGAGAAGTCTACTTCACACTAGCCCTTAGTTAAATCCACTTATTATATCAATATTATATGTAACCTATAACTCTCCCTCCCCTCACCACGAACGGAGTCCTCGATCATCTCTGCCGATCCACAAGGGGTCCGCGACACATTGATGTTTGAGAACCACTGGCTTAGAGGGCTTCTCCGCTCCTCTTTCTTACCTCCTTGCGCGCGGCGCGCGACACCCAGTAACCAAACTGCGCTGTGCAAAGAAAAAAAAAAGAAAAACGAAAAAAAAAAGCTCCTCTTTGTTTATGTTTTCCCTTAGTTCCGTAATTGTTTTTTTTTTTTTTGTTGCTTTTTGCAATCTGTTTTGTTCGCTTAGAGCGCTTCTCCGCTTCTCTTTCTTACCTCCTTGCGCGCGGCGGCGCGCGAATCCAAAGTCCAGACTGCGCTGCGCAAAAAAAAAAAAAAAAGCTCCTCTCCATGTTTTTTTTTGCTTCCGTTGGATCTTTGCGAATTTTTTAACGCCTTTTGCAAGGCATTTTGTTCGCCTACGCTGCACATGCATTCACGACCTCGCTGCATTAGGAAAAAAAGCGCGTTCATTTCTCGCGTTTTTGGGGGGAGGGGGTCAAAATTTTGACGTCCAAGTTGGGGGCGCGTTTATTATGCGAGTGAAAAAAAAAGTCGAAATTTTGAGAGCCGACTCGGGGGGTGCGTTCATTACGCGAGTGCGTTCATTGTGCGAGTAAATACGGTATGTACCTACACAGCAACTTTCACCTAACTTCTACACAGAGATCTCCTTTGGTGAAAGCATTTTCAAATACAAAGACAATACACATTCACAAAAGGCCAAGCAGTCAAACCTACCATCAACCACTTTCTATGCAGAGATTGTTTTCAAATACAAAGAACATATGCAAGAGACCTTATGCAAGAGGGTTCTGGGACCTGCATCTGGGTACACCGACCCGGGCAAAGCTTCCCAAATATGAACACCGCTTCAAATATCTTTTTGTGCTTACATTTGACTTAGTCTGTTCTAATAACCTGTCCTTTACGCACCTCGAGGTTTGTCCCACATACTTGAATCCGCATGCTAAAGGTATCTCATACACCACACTCTCTACGCAAGAAACTGAAGGTTCCGGATGAGCCTTCTGGTAGCCTCTATGGTTTGACTGAAATGGCGTCAACCTGCTCATTTTGAAATCTGAAGAGAATACTACGTCTACTCCAAGCTTCTTGCCGCAAGCCTTTAGGTTACGGGAAATCCCGTGTATTTAATCTCTTGTGAATGTGCATTGTCTTTGTATTAGGAAATGCTTTCACCAAAGGAGATCTCTGCAAAGAAGGCGGGCGAGTGTGGCTGTGTGGGCATATATAAGTCGCTTGAGAAATAAACCTGTTAACCGAGTTTGAGACGTTTCCTTCTGTGTCTTGTTCCTTCGACTAAAAGTTCATTTTATTCACCACAGACTTGGATGTTAAACGACGCGATTAGCTACCACTGGCTCGCCTGCACACTCACTGTCTTTTTAGTAACCATTGTAGGTTAACAAAAGATTAACCATTAAAGATAATTACAAGAGCACCCTCCAAGGCTTACTCCACTAGTAACTACAACTGCACTAACACACTGCTGCTTCCTTTGGTACACGGCTCGCACTGACGTCGCATCAGCTGCCATTGTGGAGATCTTGCTGCCGAACGCGCACCTTTTCATACATTTCGCGCAGCTGAATTCATTCTTCTCGGGGTACAATTCAAACACAGTTCTCCCAAAAACTGCAAGGTATGCCAAAGAAGCACGAAGGACAGCTCATAGTGTTCGCTGTAGTAAACTCGTGACCGCGAAGCCTGACGGGCCAGTTCTTACTTGCTGCGTCAGCTCGTCCTTGACTTGCGTCACCTCCTCGAAGTCTCGCAAAATCTCTGCCTTGTCATGCACTGCGGGCAACAATTGGGAGAGGCGCATCAGGTGCTTTGCTCCCGACACTGGCGGCTCAAAAGAACAACAGATAGATCAGACAGAGAAATTCATTTTTGTTTGGAATTTAAGTCGTTGTTTTTTTTTTTCCCTCTCCACATCAATGTAAATCTTCCCTAATTTCTTTTCGGGCTTATTGCGTATCAAGAGACTAGTTTCTGTGGAAACGTGAAACCAGCACCAGAAATGACCGTAAGGTCCTGATAGACCGTTCTGAAAAATCCCACAAGACCAATCGGCAAAATTGCGCCACGCGGCGAGGAATTGTGGGACCGTTCTGATGATCGCTGGCGCCAACTTCTAAGCTCCGTACATCCTGGAAGCGGCGCGATTCCGTCTCGTTCCCTATTGAGAGTTCAGAACGCAGAGGAAACAACCGACACATAACAAAGCAGGTATGTTCCCTGTTTCGTTACCATCCTACCTTCTCTACATTCGAAAATTGCAAAACAGGAAACCAATTCGAACTGCTCCTTGTATTCACAGGTCGTACGTCAAATCGCAGTGATGCATCGAAAAGAGGATGACTGCGCCGCATATTTCCGGAATGGTCCAAGTACGTGCCACACCATTCCAGATACCAATGTGGCCAGCAGTGCTGAACACAATTGTCATCATCACCCATTGCCATCGCTGCAGAATCCCCGTTAAAGAGTGAAAAGACAAAGGAAACTCACTCTCCCCCTGACCCAGGATGGTGCAGAGCTGCTTGTTCCGCAGTTTCACCGTGTGCAGTTGAGCCTTTTGGAGAGAACAGAAATAAAGACGTGACCTTAGGCTCCCGATGAACAAAGCAAGGAACATAGGGAAAAGAACACTGCACACAGTGCTCCCACACCAGCTCAACAAAAAACTCAAGATAAAAAAATTATACAATCAATTTACAACCTAATTATATGAAAAATCAATAAAAAGATAATGAACAAAAACGGAATGCACACTGTTCAGACTCTCACATAGAATGTTTATAATCAGTTCACCACAACGAGGAGGACGTTTGCAGCTCAACATGGAACTTAAGATAGAAAAATTATACAATCAATTTACAACCTAATTATATATGAAAAATCAATAAAAAGATAATGAACAAAAACAAAATGCACACTGTTCAGACTCTCACATAGAATGTTTATATTCAGTTCACCACAATGACGAGGACGTTTGCAGCTCAACATGGAACTGAAGATAGAAAAATTATACAATCAATTTACAACCTAATTATATGAAAAAATCAATAAAAATATAATGAACAAAAACGGAACGCACGCTGTTCGGACTCTCACATAGAATGTTTATATTCAGCTCACGACGACAATTTCAAAGATGGTACCTTTGGCTGACTGGAAAAGCCCTTGAAGATAATACTAACCACACAATCATTAGTTATGTTATGCAAACACCAAGAACAGTAAACCATAGTATAACAGAAAACCACAACTGCAATATAAAAATCATATTAATTTCAACATTAAGTTGACCACTAGGTAAATAAAAGCATAAATCAGTTAGTTTTCTCGTATCATGTACTGTCATTCTCGTCCACGGCCTATAGGTGTGGTAGGTACATCCAGATGCTTACGTGCATATAAGCCAATGGTCAGGTAACAAAACCAGCCATTTGTTTGCACGTAGCTGGACCCACAAAGTGAGCCAAGTCAAAGTTTTTTAAGGGTACAACTCCAACACCTGCTATGCACCATTTGAGGCCGCGAAAAGCTCACTCGAGCAGTCTCGTTGGCGAAAGGAAAAAGGCAAAGCGGTGTAAAACGTACAGTGAGCCTCTCGACGTCCGCACGCAGTCCCGCTATCACCTCGTCCTTCTTGTCTAGCTGGTCTTGAAACTGCAGGCTTAGCACTTGCTCCACAAGGAAGGGCTGCAATGTCAAGCACATCTGTCAGGTATCAACGTCCTTGAGGGCTCAGAGTCCAACTCAGACACGGGGCGATTAGTCGAACCTTGCTAATTGAGAGTAAAACCCGTACCGCGCGCAGCTGTTGCCACGTGCATCGCTTCCCCGTCCCACCTCGCACACATGTCAGTCTCTCCCAGTCCGCCCGTACTGCTTCTGCTACGCCACCTTTCGGGCCCTCTTATAACCTAGACTTTTCATGGGAGTTACGTAGGTGCCGACAATGAAACCTAAAAAGAGAAATCTAACCAGTTTCAGCTGAGCTCTCCCTGGATCATGAATTTGCACCTTTTTCTGGATATTTTAGCTCGGCTGATGTTCCAAAAACTTTTTTGTCTCTATGTTTCATACCTCAACTTCAGTTCAAGGTCCCTAGCAATGACGTAGGTCAGCATTTAGCATGTAGTGTTGGATGGTACATTAACACATCCACCATTACCGCCACAGCAACAGCACCGTATGCACCAAAAAGTAGTTCTAGGCATCTCTTAATTTTAACGGCAATTGAAGTCGTGCGATTGCAACTGTATCGACACTACGCTACACGACTTGGAAGAAAGACAAAGACACGTCACTTTTCAATGATACTTAATTCGGATCAATCCTTTTGCACTAACAATGTGGCTTTTGAACGGTGTTTTAACAATTGCAGCCTTGTAATCGACCACTTCCGCTCAAAACGTCGTCCTGGCATTAGCACCCGCCACACATTTGCGGGTAAATTGAGTGTACGATTGTGTCGTGAACTGTTCCCGAAGAGCTCGCTACTCTAGCAGACGGCAACGTTGCGGCGGTGGATGTTCATCCGAAGTCGGTTGGTTTCGCAGCAGATGACAGCCGGTTTCTCCGGGCCTCGCATTTGGCGCAGCGATACGAACGCTCCTGTGATACGGCGTCATGTGACTCGCTTTGACTCCCTTAAAGGGTCACCAGGGCCGTAGCCTCCATTGTTCGCCAAGTTATCATGAAACAGGGTATGGTGACCGCTCATTTAAAGGTCTTGAGGGTGACTGAACAAAGCAAAGACCCATCTTCACATTCTTTTGCTACAAATTTTTTTTTTTTTTTTTACTTTTTTTGGTTATACATTGACAGTTAGCCCATTTTTTTATTTCACCCAATTCGCTCTAGGTGGGCTGCTTCTCGGGATATTACGGTAGAGCACAGAGAAGAAAGTGAATCCCTCGCAAACACTGCATTTAATTTTGTCGCAACTAACAAACAAAGAAGCACAACAAACACAAGCTCCTCAGTGATGCCCGTCGGATGCTTCGAAGCGTGCCGAAACGCACTGCTCGTACACGAGCGGTACGGCTCAGAGCTGCCGTCGGTTACACAACGGTGCCAGGAATGCGAGGTCCCGAAGCGGCAACAAATGACGTTGCAAAAATTAGTGTCAAGCTGTCGGACGTTGTGATCCCGGGGGTCGGTCGTAAAAGTGCCGGCGAAAATGCACAAGCGAGTGCGAGCGCTGCCATAGCCACGGGATTCCGACTCCCGGCCGCCGAAGTTTCCGTGAACTGTCGAGCTGGAAAGCTCGACAGTTCACGGAGCGGCGAAACGGGCGTCTGCCATGTCCACCATCGCCGAGATCGGGGCTGGCGACAGCGTGACACTTTGGCCTCGTTCCGAAATTCGCTCGATCCTACTCCGGAGTAAGGGTTTCGTACCTTGGCGTTCTAAAACCTACCCGCGTCCAGCGTTCTTCAATCCGCGTTGTCACATGACACGACCCGCCGGAGCGACTCGGATCCACTTGGGTAAGACTTGGAACGCGGCCTTTGACGACGTCGTCCGGCGGAAGTCAGGCGACCACTTTTTTGAACGCGGTAAGCACGCCGGCGGGAGACGCGTTGCGAGCACCGCAGTTACACTCGGCTGGTACATTTTGTCCCAGCCTGTCACTTCATCATAGAAAATCGAACCTTGGGATTGTGGCACGGTCGTCCCCACCTGCTTGTTTTTGAGGTCTTCCCGCCTCTGCTCCCTGGTCAGGATGGTTTTGGCGTCCTTCGCGACCTCGTCGAAAATGTCCTCCTTGGATAGGACCGGCGGCCTCTTCTCCGAAGAAGCCCCGAACGAATCCGGGTGTTCTGCAAACGGTGCGTACCACGCTCAAGAAATTCGCAACTGCTGCGCTACCCTTCCCCCGATTCGTGAACGGTTGGAGTGGGGAAATTGTTACTTTGCGATGTGGTGCAGGGCTCCACGCTGCAAAGCAGCCATTCTCAAATTTCGGAGTGTCAAAAAATCTCCCCCTTTAAATATCTATAATTCATACATAGTAGCTTCGTTCAATTTACTTGCACCTCCTGCACCGGTGCAGACACGTGTAGGGCAGTGTACCTACGGTACGTGTATTGAGATACAACCGGAAGTACACCGCCTACACCATTCTGTACCGGTGCAGGAGGTGCGGGTAAACCAAACGAAGCTAATGTGCGACGCTGTGAAAGCTACTAGTACAAGCACGTGGCTTGACAAAGCTTTTAATTCGTGCACACTCTCGTGTAAGTGAACGCTAGATGAAGCCACGTGCTCGCAACTGTAGCCTGAACTGTGCTGCGCTCTATATATAAAATGTATGGTGCAAAGAGGAACAATCTTTTTTGGGGTGCAAGAGGCCTTTGGAGAGAACTGCAGGGGCTCTATGCTACACGGCGGGATTAAGCGAGACCAAGGGACCGGGACAACACTGCCTGCTGCGATTGGTCAGCGCCGTGCCGCTGACCAATCGCAGCGGGCGGTGTTGTCCCGGTCCCTTGGTCCCGACGTGTAGCATAGGGCTTCAGGCGGACATAGACCGAGGCCGCCTTACCCTTGGCCTCAAGGACCTCGCAGGAAGAGGCAGCCTCCCCCAGGTGGTTAAACTCGTCCAGAGACATTGTCGTCTTCTTGTCCTTCTTCAACAAATTCTTCTTCTTTTTCGGCTTTTTGGCGTCGGACGAGGAAGCTGGCCCCACCTGCACGACCTCCTTCTCGTGCGCCTCGTAAAACTGTGAAAAACAAAAAAATAAAAAAAAGCTTACTGTTGTTTTGAGATTTTAGAAGAGCCCCCGACACTCCAAAGTGCATTTGTGTTCAGCAATAAAGCTCCTTTCATGTGAAATGTGCTTTGTCTCGTCAGGGGGGAGGGGGGGGGGGGGGGGGTTGTAGAAATTTGTGAAGCCAAATTTGTGAGCCAGGTGATGAAGTCACAACCCCTAGCTCGACGCTGATTAGCTGGCGATTGCACAATCACTCGCACACAACCGCTCGCCCGCCAGACAGTGGTTGAATGTCGTCGGAGAAACGTCCGCGGCTATGGAGGGTTCTGGAAGAGAACCAGGGGTTCGAAGCCCGGGTTAGCGCCGGTATCTCCATTACAGGAATTGCTATGGAGGGTACATGACATGCGTTAAGCCAGTCGTTAAACTAACCGACAAAGAGCGCCGAGAGCCAGTCGCTAAACTAACCGACGAAGAGCGCCGAGAGCGTAGACGTCAATCTCAGAGGAACCGAACTGACACCACATGTTTTATGTGCAACACAATCGCCCAGCAATTTGCTACACAATTTCTTCTTTTTTTTTTTTTTTTGAGAAACCCTCATCTGCTTTGAATGGCAGCCAAGGAGTACCTTTCGTTCTTGACATTGATGCTTTAAGCCTATGCAGAAGCTTACAGGCTGTGTGAACATTAATGCACATGCTAGAGTGTGTTTGGCTCATAGTTTTTCATCAACGGGCGGCTCAGACCTGCTAAGAAGCGCTTGAACTGGAGTAACCTTTTACCTGGGAGCAGGGAGAGAAAGGAAATTTGGGAGTGCATAGAAATCATGAGGGTACTCTGGGAAACCACTGGGTTTCTGGGAATACAGTTTGAAAATCCATGGCTAAGGTCAATCTGGTACGATTGTTACACCAGTGTGACAAATGTGACTGCCAAGGCACTCCCCGTGGCTCTGTGTTCGAAGTTTCATTACATCTGTTTGCAACGTTCATAGCAGAGCGTCGAACCAGAACTGAACCGAACCAAAGACCGGAACTGAACCGTTATTTTTAGCTGAACCAAAACTGAATCCGACCGAAATCTTAGCTGCCATCTTGGAACTGAACCGGAAAAAAATATAACGGTAACCGGTTCAAAATGGTTCACAGCAATTCTTTTTTTATTACGAAATGAATGTTTGAGAATCAAAAATTGGCAGCTGTTTTATACATAGTGATCAAAGTGTCTATGCTGAATTGCAATGTATGAGAAATTGTCGTGGCACTCTTATATTGGCACTATGATTAATCATCTGTCACGTAGCTCCGTGACATAGTCACGTTACTAGCAGTATCGTGACTGCAAGTAAATGAACCTAAAGAAGGAGAGGACCAACATACCTCTTTCTTCTCTTCATAATCAAGCCGGCTTAGTAAGAGCGCTTGTTGAAGGTCTTGCTCATAAGCCTCTGAAACAAACTGTGCAAGAATAACCGTTACCTCAAGTTGGGAAATGCTCTCATTCCCTTACCAAAGTTAGGCCTGCTGTTGCATATACAGTGAACCCCTCCTACTGCTACAATCCCCAGGATTTGGAGAGTGGGATGCAAGGTGGTCGTTATTTGCTTTCACGGTTTAAAAGTGTGCAGGCAATGATTGCAACTATGTAATCGTACTGCATCGATCAGGCACTCGAGAGACACCTCAGTTTTATTCTTAAAACCTACGCTCAGTATGCGTTTCATTGCTTTGTCTCTGCATATGCAAACTGGATTCAAAGATGCGGTACCTGGTCATCTCGTTTCTTCCAGGATTCCCAGTCCTGAGGCTTGTCTCCAGACTTGTCTGTAGGCTTGATGTTGCTGCCCGTGGCTTGGGCTCTGGCCTGAATAGTTTTGTAATACGTTACGAACGATGATAATTATGACTTACAAAGAAACCTAGAAGAGACAATACATATTATATTTGTAACACCTGTACTGGTATAAGTATACTTCTAGCAGAAAGAATGATACAGAAAGTCTGTGTTTCGTCCTCTTTGTTTTATCCTCCCTGAGAGAAGTGTAAGATGAAAGATACCGTGGGGATTGCTGATAAGCACCAGTGATGCCCTATACAAGGTCCCACTGCTCGGTGATGTCATAGAAACACGTTCAGTAATGTAATACTTAAAGAGGCACTGACATCCCAAAGGTCGCATTTTTTTTAATGCCTAAAACGATGCAAATTGTAGTCATAGACATGCAAAAAAAAAATGCAACGCAAAAAAAACTTTCCGGCGCGCCTTTTTATTTTTGGCGTTTTTCTCCCCCGCTGCTCACCTCCTTGCTTCTTTTGATTGGTGACGTCAGAAATCATGAAATTTAGAAGCTTTGTAGACAACATTTTTATAACATTTAATAGCGGCAATTGTAAAACATGTTAACGCAATTGCAAACGCACTACGGCCTCTCTTTTTGAAACACCAAAAATCAGAGTCCGGTGTAATGTCGCTTCCTGGCTTTGTATTCTCCCTCGGAAAACTTGGCGGTGCTCGAGCAGAGGATGATCGGTGAGTCGGGGAAGAAACCATTTTTTTTCCCGCGCCGGCGCCCTTCTATCCCACTCCTCACCTCCTCTTCGCTTCGGGTCGCAATGGCAACGGCACTTTGCTTCGTAGCGTGGAGCAGGGGTCCGAAAGAAAGTCGACTCGCTGGAGACCGCAAAATTTGATGTCACTACAATGGCGCGGATCGCGCGGAAACTTCAAATTCGGCATTTGGAAATCGTTTTTTTAATTCACAAAAACTGAATTCCCAAGTTTCGAATTTGGAGGATAATGTCCCGACATTGTTTTCAATCGTTTCGGATAATAAAACAAAATATGATTTTGATGTGTCAGTGCCCCTTTAAGGTTACCGACACAAGGTTCAGCATAGCGGAGCTTCAGCAAGTTAGAATTGTCCAGTCGTGTGGCGTGATATTTTCAACACCTCCGGCTCTCCAAACGCCAAGCTCCCATTGAAGCCTCGTCCTCCAGAAATCCACCAATTTTGGTCCTTATTATTTGAAAACTTTGCGGCAAGAAATTGGCAAGAAAACCACAACTTTGATAAGCGCCTCAAAGAAAATAAATATCTCCTCTAAGCACAACAAATGCATCATTTTCAAGAATGCTATGAATCATGGTAGTTTACGAGCACCATTTTTTCCACAGCCAACAAGAAATTGCTTTACATGTCTAAACCTTTAGGAAGCTCACGTTGCACAAAAGAAAAACAGAGACAACTTGCCTTTCACATTATTACACTTCATTCCACTGTTAATTTGGCAAAGAGCGAACGCTTCGGCATCCTCGAGCCAATCAAAGCAAGGAAGGCAAAGCAAGTTCAGTCTTTATCCAAGGCATGGGGGCGAAAGCTTAATTTTAACTTAAGCAGTTGGGGAAGAGGGAAAGGGGGAAATCTCTTCTTACCCGGACTTGTTCTTGCGCGTCCTAGACAGCAATTTGCAAAGGTACGACGGGCAAGCCAGCGGGCAACAGCCGGCACGGCCCGCTGGCTAGACTCAGGCTTCAGGCCCGTGAAAATTAGTGTCGGGCCGGGCTGGGCCGGGCTCCTAAATACCTGCCCATACAGACCCCTAGTCCCAGATGTTGGCTTTCTTCCCCTAGAAGTTTAGCCTGTCACTCAAAATTCATAGAAAAGCAGCTTTCCTCTTTCTCCCGATTCCATGGCTGCGACAGCACTGTCCAAACTTTGGTCGGTGACAGGTTGAGTGTTCAGGGGAAGCTCCTCCCACCTTGTTCCACTTAAGTGAAGCGAACGCCGGAGAAGAGGTTGCCTCCTCTCCAGCGTTCACTCTGCTAAAGTGGAAAGAGGTGGGAGGAGCTTCCGCTGTCACCGACTATCGTGAAAGAAAGCATAGTCAGGTGTCTCTTTCCGACGCGCTCATTGGCTCAAAGGGGCCGTAGCACTCGCTCTTTGCCAAGTTATCGTGAAGCGAAACAGAGACACAGGTTTCATCAGCGGAGGCTTCCATTGGAAAACTCCAAACTTCTAAGTCGGTCAGGGAAAAGATGCTCGGCTAACTGGGTAACCTGTAGAAAACATTTGCCAAGAAAGTAACTTCGTTAACCAGGGGGGCTATGTTCGACAAACGTTCCGTTTCTCCTAAAAATAAACGGAAGTGATGGAACTGACGATACCAAGTCTGATTGGCTAGAGGCTCAAATGACGAAAGAGGGAACTTTCGTCATTTGACAATCTCGCCAATCAGACGCGGTATCGTCAGTTCCGTCACTTCCGTTTATTTTTAGGAGAAACGAAACACTTGTCGAACATAGCCCCCCAGGTCCTTAATATCGATGAGCACATGAGGCTGCGCCAGCACGGCCGCTCCTATTTACATAACGGCGCTACAATTAAATGCAGAGCGAGGTAACGCTGGAGTGCCCATTGCATTATGCGCTCAATGAAGGGCACTGACGTAATTTCTACCTGTCCATCTTTCTCTGCAGGCTTCTTCTTCTTTTTGGGCTTGGGCTTGGCGGCCTGCGAATTCTTGTCACTGTTGGAACCAGTCTTCGCAGGTTTCTTAGCAGTCTTGGATTCGTCCGGTTCGTCCCCTTCTACCTTTAGCACGGCGAATCGTGACGGCAAGATCACGGCCATTTCCCGAGAAAAAACTTAATCGAAAACAGCGAAATTCTAAAGTCACTCACTACCGAAGAAAACCTCGAGGAGCAAGGCTTCAAAAGGCACAACAAGCGGTTGTCTCTCCTCGTCGACCACCACAACTCTCCAATGCAGTCTACCAGTATCGGAATGCTCTTTTACTTCTTCTCTTTGTCGGCAAGGAACGGACTGATAAACTTCGATAATCTATGATCAAAAAAGGTGCAAACACGAGCGTACGCGTGCGTTCTTCCGACAGTCCGCGATCCGCTACGTTTATGGATCGTTTTGATTTTGACAGAATCGCAGAATCCGGAGACAAGAGCCGAGCAAAACACATCTTGCTTTGCGTATTTTTAGAGCGGCACTCGAGTCGCGCGCTTTTGGACGCAGACGTCTGCTATTTGTGTTATTTTTATTCTTATTGCCTAAGTCATTAACAAGCTCGTTGGTCACCGTGTGCGTGGTTCATAATATTTGCTGAAGTTAGAGGAAGTTGATGTTAGGTTGGCATCAATGGGCTGCTTCTTCCTTTTTTCTTTTTTTTAGTTTATTGCTGGCAGGCTGGCAGTGGTGGCTGCTGTTGCTCGTTTATATTCTTCGTCGGCGTTTGGATCCGGAAACAGGCTTTAAACCTTACACTTCGCGCTGAGAACGTTGTACAAACTGTAATTTAGTTCGGTTGTCAATTTTGGTTTGTTACCGAGCCTTGACTGCGTCTACCGACGACTCCGACGGCGCTGATAGCCGTTTGCTGTCTTCGGTCTCCCAAGCCAGCCCAACTGTGCATCCAGGTCAGCAAATGACAGCAAGCCAGAAATTTAATGCGAGTTTCACGAACATTTAAGATAGAACATTTTATCTAGAAACTTGCTTTGATGTCACCACGTCGGCAGTACTGTTTCGCTGCCCGTGAGTTCCCACCATACAGTTCGTTCATTTCCAACTCTCTAGCTTTAATAGCCTTCCCCCCCCCCCTCCCTCCTCCTCCTCCCCCCCTTCCGCCCCCTCCTCCCCCCTTCCGCCCCTCTTACAAACTTGTACTTTACTCTAACAAATATAAGCTAAAATAAGTATCACTATCATCACAGGGATTACCATAATCATTGTGCCAAAGTAACGAGTGGCCATGCTTTTGGAATACCCTTTTCAACAAGAAGAGTAGCTAAATAGGCAGGTATGCTTGTAGACTCTGCTGAAAATTGGAAGCTCACTCACAGTGAGAATAACTGTCAAGCTCAATGTGCACAGAAGCTGCAATCTGGTGAACAATGTCACCAAGTGCAAGCTACTCTCGTTATAAAAGATACAGCCAAATTAGCACACATACTTCATCATTTAGGTGAAGCCGGCTTTGGGGACAGCCAAACCTAAGCGAACATTTATGTACATCAATGTGCATATGATAACACAAACATGTGTACTATTGCTGACAATATGAGCTAGAACAGCACTCCGGCCTGTGCACGGTACTACCTGTGCCACCTGTCGCGTCACTCTGCGAACACGACGCACCCTGAGGCCGAGATAAATTATCACTTGTGCTCTCTGCGCTCTTCCGGCCGTCTGCTAGCGAAAATATTGGCCGATGGAACCACCATCACGGTGCGTGTTTCGTGCAGCCCAATGTTCACGTTTTCAGCTAACATGCATTTCAGTCCATTTCAAGAAAGCGCCGAATTGGATACGAGCGTTGAAACACTCATATTTTTGCTATCCCACCCTGGTAGGATGTTTCTGGGCGAATGTTTTATTAAGCGCATATTTATTCGCTTCTCGATTGATTGTAACGTGTATTTATGGAAACAGTTCAGTGATGTAATCAGAGGGCGGTCGCGGCAGAGGGGCAGTTTGGAGATCGAACCCTACATGGTCACTACCCCAAAATCTGGGCGCTCTCCTTCCCCCCCCCCCCCTTCCCCTCTCTCTCCTCAGCCGCCGCACGTTCATTGCACGTGGCACGGGACGGGGCGCAGCCTCGCCAACCGGAAACGGGGGGGGGGGGTGGGGGACAAGCTAACAAGCTCCTCCTCCCCCCCCCAAAAAAAAAATTATAATCCGGGATATGCCATTTACACAGTTGCATTACTGGCCTTTTATAGCGCAGTTGCAAAAAAGGGGACGACAAGTGTAATCTACTGCCGTCTGGCAGTAGATTACGCTGGCAGTAACCATAAGCTTTGCTGGCAGTAACCATAAGCAATGCTTCGTTATTGTCTCTGCAGCCAACGACTCCACTCCAATGAAGGCGTACAAAAAGGGGGAAATGCCGGACTATGTTCAGCCCAAGCAGAAACCAAAAGGCCCCAAGAAGAAGACGCCACCAGCAAAACCAGAGGTATGAAATTTCCACTCCTCTTCGTTGTATACAGCATGTACACTAGTGCTTTGATCCCACCTTGGAGAGTCCGAAAAAATGGGTTTCTCTTTGTGTCGCGTTGAGGTTGCTATAGAGGTGGGGCTAGGGGGTGCATGCATAAAGTTAGAATATCAACAGATAAACTGACCTCGTTCAGGAAAAAAAAAAGGAGAACCTGTTTCGGGCAAATCTACGGCGCCATTTCCCGGGCGAAGTAGACATGTTTTCTTTTACTTGGAAATGCTGCCGGCAGATGACGTATGCATCGGAAAACTTTCGCAAGATTGTCTGCTATCAAAACCCGAATCGGTGTGCCTCGCGCGCCTTAAATGCATTTGCCATTTGTCGACAGTGTCTCCAAGTCATTGAGCACTGCTTGCATCGCCAGGGAAATGGCGCTGTAGATTACCCGAAACAGGTTCTTCTTTTTTATTTCTTGAACGAGGTAAGTTTATTCGTTGATAATTTAACTCCACACGTGCACAACCTAGCTGCCCCTCTGTAGTAAACCTCAGTGCGATACGTTGAGAAGCCGATTTTTGCGAACCGCCCAAAGTGGGATTGTAGCGTTAGTGTACATGCTGTAGAGTGACATGAGTGGTTAGCTTTAAATAAATTGGTTATTGAGTCAATGGTAGACAACTTTAAAGCGATAAGTGCCAGTACACAATGTCAGATAGGTAGAGGGTGCACAGTGCAGCTTTTAGCTGAAGATTTCTTTAATTGACATATACTACTTATATATAGTCTGAGGTTGCAAGTGAGAAGTCAACCTTTCTGTTTGAAAGATATAAGCTGGCAAGGCACGGTAATACATTTGCTGACAACATATTTTTTGATGTTGATCACTTCAAACTTTTCTTGTCTGTTTTAATTTTAAACTTTAAACTCCGGAGCAAAGTTTCTGAACTTTTCATAATTCTCCAGGGAAGTTTCTAAACTTGTCAGGGAAGTTTCTAAACTTTCTAGGCAAGTTTCTAAACTTTCCAGGGACGTTTTTAAACTCCCCAGGAAAATTTAGTAACAAAACATCTAGGGAACTACATTTTAATCGAGCAGTGAATTCCGATAAAAGCCCAATTTCCTTCGTCGCCAGGACAACCAGTTCCAGCAGGACTGGTTGGAAGAGTCCCCGCACGACCCGGCGGAGCAGACGTCGCCCCATGTGGCGATGACTCAGCAAGCGGCGAGGCGGAAGCAGCGCTTCGTCAACCTGTACAGCCAGGAAGGCAAGGCCAAGGACGTGGTACTCCTGCCAGGGAGGCACCCCTGCGAGTGCCAGGCTCACCGGCATGCACTCGTTAACAACTGCCTCAAGTGCGGGCGCATCGTCTGCCGGCAGGAAGGCTCTGGGCCCTGCTTTACCTGTGGAAACCTGGTGGGCAACCTCGGGTCGATTGTGTTCGCCCTTCACTGAATGAACGGGTGGGGGCGGCCACACCCTTTTGTATCGGGTGTTAGCTTGCGCCACCTGGCCTGCTGTTTGGCCGTTTGTAGTGTGTACCACTAAATGCAGATCACACGCTTTCACCCTTTCCTGGATGGACGAGTCGTGGCGGCCATACCGGTCGTACGAGACTGTAGCTTATGCCACTCAGCCTAGTGTTTGGTCATTTGCACAGTGTATTCTAAGAAATAGAGGTAGAAATATTCCCTCAAAAATTGTTCGTGGTGAGAAAAAAAACTGAGGATGCTTGATTTCTGCGATAAAGCTGAGGTGCACGCAGTGCGATTCCGCACTAGCTTTTACGGGGAAATTCCGGAGATGCTTGAAATTTGGCAGAAATTTACCAAAACTATAATTTCCTTAAGTTTAATTAGTCTATAATCATTTGCCGGTCCAGATTTCCCTGCTAAATTTAATTGGCAAATTTTGCATTACACTTTTGGGGGCATTTTTTTTTGTGAAATTTTAATCCTAAACACATTCTGCATGCAAGATTGATGACATATAATTTTAGCTTTATATACAGCCCTTTCTGTTTGTTTTAGATAAAGCGGCCTGGCTTAGCTTCACAACAACTTTAGATGCGTTTGCTCTCAGGTTTGCACCAACGACGAGAAGTCCATCCTTGCCCACGAGTCCAAGCGCAGCCAGCAGCTGCGCAACAAGCTCATGAACCAGCCAGTAGACGACAACTTGCTCAAGGCCATCGAACACAAGAACAAGCTGCTCGAATACGACCGAACATCGTGAGCCGCCCCTTCCTCCGTCCCTCCGCATTCCCGCGTGGGCGCTCAGCCCGCGTGCCTCGCACCGAGAAACATAACGAATCGATTAACTTGTTTCGTTTGTTGATGGAGCAAAGTATGACGCAGCTTCAGTTAAAATTTCTGCGGATTGAAGCCCGATGAAAGCCAATGAGTATGTACTCAAATAGCTACTGGGTTCTTAACCTCTCTCCCACTAGAGGTTAGAAATCCGCCAAGTTTCTAGACCTGAAACGTCGAAGGATCGCAACCACGATCCTTCGACATTTCAGGCTGTGTCTGTCGTACATTTGAAAAGATAACGAAAGGCTTTTAAATGTGTTGCGAAGCCAGACAGGAAATAGGAGCCTTCGCCGACACGTCAACCTTGATGCAGGGAGCGCCGCACGCGGGTGATCGACGACAACAGCGACTACTACTCGTCGGACAACAAGTGGCTGACCCCGGAGCAGCGGGAGCTGGTGCGGCGGAAGGAGGCGGAGCTGAAGGCAGAGCAGGAGGCCTCCAGGCGCCGGCACAAGGTGACGCTGGACTTTGCGGGGCGCCAGGTGCTGGCCTCCCAGGAGGAAGAGGCCACCATGCAGAGCCTCATCCAGCGCTTCATGGCACCCCTGGTGGAGGGAGGGGTCAACGACCGAGCCTGCCGGGAGGTCGAGGCCACCCACTTCGTCGACCCGGCTCTCGACATGCCCGCCCCGGAGGTTAGGCGCCGTCCCGAGCACACTGCTTAAGATACATCTCTCTCTAATCAAAAACAACAACAAAAAAATTTAACTCATCTTAATCACTTATGTCATCTCGTTGTATTCGAAGCAACCATTGCCTCACTGCGCGTTAATTAAACGGTATCGACAACAGAGAGAAACCTAGGGGGTTTGTCTGCAGAGTGCGCGCCACGTACCGAAAACGTCGCGCGTTTTCGGTGCGACAGTGTCGGCAACGTAGTGGCAGGCGGTGGGAAGGCTTGGGTGGTACAAACAATCTCTGCTTGGCGGCGGATCGGTTTGCTTTCAATTCAGTTTTGTTGATAGAAGCTTTGGTGCCAAGCATAGATACCGCTAGATTCGTCTGCGGTGGTGTCAAGAGTGGAAATTGCCCAATTCAAATGCTAACGATGACGTCCCTCTCACCCGCACCTTGTTCCTGCGAATGACAAAACTGAGTGAGGAGGGAGGGGAGTTCGCTAATGACGCCTCGCACATCCTTCTGCAAACCTCTTCCTCGTGTGAATACCACTTTACAAGTGCATTTGTGACGGGGTGGGGGGGAAAAGTAGAGAACGGAAATTTTTTAGCGCCGTTATCGGTGGGGTCTTGAGAGAAAGCATGAAGAGAGCGATGGAAAAACATAAAAAAAAAGCTGGTAGTGCATTAAGCATGTTTGTTCTGCTGCGACGTAGTTTCGCGCATTGGTGTATGTGCTTAAAGCCTAGTGTACTTGGAAGTTGCGCTTAGCGTCACGTCCCGTGAAACTCCCAAATGGGGTTAATGCAGTACGTGGACACGGGCGGCCTGAGAGCCTCACGAAGAAATCGACCAGGCGGCGATGGCACCCTGGTGAACACGACCGGCGATGGCATCGTGCTCGGCTCTCGGATTCAGGACCGAGGTCTCATGGAGATGTCAGACGACGGATTTGCCCTGTCCATGCACCAGCCGTACGCCAGTCTTCTCGTGGCTGGCATCAAAAAGTGAGCGGCCCCTTTCAGGCTTATCCATACCGACTTTCGTCGCTTTGTTCTCTCGCTTGGCTCGCTCGCACGGCGTGTCCCTGGAAATTCTAAATTTAGTTTTTTTTATTGCAAAAATGAATTATGCACCTGAGTGTGCTCAGTTTTCACCCAAATGTGGTGCTAGCAGCCTGGACCAGATGCCGAAGTTTTTAAACTAACCGTCATCTTATTCAAAAGTTTTCTGAAAGTTTCAATGGGAAAGTATGGCCCGTTCTCGGTAACTAATGCCATTCACCTCCATATATTTATGGGCTTCTTTGGCCACCATTCTCCCATTAAATGTCTTAGAAAATTGCTTACGACGTTTGAACCGGATAATGGGAAGCTCTAAAACTTTGGCATGTGGTCCGGACGCCTAGCGCTACATTTTAGCGAAGATTGGGTATTCAGGGACGCAAAGTTCATTTTTACGGCGAAAAGAATGCTTAGCTGTTCTTCAGAGGGACCTCGTACATGTTGACCCAGCTTGAAATACAGGTTTAGCAGTTACTCGCCGCATAGTATTTAAAGTACACGTTTTCTCTACATGGCGTTTCCTTTCTCTGTCGAACACGAAGGCACGAGGGGAGATCGTGGTACACGACTTACCGTGGACGTCTTTGGATTCATGCCGCCGCCAAGCCGCCCACTTCCGAGGACATTTCCACCGTGGTCGGCATCTTCCAAAAGATCACCGAAGGTGCCTTTTCTTTTTTCCTTGTTTTGCACATGCCTCTGTTCAATACCTTACAAAGTTTTCGCTATGTTCGCGTAAAAAGGATTGCCGAGAACACGGACAACCAAAACTGCAGTCCCTAAGGGTCTCTAGCCATTGTTGCTTGCCGCAAATGACTCAACACCCTACCTTGGCTGAGCTGGTATTATCAAAATCGGAGGAAACCGAAAACTAAAGCCCATCTTTCAATAAAAAAAGCCAAGCTCCACGGGAGGAAATCTTAACAACTTTATTTCGTCTTGACCGAGAACACAGCCCGTTAACTGGTCGTGATGGTGCTTCTTTTTTCGGGGACCAGACTTTTCTTTCGTTTTGTTTCTTTATCGGTAGCAGGACGTTTTCCGAGCATTCGGGTCGGGTGCATGTTCTCCGTAGGTTAGGAAATCCCACGCCCGTGTAATGTTTTGTTCAACGTAAGTTTCAATAGACACCAATTTCTTGTCCGACACGGAGAATCGACACAGAAAAACACCAAACCTGGGGCGAAAACTGAACCCCGAAAACGCAGAAACCTGCTCGTAACGTTAACGGCACCATAACCACGAAGAGCCCAACTACAAGTTCAATTGCTACAGTAGCCTTCTAATAACGACGGCTCAATAACAAGTATGATAGCCATGGTCGTCTCAAGGCGGCGATGGTTCCGTAGTCATTACGATTTCTGTTGTGGATGCTCTCACGACCGTTGCGGTCTCAGGACCGTTGGGCATGATGCGTCTTTTGTTGTAATCCCAGGCCAGCCAGTCAGGTTTCCGGACCAGTATCCCACGGGATGCCTGCTGGGATGCGTGAACCTGGTCGACTGCCTTCCGCAGGACGTTTACCGTGAGCAGGTCCGTTTCTCCTCGAGGTGCCACTGACTTCCTTTGTAACCCAAGGTTCGGGTTAAGCATTTATGAAATATCGCATCTAGAAAAAAAAAGAAAGATCTATTCACATCCAGATTCTAGATCCGACGATGTAGTGAAAAAAATTTTGTGTTGCGACAGAAAAATTGTTTTCGAGAAAACCCCACTTTTCGAAACGCGCTTTTAAGCAGCCTGGGTACGTGACTTCGAGTCCGCAGAACTAAATAAATGGACTTACTTAGCAGAATAATTGGATTGATGTAGTTTGTGACCTACTGTTTAGCTTCTCGTTTCTTCCTATCTCTAGCCACACCTACAATTAATGACGGCCGTCCTAGAAAAAAAAAAAAAAAAGTTACAAGGGCTGAAATCGGCACAGCTTCCTGACCAGAGACCACCCGAGGATCGTGCTTGCATATTTACACTTTTTATGCGTCCTCCGATCTGTCGTGCCGCATTTCTGTTGCAGTATCCCTTCGGAGAATGCTTCTCTCCCTACGTGTACATCTGCGAAGAACCACAGGAGCTGCAGGTCAAGTTCCCCATGAAGGGCAAGCACAAGATTTGTGAGTGGAGCCTGTTTGTCGTAGAACCTTTATTGATTTTAACGAGGGTACACTACAGTGTTTTCTTCAAAGGAACCTTGAAACGGAAGTTAGTTGCGGGGAACCACATGTGCAAACATGTTACCGGTGTAGTGTAGCAGTGTAAAAGAATGTCTTGGTTTTCCCAATAGTACTATTAGGGACATAATTGGTAGTATGGTTATTATATGTAGTCCGTCTCATGAATAGCAAGGTTTTGCAGCAGAGGTGTGGCACATTATCTCGAACAACCTTTTCTGAAATATTAGGAGAAAGATGAACCGAAGTCTTTGCGGTTGAGATTTCCCAAGTTGCTTGAACTGATGCTTACTGTTATAACCCTCCAATCAATCGAAGAAAAAAAGTCAAATCTTCTGCCCAGAAAGATAACTGTCTTTGAAAACAGCTTCTTTATGCATCCCTTAACCAAACATGCTATTTGTGTGTTAAGGGAAGATGAAAGTAAAAAAAACAAGATTTTGCTAAAAAAAAACAACATTATTTTGGGTTTTATGGTGTTCTATTATCTTCGATGTTCATATCTTGTGTATAAAAATGACAAGTGCCGGTTATGATCACAAAAGTAGTCAAATACGCATTTGAAGGCCTCCCGGCAACCCAGAACAGCATAAATTGGAGCCATTTTTCTGTGCGTGGTTCCTGAAATTGCGAGGTCGACCGCCATCGCGTGTATGTTTACAAGTAGGCCCTAGCCGTCTTCCCTCCGTCGCAGTCCACTGTAGTTTAAATTTTTCACGGCAAATTATTAACAAAATATTCTTTTTCTTGCCGCGAAACGGTATTGCAACACATTTATGATAGCATTCAAATGCAATTTAGTTTTTTTGTATGTAATTTTTTGGGCATCTTCACAGTTTGTGCATAAGAATTATTGTTTTAAATATTGTCCTAGCCAACTTTTGCATGCATACACTTTAATATATGTAGAATGCAACTACCTAGGCTTGGTTACATTGAATTTTTATATTTATGAAAAATTTAATAACCTTTTATTAGCCCCTTGAAAACAGTTCTTCTGATTTTGATGTATTTTGAAATGAAATAAGTCTAGCGCACATCATTTTTGTTGTTCATTGCACTCAGTGGTTTAAAAGGAGTGAAATTTTTAATTTTTTGGGGCTCTTTTAAGTGTATTGCTATGCCCCACGTGCCCGTAAAAATGTATTTTTTGTCTGCATGTGCATTGCATCTATAAATAGGAGATCAGGCAGTATAAACTGAAAATTTCTTTTCGTTATCATAAATAACAAAAGAAATGCTTTCTCCTGGCGCATGTCGCTTCAAGCCTACTCGTGAGGATGAAAGAATTGTTCAGCAACTCATGTTTTTGATGGATGCATTTATTTCAGTCAAGATAGACTCCAGGCTCCACCAGGCTTCCAAGAAAACACTGCTCTGCCCCCAGATCCTCACGTGATATGTTCTTATATAAAGTTTGAAACCTGTTGGCCCTTTGTGCACTGCCTCATTTCTGAACTGAGTGCACGAACTATGGTTCTGGCTATTTCATTATGTTAACATATTGTGTGTAACTTCCAAGAAAGCCAAGGCGGGAAAACACACTTCGGGACAGCTGAGAAAAAAAGCGCCCACCCCCAAATTTGGCAAGATCTGAAAAATTATGCACAGTACTTATATACTAGGTAACATTGATGACCGAACAAGCACCCATTCCCCAATTTTTGCGATTATCTCCCTATTTTGAGTAGGCACTTGCTCGGCATTTTACGGTGTATGTATGTCATAACAGATTTCTTTTGTAACCTAGTGGTGTTTTTTATACTAATTGTTGCACGTGTGCAATACAGTCAGACCTGTTTATAACGAACAGCAGGAAACGCTATGATCAGTTTGATATAGCAAGTAATTCAATATAGCAAAAAACATTTACAACTAACTTCCACGACGAGTTCGTTGTAAGGAGAAAGCTTCTCTTTCTTTCCCATCTCTTCATCTCCACTTCGTAACGATGCGCTGAAAAAAAAAAATTTTCTTTGCACGCATGCAGAGTTTTTTTTTTTTTAGCTTATTATCTCCTAAATCGCTTCTCTTCGTAGGCAAGCGCTTTGGGATGAAGTTGTTTTTTTTCTGTGCGTACATGCAGAGTGTATTTTTTAGTTTTCTCCCCTTTTGAATCGCTTCTCTTTGTTCAATTTTTGTTCGCAACTTGAGCTTTTGGAATTTTCTTTCTTTCCTTCTTTTTTGGGGGAAGGGACAGGCTAGAAGATGATTATAGTTTTGTTTAACCCGAGACTGGGGTATTTCGGAAAAGGGACGAGAAGAAAAGAGGCCACAAGGAGGCGACGTCTCAACATTGAGACGTCGCCTCCTTGTGGCCTCTTTTCTTCTCGTCCCTTTTCCGAAATACCCCAGTCTCGGGTTAAACAAAACTATGGTTAACTTCCACCAGCTCGCCTGCACCCTTACAATTTTTTCATTAGAAGATGATTGTTTGCACATTTTCTGAAGCCTTCCCGGGGGAAAAAAGTTTGATATAGGCAATACGTTGTTCGTTATAAAACATACTTTTACGTGCATTTTTATTTTAATTTTTTGGGAGTTCGATATCGACAATAATTTGTTGTACGTGGGTTTGTTCTAAACGGGTTTCACTGTAGTAAGCATTATTTTTATTCCAGTAATTTACGAATGTACCATTTATTCTCTGGTGGACTTTGTGGTTCTACAATCTTCAGGTATCAACCAGCTCGCTCGACAAGCTCGTAAATGTATAAACCACATTGTTCAATAATCTATACTTTTTTTGGATTTAAAGTTTACAATAACTACAAAACTTACTTTGCAGAGATGGCATCTTTCTGGAATGCTTACCAGGAACTGGTAAGCATTAATATATGAGAAATCAATCATTACATTACATAAATACTTCAATTTAATCTTGAACATCACCAGTTGCCAGACAAACAAGCACACACCCACCAAACAGTCTTCCGTAAATTGGTCCGCCGTTGCAACTTCACGGTGGTATTTCGAACAAACGCGGCACCGCCGAGTTTCTCGGGGTTTCCCGAATTCGATCTAAAAACATCTGCCGCATTGCAACCGAGACATTTCGAGGACGTCGCTCAGACGATGGCAGAGTCCGTTCGAAGAATGTTTTGCCACATTTCTCGCAACGCCGCCGGTTCAATCGTCGATGCCTTCGTTACGGTGCGTAGAGCGTATATCCGCGGTAAGCGCACCGGTCGAAGACTCCTTGCAAGCACCGTACCATCGCTTCAAAACCGCTTGGGGAAGATGCGCATGAAGACGACCATCTGGAGGAAGACGATGCAGACAATCCCGAGCATGAGCCAGATCCAGCAGCTGCACGACCTTCGGATGTGCTCCTCCAAACGGTTCTGCTCTTCCTGCAGACGCTGGTAGTTCTGATCCGTCGCCAGGACATTCTTTTGCACCGTCTGCAAGAGAGAGTCGCGGGTCAGGGCCACCCGGCTGACATGAAAAAATCGCCCAGCTTGGGGCTTGTTTGTTCGCAAGCCGACGTCTGCTCGGGACAGAGCTCAGTGCAATCTCTCGCGAGAGGGCACGCCTAGAGTAACTGTATAGGCTCTGCTGTCAGAGCCAGAGTATCGCATTCCTTTTTTCTGCGCCGCCAACTCTGTATTGGCGGAGAAGTGGTCACGTGCACAGAGCTGGATTCAACCTTCACGACGGAAAGTGACCTTGAAGGCGTTGAGTTTTGGGCGGAGCACGTTTCTCGCTTTACTGCCTACACTAGAATCGAACTGAAAGGTTTTTTGACCATTGAACATTATGTGTAGCCACTGGGTATACTATAATTGCATTGTTTGATAATGTGAGCAATGTTTAAAAAATTTTTCCAAAGTGTGGGGAGCAGACGACAGGGAAGATGATCGTGTTCCTCGCCTATGCGGCGCTTGCGGAGCGATCCGCGACAAGCACATCCGGGCACTTCAGACCAAACAACAACGCGCAGCTACGGCTTGTAAAGAGACAATGTTTTCGTCGGCTATTACGTTCTACTGAGGGCATAGAGAAAACCAGAAGGCAAATGACAAGACGACGGCGCACGTGCAGCGTGTCTCCACACTATGTCTCATCTGCTCAGCACGCCGCAGCATGCCGCCTCACAGCCATGCCATCCACGTGTCCGGGACTCCTGCGGAAGCGATGGTCGCTACCCGCAGTGCGGCCTTGTATCCAACATGGCCGCCCTGCGAGCACCATTGCAATACTCTTCTCTGCAAGTGGAGCGTATACAATTACTCTAAACATGCTGGCACGCTGGCACCACCTATGTGGTGACCCTAGAACTGCATTTTACTACAGTGAAGGTTTTGCAACATTTGTGAGATCTAACGTACTTACTATCTACATAAAATAATCAAAAATATTTTGTGCAAAAAAAAAAAAAAAAAAAAAAGATGCTCGACAAAATAGGAAATGTATGCAAACTGAAAGCGTACCACGGCTACCCAAAAGGTAGTAAGAAGTTTTAAGGCATACGGTCGAGAACAGTCGCAAGTGCGCGGACCGGCCTTTATACTTTTCGTCAAATGCAGCAACGAAGGTACCACATCACTCGTCGAGGTTTTTAACGAGCGCCGCTTAGAAATGCCGTCATGCTGCCGACGCCACCGCCGGCAGAGCTAATCGAGCGGTGCCAAAAGTGCATCGTCACGGCGCTCGTTGTCTTTGCGCGTTTGCCATCGCCGGCTTTGCACGGAAAAAAGCACAGGATCGCGATAAACACATGCACGATCAGTTCAGCTGGCGACGGGAAACGCACAAAGACGACGAGCGCAGTGAGATGCGTTTTTGGCGTCGCTCAATTAGCGCCATCGTATCGTAGCGTCGGCTGCACTCGAACCTAGTGCGATGGCTCCTGCCCTACGACACGGCCAAGAGTACAGCTGTATCCCTACCATCCAAAGTGCCGGCAGACAGTACCTATGACTGCACCTCTACCCAAAGTAGCATTGAAATAGAGGGGGGGGAATCGCCCCATTTGTAGGAAACGGAAGGAGAAGAAAGGAATACCCCTCCCCACCCAACTTCTGACCGCTTTCGACGCCCCCGTCGGGCATATAAGTCCCGACAAAAAATATGAGTGAAGGAGAGTCGCGGTGCGCCCATTCTTGTCTGCCAAAGCTTACGGCATAAAGGGCGTCTGCCACGTCCGCTGTGACGCTGCCAAGATCGTGAACGACGAAGACTCAACACTTTTACGATGTCGTTGGGCGGAAGTCGAGAGACCGCTCTCGAGGACGCGGTAAACGGGGCGGCCGGAGGTGCGCTCTGAGCAGCATAGCGCGAGCGTTTGCAGTTGAGGGACTCTGCGGCCCCGGCGCCCCCACCTCGGTGTCCTTCTTGACGATGTGCCCCGCCAGGAGGGCGTTCTGCTTGAGGTTCTGGGCAAGGGACACCATCTCCTCGGCTATCTTCTCCTGCATCGAGTTGTGGTAGCGCAGCACTGCGTCGAAGTCCTCGCCCGCCGTGCCCTTCGCCGGCTGCGCGGGCGTCCTCTGCCTGACGCCTTTGTCCGCTGCGCGCAAGAAAAGCACTCTCTGTGTCATCCTCACGCGCGAGTGATTTCTGCATTAAAGCTGTCTTTTTGTTTTTCTTTCCTGATTTTTTTCATATTACTTGGCGGCGCCTAGCAACATTGTACTACTGTGCTGTTTTTCTGTCGCAGTTTTTCGAAACTGACCGATCGATAACGACGGTTTAGTCGTCGTTATCGACTAAATACGAGCAGTAAAATACGAGCAACTAACATCTCTTGTGAGGAGTAAACGCTCAGAAGCAACCAATGACTCAGTAACACCAAGAAACGCTGCACCGTGCTGTTTTTCTATCTCAGTTTACTAAATTCATTGTGTCGGATAGAGCCACCTCTGTCCAACACAATTCAAGCAGCTAACGTTTCTTGTAAAAAAAAAAAATATACTCAAAAGAGACTTTTTTTTCTTCTTTATTTGGTGACATTTAGCAGTATTGTACTATGCTGTTTTCAAATGGCCGTTTTCGAACCTGAGATTGCCCGGTAAATAAAACATAGCCGTCGCTGTATAATATAATCCAATCAGCTAACAGCTCGTGTGAGAAAAAGAAATGCTCAAAAGTGACCGTTTTTGGGAGGTTTTCTTTACCGGCAGGTCTGTTGGACGTTCGAGAATCGAAGAGTTCGTCTCGAACATCTTGCACAACCTTGCTCTGCCGCTTGAGCAATATTTCTTTGGCCTTTTGGTCGGGGGCCGGGCTCAGTGTTGCCAGTTGTTCGTTGCGCAAGGTTCTCTCCGTCGTTCCCTGAGTCGACTGCAACAAGCAAGAGTCTGTGAAAGGGGCCACACATCCTCTGATGATTATCTCGTGTGTACAAACTTGGATATTATTCAGTGATGCCCGATCCTGGCATTGTTAGCCGACTTTACTTATTCGCTCATCTTTCCCTTGTGATCAGGCATTGAAGATTGTACAGAATTCAAAACAATGGCAGAAAAATCCTATACAATAGTAGAGAATTCAAAACAGCCAAACACTGCTAGTTAGCGAGTTGTAAAAAAAAAAAAAATAGCACAGCCAGCAATTTATGTAAGCGATTCAAACACAGGACCCGAAGCACGCTCAGGATATAATATGCGTAAAATGTGTCAGGAGGTCAAAACCGGTCGCAAGCGTAGTAATGACAATTGAGACATGCGAAAAAAAATAATGCTGGAGTTTATCTTGAAACAGCGCGAATGTTACTCGTAGGGGGAGAGGAGTGGACGATACAAGTGCCGACCAACAACTGAGGTTTTATTTTGGATAAACCATAAAAAAAACATTAAAAAAGACATGACACTCTACTCATGACGAAATGGCGCCTGTGCATCACAGAATTGTGTGTTATCGGTTATACAGTTCCATGGGTGATCTTTTTCGACCTCAAAATTTTACGTTGCTGTCTATCGAAGCCAAAAAAGCCCGACTCGCGCAGGTTGTGCCCTCCTTTTGTATTCTGCGAGTCTCTACAATCTTGCGAGCTTTTTCTTTTGGTCCCTGTGTTTGTACAATTTGAGGGCACTTTCTAGTAAAGTGTACATATGCAGTCACGACAGTGCAATGCCAAATGTGAGCACGCAATTCCTGTTAACGAACTACGATGCTCCTGCAGGCGAATGATGAGGCATCGCCCCGTTTGCCCGATGTACACCTTTCCGCAGGAGAAGGTTATCTGGTATATGGTGCCCCTTTTGCATGGCACAAACTCAATGAAGTTTGATGCCGCATCACGGATGTGCCGTTTCATTTGTGTTGCTTCAAGATGAACCTGTACCAACTAGCCCAGTTATCCCGTCTCTTAAAGGTGCACTAAAGATGTTTCTGAGATTATATGTTCTTGGTTGTTCATTCTACGAAATCTTAGCATCCCAGAAATCTAAAAATAATGCTTGTGCGACGTTTAGAGTGATGGAAGCAGCATTTGAACCTTTTGTAGCAGCTTGTGTAGCATTCAAAATACTGGTATGGAGCAGCTGCTAGTGCTTTTAAAGCAAATGCAAATTAAAAAAAAAGTGATAGCATGTTTATATGAGTTTGTCTGTGATAATGATTGCCAGTTCCTCTTTGATACTGGAGCACATTACTTATCACATTTTGTGCTAAAAATAAATGGGATGCAAAAGGAACAGATAGCTTTCTTCTTTTTTTCTTTCTTTCTTTTTTTTTTTTTTTTCAAATATGGCTCTGGTGAGAGTGGGGTCCATTTAAAACGGGTACTAAAATAGTTGAAAAATAAATCATACCCCAACTCTTCAGTTGCGATAAAGCCTCCCTCCCATCCCCGCTCTACATTCGGTAGTTTAATTGGCCTGTAAATATAATTTCTGCAAAATGCCAGCAAAAACCAGCATTTCTGCTACACCAATAAAAAGGCGTCCCCCAATTTTTATGAGCCTGCCTAACTCAAAACTCTAATATCATAAACTACAAAAACAACCACTGACAAATATTATGAAAGCCTACACTTGTGCTTTAAATGTGACACTGCTCTTCAGCAGCGCTGGAACTAAAGTTAAATCAAAGTTCCCTGCTCGTTCATTCGACAGCTGCACAAGAGCTACCATATTTATCCAAAAATAGAGAGCTGTATTTTTTTTTCTTATTTCCCTTTTTTTTATTAATTATTAGAGATTAGTATGCAATAAAGACAAAGAAGGTTGATCTGTAATAATCCTGAGAATGGATTCCGTGCCTATTGTGCTAACTCTCCAACAGGTCAGTCGCTCCTCCTAGCACTCCGGTGCAAAGCGGAGAAGCCTGACGCATGCACGCTCATGTGTGATGAGATGTAGTGAATTAAAATCATCTGGTGGGCTAGTTGGCTAAACATAATGAGAAAATTAGCGCAAATACAAGGAAGGAAGAACGTTAGGACAGGAAAGAGCGCTCTTTCCTGTCCTAACGTTCTTCCTTCCTTGTATTTGCGCTAATTTTCTCATGATGTAGTGAAAGTTGACAGGAGCGGCACAAGTGCCACGGTACTCTACAGTCATCATCATGATAATCGAGTGATTTCACCAGGAGCACAAGATCCTGGTTCTGTCTTATCACAGTATACCACCATCCTACTATTTTGCAAAGTTTTCTCGAGACTTTCAGTTCCTGACCTTGCAGACATCGTCTAGTACAGTGATTCTCAAATAAGGGTCCGCGGACCCTTTGGGGTCCTCAAATGCATTCTAGGGGTCCGCAAAACCCTGCCTCATCAGTAAAGCCCGGCAATAAATGTTGTCTTTTTTCAGATCGAGAAGAAATGTTTCAGCTTTTGGGGCGAGTTTTCTCGTGTGTATGTCAATAAGAGAAGTCTACTTCACACTAGCCTTTACTCATATTCATTTATTAAATCATTATTATACTTAACCTCTACATTTTTCCTCCCTTCACCATGAACAAGGTCCTCCAACATTTGCGCCGATCCACAAGGGGTCCGCGAAACATTGGTGGTTGAGAACCACTGGTCTAGTAATTTAGACGATGTCGACGATCAACCGGCCAGAGCGATTGACGAACAACCCTTATACTTCGTTTCACCTGAAGTCGACGCTACAGCCGATTCTACGAGCCAATGAGATTAATTAAACAGCATGAAAGCATGATATCATGGCATTCATCTACCTGTGCATGTTTTTTCATCGGCTAAACCAATCGGGTGCAGTAAATGCCCCGTGACTCGAGCTTTTAGTATGTGTGTTCGAGGTTGTATGCGCTAGAGCTTTCGATTGTGCTCAGACCTAAAATGAAACAAATTATATGCCAAGTAGAGACGCCGTGAAATATATTCATACCATTTTTTCCCTTCTACTTTTCTAAACATTAGGAAACCAATATTAAATTATTTTTATATTTTGCTTTAAGCCCATCCTGGCGCAGTTATGGCGCAATTTTTAGCGAAATCGACGCATTGTCACGAGATGTAGCAGACTTTCGTTTATGGTACAATTTGGTGCAAATGGCACAGCACTTCCATCACTGCGTTTATTTCCCTATTTAAAATGTGATAGAGTTTGTGCCACGCCTCTTTCTGAGCGGAAAAATTTAGGGCACAGAATTCAGCGGAAGCACCAGCGGCGTGACGACGGGCGCGCGTCAGCCAATCGCAAGTTGCCTCTCTCGGAAGAAGGCTTGCCATTGGCTGACGTGTGCCCATCGTCGTGCCTCCACTGAATTCTGTGCTCCAGATTCTTCCACTCAGAAAGGGGCGTGGCACGAACTCTATCACATTTTTAGTAGGGAAATAGACATTGTACGATCATAATTTTTGGATTTCTGGGATGCTTGGAGCCCATAAGATAAGTTATCACCAAGAACAAATGATCTCAGAAACGTATTCAGTGCACCTTAAATGCTAGAGTTTATTTTTGAATATAGATGGTTCAAATGACTGACTTTATGAGATAGACAAACACAAGAAATTTTTAGTTATCGGCAAGCATCGGTGGAAGATATTGATCAGAATCGGACAATAAGGTAACCTACTCCTACCAAGTGTCACCTACTAGAACATATATTGAACTCATTTTGTTGTTATGTCAGCTGTGAACGTTGTATAATTTCTATTCAATTCCCGCAATGTGGATCGAGGAGACACTTTACGCCACCCAATTTTCAGCGAGTATGGGTTGGGAGAGTGGTCTTTTTGGGGCTTCCACCATTTTGAAGCCTTTTTTCCCTCTAAATGTTATCACTTTTTTTTTTTCTTTTCCGATTAGAATTGAAATGTTTGCTGTCCCAATGAGGCACGTCCAAGTTAAGAAGTCTGCCGAAGATGTTACCTACCATAAGTTTTCTGCGTGTCAACATTTTCGGCTATGAATAGTCGGAGTTATTTTGACTGTCGAGTCGAATATCTGCTCTGCACGTGACGTGCTTCATCCCAGAATACCACAGCAGAAACTGTAGACCGCAAGAAAACATGCAAAATATGATAATGAAGGATTCATGCCGTTTTTAGTGGGGAGACTTCAGTATGAGACAATAATACTAAAACATTCAGTTGAGAGATTCGCCCCTAAACCCGGACCGCTCGCGTCCACCAAGACCAAACTAAATACGATAACAGCGCCACCCTTTAGCGACTAGTCAAACCATGAAAGTTCATAGTGCGAAATAGCAATGCGAGATGATGCCACCAGCCCTTGACTTCACCTGAACCAACGTTATCAGATTACCTCAGTTGTGGGACTGCCGCGGAAGGGGGTACCCCCCTCACTCACTTCAGTCCAGCTCCCGCCGTTTGAAATGCCATCTAGGTTTTCGTTTACGAACTGCGTGTTTCATAGAGTACGGTGGAACGCTATCTACATGCTGCCCTTCGAAACGGATGTGTTCCATAGAATCCACAGCAGTTACCATAGCAGCCGTCCGGCGTGTCGAAAGGCGGGAGGCGAGTCATGGTGAGTGAGGGGAAGTACTGCTCGTGCATGCAGCGTCTATGAGCAGTTTCTTAACCGAGCTAATCTAATAACGTTGACTTGAACTGCTACATAGGTTGCACGTGACGTCATTCAAAAAGCGCTCCGATGACCACCAGAGACGAGGGCAAGAAGGAACTCCCCTGTTGCCAAGATCCTCTTTTGGGCCTTCCGGATTTGCACAGGCCATCACTATTGTCCTCCCAGAAGATTACAGAAGATTAAATTGTCACTCCAAATTTTTACAAAAGCAGCTTCTCTCTCCTCCTCTTACATGGTGGTCAAAAGTATGCAATGTGACGTCAGTGCAACCTATGTATACATGCAGACGTGCAGTTCCCGGAGTGGTCGATGCGGGAGAAATGGTGGCGTTGCGATCGCCATTAGTTTAGTTCTCGAGTACGGATCGGTGCCACTTTTTCAAAGCAGTTTCCCAACTGAGTTAACGTTAGTATGAGAACTTCCAACTTGGTAGTCGAAGTTTTAAGCTGCCGAAGGAAAGATTAAGTGTGCCGGTCCAAAACCATCACATTTTAAAGATAGCTCACTTGCTTGTCTTGTGCGATGAGGCGTTTGAGAAACTCCACCTTGTTGGAGTACTGCACCAACGTGTCTTTACTTGGCTGACTGCAAGAGTTCATAGATCGTCTTTACACATGCTTATGGACAATCAACTGTAATTGTAATTTGTTTGCACAAGAAGTATGATGTATATGCGACGACGTGCGAGGCTAGGCAGAAAGGTAACAACCCTTACGCTTGTGCGCCTGCTAGCCGGTCGCCGCATACACCGTGGATGAGGGGAAAGGAAAAAAGGAAAAACAATTTGGGTAAGTAACTGGTATGCCGCAAAGACCTTACCATGTGTTTATCACCCTTAGGTCCCGCAGCATATCCTCCAGGCACTCCACGTACTGAATATTGAAATGACACATGTTTGAGGATATACACAGTACAAAAAAAACGAATAAATTCATGTATGTTTATTGAGATCCATTCTGACACCCGCAACAAAACAAGGTACTACGTATGCCACGTATACACGGCTGTGTCTCGGGCACATAGTAGGATAAAACATAACAATTGACGTGTAAGTTACTCCAACGTGTCCTACCTTCTTGAAACGCCAATTCGTAGGATTTCGATCATCTGCCAGAACTTCACAGCGCTGTAAAAGTCTGCCGAAGTTGATTTCCAAACGCGAGACAGGCGCCATCTTGAAAACGTTGCGCGTGGCGGCCTCTAGCGCTAGGTATTCGCGGTATTTTTGAATTTTTATTTCCGCCCTCTTTCGGGAAGCGTAGGAGAGAGAACAGGAGGGAGAAACGGTGACCGTGAATTACCAGAAAATCTTACGTTTGATGCTTGTTTCTTTTGAGATCTCTCCGCCGTCTCGTTCACAGAGACAATGAGTCATAGCGGAAAAACCTTCGTCGTAAACTGAGATCAGCCGGGACCGGGGACACGCAATAAAAAAAAACAGCAAATCATTCGAGTTGACGATATTTGAAACTCAGGACAGATCTTTAGTGAATTATTGAATTACTCGTATATTGAGGTAGCTAAAATTATCAACTATATTGTGTTTTACCTGTAAATACAAGCAAACATAATATGTAAACCATAACTAAGTCAGTGAGCTCGTGCTTACTAGTCCTAGCTCTACTAGGACTAGAACGTGCGTTGCAGTGTCTGTAACGCTGGGTACAGTGCCCAAGTGTGTAGGTTTGGTGTCAAATAAATACGAGAGGTAATTTACGTCCATATCTTTGAACGTCTTGAGTTGAAATGCAAACAGTGGTCCCGGGTGTAATTTTAAAATTTCAGCGTAGAAAAGTTTGAAGGCAGCGCCCAAAAACTGCCTCACGACATCCTATTTCAAATCCTTACTGCTGTTTATTTATTTATTTTTTCACTTTCAGGTACTTTTTTGGACGTCGTAATCTACGCAATCTAAGCATCTTCGATTACAATTTTTTCCCCGATTTCTTTTCATTTTAAACCTCAGTTGCGTGCGACTTGATGAGCTCGGTGGTGGAGATTTCAGCACATCTTAATAATGGGCACAATGGAGAAAAAAAGCTCGTTAATCCAAGTACCGTCGCGCGCGTCTATCTAACGGCACTTAAAAGAAAATAAGCGCAAAAAAAAAAAAAAAGAAGTGCGCAGAAGCACCGATGCGTTCAGTCGAAACAGACCCCGAAAAAGAAAGAAAGAAGTGGTATTTGCTTCAAGGATTTTTAGGGCCTGCATCGTCAGCACGCATACCTAATTTTGCTCTTATGCGCTGCCCGATTGTGTTCACACGTGCGGCCTTACGAAGAAGGAAGCACATCAGACCACCGCGGTATAGTACATAATATCGAGCGTCTCTTGCACAGTGTTTGCGTGCGTGGCGGTAGGATTTGCATGTTTCCGCAACGCGTCTGCCGCTCCGCTATCGCGCGGTTTCGTTTCGCGCAAAGTTGTCCGCTTGAAGGACATCGACCGATTCTGCCGTTTTGGCCTGATAGATCTGAGCTGATATATTGGCACTATGTCTAGGAAAATAACGGTTCTTTTTATTGCCGTTCCTTATTTTCTCTAGCGACTGTACTCGACCTCAAGAATGAAGCGACTGACTGGCTAAATGCGTGGATATTGTACAACAAAAATACGTGTCAATAAAAAAAAAAGAAGAAAAAAAGAACGTCGTTATAGACTTTTTTTAAAGCATATATCGAAAACAGGAATGTCTTCAAGCAAGTAAACACAAATCGAGAGGGTAAAAAAGGAGAAGTGCATTTCAGAAAAGCAGTGCTCAAAAAAAAAAAAAAAAAAAATGAAGCAGGGAAGTGATATATAAAATTGGCACACGCAAAAATAAGTAATAATAAAAACAAAGAAAAAGAAAAGGACTGATGTCGTTTTTGGGCGTCGAGAGAAGTGCGACTTTAGGAGCTATCTGGAGCAGACGACAGCTCGGGCGCCATTTTATGCCCCCTCCTCACCGGGAGAAGTGTTTCCGAGCAAGACCGCCCGAACTGCCCAAACTAATATATAAAAAAAAAAAGTAAGCACGTTGTTTAAAGCTAACAAAACATGTGGCAAAGGAGGAAAATAAAAGAAACCGTTATGTTTATGGAGGGCGTACGGCATACTCGCTTTACGGACTATCCCGTGCGTCATCTTTGTTTGTTTGCTGGCAGTGAGCATTAACAGTGAGCTCACGTCAGGTTGAGACATCGCCCAAGCCCTTGAATGTTGTGAATTTAATGCAGAAATAAAGGCTGTCAATTAAGATAAACGTCAAGATGTGTATGTGCGTGTGTGCGTGTTTCTCCAGAAGATAGTTGTGTTCCATCTTGGCTGTAGCGTTGGAATATATTGCTAAGTTCATTTATAGTTTGCTCATTAACAGATAATACTGTAATATATTATGTGTTAATGCCACAAGTATACATAATACTGTTTTTCATATTTTTGCGGCCGTACCTCGTCGCTTTCTTAACAACGTACAAAGAAAGTGAAAATACTTTTTTGGTCGTCGAGCATTGTGAGAGGCGGTTCTGGATATAAGACATATATTTATCCAGTTTACTGCATTTATGAAGATCAATGTTTACACATTCACGTGACTGTCATTAATTTGTCACAATACTCGACGAACAAATAAAAAAAAATGCGTGGAGAGGAAACGGTCAATAAGACATTGAAGACGAAAGATGATCGACTCCCGTTGCCTGTGTTTTAGTCAGCGGCTCATCGTAACCAATATTTTCGGTATGCCAATATTATGCTCAAGAATAACTCGGGTAAACGTTCTAGTTTGTCAGGTACGTCAGTTTATGACCTTTCTCCCAGTTATTTTTGAGCCTAACATTCGCGCCAGGCTATTTACCCAGGCCCGGCTTTTTACTGCCACGAAAACTCGGCGGGAAACACGTAATATACAAATAAACACCGTTGGTATCATGCGCGCGCGATTACGAGCGTCTGCGCCGTCCGGTGAGGCGCACAAAGGCTTGCCTTCGGAAAATACTCGTCAGAGTTTCGGAATAGAATCGGCCGAAAACGTTAGCCGCCCAAGAGCAAATAAATAAAAGGTTTCCCTCTTTTAGTCTTCTCAAACACTCCCCGCTTGTCAAGAAAAAAAAAAAAAATCTTGAGAAACTGCAGAAATTGAATCCCCGCGAGAGAGACAAGCAGACGAAACCCTATCCACGAACCCAGACGCTCCCTCCGGTTTCTCTCTTCCTCTCTTTTCCGGAGGATATGACGTACCGCGCCCAAAAACAGCGCGCATGCGCGATGCGGTGCATGCGTGCCATTGACTCAGGCGTTGACAACTGAAGGTTTAGGGGCCGACACGCTACTTTTTTTTTTTTACGGAATGTCCACCGATCTCCGATGTGTGTGTGCCGTGTGTGTTACTGGATGCGACTAACCACGCACCGAGCGGTCTGCGGTGAAATACCCGGCGTTTCCGTGCTTCCCGACGCTTCGGCAAAATGGATACCACCAGTCGGAGGACGGCAGACCCACTAGCCTCGATTTACAATAAGACAAGTAAGTACCATTCCTCCGGGATTGTCCTTATTGCTGCTCTTTCGATCGAGTGAACCCCAGACGCGTGTCGTACGTCCCCGGAACTAAACTCGGCGCGTACTCAGACCCTAATGTCGGGGCTGTGAACAGTCCGGTGGGTGTAGCACGCGAGGCTGGAAGCCACACACTGATAGCCCATCGCGTTCCCCCGTTCCGAATGTTCGGCCAAAGTTTGCGTTCCGAATTTCCGTGTGTCCGGTGTCGCACACTGCGGACGCCGTCGACGGGTCACTGTACCGGAATTCGTCAAGGAAGATGACCCGTGTGTGTCGGCGATCACTCGAGATAGCCAGGGCCGCCGTTGGAAGGAATCACTTGTTGACGCTACATCTTCGCGAAACAAGTTCTGGGGCTGCTTCCAGCCAGAGGCTGGTCGCTTCTAAAGAAAAGAAAAACATGAAAAACGGGATCGGTCTGCCGTGTTTTGGTATATTTTACCCGGTTCTCATTCGGGTTTGGTCCTAGGAATGCCGAAATGTCAGTCGACGTTCTTCTAACGAACGTATTGTATCCTTCTCTTCTCGAAACAAGCACGGTTGTTTGCGGTCGGGGGGGATAGCACGGGCTGCTTCCGTCGTCGCCGCTCAGTTCCGCCGCACGATTTCCTTCGAGATACCCCTATATCTTTCTCGGCCGCAAAGGACTTATTAAAGTGGGTCTCAAACGACCTATTTACCGACTTTCCGAGCGCGCAATACCGGCACGAAACACATGCTTTTATGAGGCTGGTGCGGTGTGGACTCCACCGCGGCCCACCTCAAGTTTTCGTATGGAGCGATTTTCGGATCCGCGGTGGCGGTGTTCACGACTCCCAGTCTCGTGCGCGAAATGAAATTGGGGTTAATGACGGACACCTACGGCATACGACGTTTTTTTTTTCTTTTAAAGTTATTTTCCTTATTTTTTCGCACGTTGCTACAACGTGGATGCTTTGTTGTCTACGGTATCGTGAAGTTCATGGACCCGCTTTATGCATTGGAGGTCGGCTAGCCGCGATGGCGGTGGACCTTTTCATTTCTTTTTATTTTATAGCTTTTTTTTTTCTTCTTTTTTTTGCTTCTTCCTGATGTCAGCATAATTTTTGGAGCCGAGCCAGGAATCTGCCGATGAATAAGAGGCTCATTTTAGTTGTATTCTCTAATGAGTCCCTTTCTCCAAGGAGTGCCGATTGATGACTGGTTTCGCTGGCCGAAATCAAATAAATATCACAGACAAAAATATTACGTGGTCTCCCTAAGGCACATTCGAGGGACTACTCTGACGTCAGGCCTCTTTTGAGGTGCCGTTTGGGCTGTTGCGGAAATTGAACGCAATTCTGAAGCAGCGGCAAGGGGTTGAGCACGCAAAAAGTAAAAATTAAGATATATTTCTTGTTGGCTCGAGTCCAAGGGGAGGGTGATTCCACTGGTGATGGCCGGCTATTGGAATGTGGCTTGCTCACTCGCGAGCTGCCAGGTTGAAATTCGTAGAACTTGACCTGCCCACTCATCAAAACATTGTTTCTAGCAGAATGTTAACAGGACACTCTTCAAAACAAAGCGTTCAGCACCTCTTCTCCTTTTGCTGTGTTATTTATTTGAGAAGCTTGTTGCGCAGCTTACGAAGTTTTCATCCAGTGTATTAAACAGTTCAGTAATGATTCTTTTGGGGTCCAAGGGAATGTTATGCTGGAAGGCATGTGTGTAGAGCATGGAAGCTCTCATCGAACACACTATTGACACGAAAACACAGGGAAAATTCTTAACTGGTCATTAAATGCACCCAAACAAAAAGTAACTCAGCTGCCCAAGAGCTACAAACAATAACTTGCAGGAACACTCATGTTCTGGACAGAATACAACAAGTATTCTGTCCAGAATACAACAAGTATTCTGGACACAAGGGAGTGGTTGCAAACATGTTGTCATGCAACATGGTAAAGATAACCACATTGTTTTTGCTAACATGGTTCCATCTATCAAGCTGACATGGGAAGGATCTGGGTTAAAGATAGGTTTTTGTGGTGTCAGTTTGTCTGATGGACTTTGCACGGGCTTATGAGTCACTGGCATCTGCTGCAGCTCTGAAGTCCTTTCCTGTGTGGGTTGAGGAGTGTTTAATTTTTTTTTTTTTTGTGCTAGAAATATTTCTAATGTAAAAACTACAAGGCAAACTAGCTTTCTTTATCTTAACTTGCTTTTTGAAGCCTGTCAAAATGGGTTCTTAAGGTTTTATTGGAGCTAAATATGTTTTGTTCAAAGCAGGAACCAGTAATAATAATCTTTATTTGCTCAGGCGAGCCGCGACACCGCTGAAAGGCAACAGCCCGTACCATGGTGCTTATGTGATGATGTAACAATATACAAGATGAAAGTGGTGGTGACTCCTTTCATCTTGATGTTGGGTCACAGATCTTCAGTGATGGTGACTTCTTTCATCTTGATGGGTCACGGGTCTTCAGCATGCTTTAAAGGCAAAACATCACTATTAATAAGCAGTACTGAATGTCTCTAGGCTAGGGTGTGTCATCAGCGCCTCATGATTTCATGATTTGAACTATCATAACTGGGCGGGAGGCATATGTTTGTCTTTTTAGACTTAGGCTAGGTGGCGCAAGCTACTGCCCATTACAAAGGGTACAGCCATTAACATCCAACATCCGTCCAGGGGCCCCAATCTGGACACTTGGCGAAAAATCTTTGCGAGCGTGATTGGCCAATGCCACACTTGACCTTGGCGCCGGCCAATTAGAGCCGTGGGATTGCTCGCCGACTTTTGCCAAGTGTCCAGATTAGGATCCCAGGTAAAACATTTTAAAACAATAAAACAAAACAATAAAACTTGGGCTATGTGGCACAAACTGCTGCCCGTTATGAAGGGTGTGGCCGTTAGCATCCATTCATCCATGTCTTTCAAAGCATCTTTGCATTTTGAAGCAAGAGATTTTAGTTTCAGGTAGCGTTCTAACCAAAAAAGGTGAGGGATATTAGGAACCCTGTGCTAAAGAAGCAAACTATGATATCCCTGCTGTTTCCTTGCCCTAGGGATGTCATGTATATTAATCACTATGTTACTTACCAGGTTGTTTACACTTACTATTTGAGGTAAATAATGCTGGTTTAAAGACAGTAATATGATCCTAATGTCGCACTAAATCAGGGCTAGCCAAACTGTGGCTCGCGAGCTGTGTGCGGCTCTTCGCGGGTCGAAGTGCAGCTCGCTACTTTCTGGTAAGTGTGCCTCCCTCCCCTCCTGTGTTCCTAAGACAAAAAAAATTCTAGAATTAAAAAAAAAACAAAAAAAACCAGCTCAATATTTTGGCAGTTTTGTACTACACTACATATGTACAGCTGGACTGCCTTTTGACGCAGATGTGTCCAGTGACCCTGTTTCTTTTATTCTAGAAATAATTTTGAACCGTATACGCATAACGGGTGTCGGGGGCAGTGGCTGGCTATACCATGCATTCATATTTGCTCAGCGGTTGAAGAACCATTTTGCTGCCTGGTGTTAGTTGTTGTAGTTGACAATTATACTTGTCTCCTTTGGAAAGGACTGTTCCTTTCATATCGCTTCTTGTTAAAAGTAGCTCCCCTCTTTCCCCCCTTTTTTTCCTTTGTGGCTCTATCAACTTTTGTAGTTTTGTCTGCGGCTCTAACCCCATGTCACTCTGGCCACCCCAACACTAAATTACCAGGTGACTATGTATTATTTGTTTTGACCCACAGTTTGACATTGGTTTTTAATTCTTGCCATAGAAATTGCATGAGACATAGTGAGACACAGACTTAAGGTGGAACATGCATGTCCTTTATCAAAGCTTGATTCCTTTTTTACCAACGCACAATTGTTATATTGTTTTGTATGATTATGATAGTTTGCTTTTAAATGACTGAAGTGTGAGGGCTCATGCTCCTACAATACTAGACAAGTGCATCTAGTACTGTAAACAATGTTTTCCTCCCAGCTCAATACTGTGCAGATTTAATATGTCTATCTTTGTGTTTATTCTTCCAGTAATGTATGACAATAGACAGCATAACCAAAAATCAAATTACAAAAAAAAAAAAAGAAAAAAGATTGATGGCAATTTTAAATAATTTCATAGAGGTCCAGCTGTACCAAAAATGCCAAGCCCATCGGAACACACAGCGAGACTAATATTGATTGATCATCTGACATAAATGCACCCATTCCGTGAGCAAGTGAAGGGCTGTTGTGTACTCTTTTACTACCGTGCGTGTGGTGCCACACAGCTTTTGTCGTTGTGCCTTTTTTGCTATGCCAATGATTATAATGCCACACATTCTTGCAGAAAATCCTTCTATACAAACCCTTAAATGCAAAAAGTGCTTCTATTCTGGAATCAATATCTTGAATGCCTTGTAGACTGCCCTTGGAGTAATGATTGTTTTTACTGAGATCATAACATTTCATTAGAGTTTTACGATCTTCATGGCCGTTTTTATAACACATTCTTTCTCCATGCAATGAGTGGTAAAAGTGTGCTTAACCTTGCAAACCATTTATTTGTTTGATATTACGCTTATCGAGTTTGGATCACACACTGGGCAAGGCAAGAGCTCTGTGTGCTGAGGTTTCTGGGTGGCCACACACATTCTGAATGCACTCAGAGATTGAGTACTTTGCTTTATGTATTTTTGACCAACCACACTTATGTGGGCTGTGAAATGCTTTACGGTGACGTGTCTTCGAACACAGGACCTTTAAAGTTGGATCTTTTCACTGACCAAGGACAAAACACGTGCTCGGTTGCTGAGAAATGTTTTCCTTTCATAGGCTTTGATAAGGCCCTCTAGTTTACAAAGGATACTCGTGTACGGGCCAAGTTCATCAGGCTCCTACAGACATTGATTTTCCAAACTCAATTGATTCCCGCTTGCATGTAAACTATTTATAACAGTATCATTTAAATCTAGTTTCTTATGGTTCAATACCCTGCACCTGTGTCTGTTGTTTGG